CAACCACCGTGTAGGGAACTTCGATGTAAAAATATTAATGATCATAAGAAAAATAACAAAGAAAACGATAATGACAACAACAACTAAAGGACAATAAAAATGATGATGATTATCACAACGATAATGATAGTGATAACGATAATGAGTGTGAGAGTGACGATGATGATGACGATGACGATAACGATAACGATAACGATAACGATAACGATAACGATAACGATAACGATAACGGTAACGTTAACGTTAACAATAACGTTAACGATAACGATAACGTCAACGATAACGATAAGGTTAACGATAACGTTAACAATAACGATAATGAAAATGATTACGTTAACGATAATAATAATGATCTTGATGTTAATCATAAAAATACCAATCCAGTTGGCATTGATCTTATGACATATTGAGATACTAGGGAAATGTCGCCTAACAATGTTGACGAATGAATACAACTAACTAGAAAATTAAACTTAAACTTCTCACCGCGACAGACCAATAATCGTCTAACCCGAAAGGCGAGGCGGTCGGCAATTTTGTTCAGGTTTGCCTCAGTAAATTCCACGTTGATTGCATCATTTGGCTCGGACACAATGCTTTTCAGCTGATCTATTCGCTGTGTGTTGTTTACGTTGGGAATAAGAGCACCCACAAGATTGATGTCGTTTTCGACTCTCAGCACCTTTTCTGCATTTAGGAGTTTGAAGGTGTCCAACAAACGACCATCACCATCTTCCGTGTTTCCGTCGGTGAAGAGCACAACGATCTGAAATTTAAATTAAGGAGATAAACGCAATTTCCAAAGACATTTTTAAATGAAGTGATAGCGAATTTCTTATTTCAGTATAACACTGATGTTGCCCCTGCCCCACCCCTCCATCCCAAAATCCTGAACACACCCCTATACCTTCGCTGGATCTTTACCCTTCCTGTAAGCTGAACGTTCGTCGAACTTCTTTGGGACTTTTTTCTTCAGGACGCGATTTAAGCGGTTGTAGGGGCCAAGTCCTCCTTTGAGGTATTCGTAATTCACGTAGTAGATTGCACTAGCTGCTGAACCCCAACTATTCATTTTTGTCTTTGAACCGTATCTTCCCATCACAAACTTGTAGTCAGTGTCATCGCTGTTCAGTGAAGTCAGTAGCGTTCTCACTATACATTGTATACTTGAACGAATCCCTTCAGAAATGCTCCGGCTGTCTTGGATCAAGACGATAACATCTGCCTTGGTCTTGCATAAACCACCGGCTGAAATTATGAGCAGAACAAGAGAGGATCAAACCAAGAGAGAAAAGATCCGGCCATAATCACAAAATAACTTATCGAAAAGTATCAAAAAAAAAACACATTGAAGGTTGAACATTTTTCCGAATACTTGTCACGTGTCTTTCGCGTAGCAAATTTCTCATGCATACTTAAATGATGTGAAATGAGTTTGAAAACCATACGTAGACTGTGCCAAAGACTTTAGCCTTTACGAGAGTCTAAGCACACTCAAAATTCGTTTCCCCTTTATAAAAAATATTAATTTTTTTTCCCTGCACACAAAAACTCGTTTAATGTCACCAATCTTAACAATACGCAGCACTATGAAGCAATATCTGGCTGGATTTGGGATCTTGTGAGTTCAACTTCTGATCGAAAAATTCAGTTTCCCTTTCACCGCTTATTTCTTAAAAACATGATGTTTCCTAAGTCAAGTTGAAATGTTACTTGTGATAGGACAAAATCCTGGATTGCTTGTCGTCCATCCAACGTAGGTTGTTAAGTTAAGGACATTCTGAAACTTTTTAAAGCACCGGAGTAGCTCCGTATCGCAAAGACATACGGCATAACCACACTTCCCTACTTCGACATCATTCGAATCATATTCACTCGCGGGAGCTAAAACGAAAAGAATGGTATTAATACTTTTAAGGGGGGATATTCCGTTTGTCTCATTTTACAGATTTCTATAAATTTTTAATTATTTTTATCAATTTTGCGTGAGCTAGGTTATTTCTTATGTTTTCTTTAGAAGACGACGAAACGACGTTAGATCGCTGTGTTCTTGCCATTGAAAATTTTCCAGAAATACTCTCGCGTGCTCTCGATCCAATTCAATCTTTTTCATATCGCGTGACTGAAACGACACAGATGACTGCGACGAAAGGTAGGAGCTAAGGACTTGGGCCACATGAAACACACAACGACAAAACCTAACGAGGATATTACACAAAAAAAAACATCTGATAATACTTACTGCACGTGTCAGTAGACGCGTTGTACTCAAATCTGTTTTCCAAATTGAAAAAGTTACCACCACATTTTGCCGGTTGAACTAAGTCAAGCTCGCAAAAATCATGGGCCTTGCAACAACTGAAGTTAAAAGAAAAATATAAGATAAATGAAGATCATCCACGAAAAAGGAAAATGAAACTGGAAATGGACAGCAAGAGTGAACGCAGAATGCTGATAAGAGATCGGATGATGCCACAAAAAGAGGAAAAAAAGGTTGAGGTTATCAGTAGTGAAAGACAACAGTAATCAAGTTCTGTCGTTTGTCTCACTCTTACTCATTTAGAGTATGAATCACAAAGTTTCCACAGTATGCTGCGCGTCCCTTCAACATTCTTCTCCCTCAACTTACAAATCAAAGTTATCCACAGTTTTTCCAAATCCACCAGCGCCACACCAACAGCCGTAGTTGAAAATACTGTAAGCCTGTAGTAGAGTAAGACCCAACCTTTCTTGCACCAATCCTGCAACTTGTTCAATTCTTGGGTTGAAGCCAAGTGACTTTTTCTCCCATTTATGTGCTGGTGAAAAAAATATTGCATGGTCAGTTTTCGTCGTCTTAGTTGATTAATGACCGTTTGATCGCTTGTCTCCCAATTAAAGTTTATATCTCTTACTAAACGGGTTTGTGGTCCGCACTGTAAGTTACAGACCGAGTTTATCCGCTCGAGTTGCTGGCCCAAGCGCGAAGGGCGCGGGCCAATAATCCGAGTGAAAAAATCGAAGTCCTGTACTCGAGACCGAGAAAACGAGGTTAGTAAGATATTTATATTATCTCTGGGTTAAAACAGAATTGGAAGATTTTAATTCAAACAAACTTGGAAATTAGCGCATCGTACATTAAATTACGGCCTGCTAAATTAACCAATCATACTGCTCGCGCTAAATAAGAGATGTAATATTATTCTTTATTACCAGACTTGAATACTTTCAATTGGGGTCAATAACTACGCATTTCGCCACATACGGCATGCTGCACGACAGAAAAACATATCCTTATGAGACTTAACACACTTTTTAAAATCCACCAGCAGTCTATCAAGATTGCTGCAATCTCATTGGCTATGCTACTTTTTATTCCGTGATAGACCACGAGTGTCATAGCCTACTAGATTACAGCATTTTATGGAGAAGAGTGAAAAACCTAACAGTGCATGGTTGTAAACAGAAGAAAATAAACAACATGAGCCTGCCATGTTGTTACTTTTTCAACGACTAGTAAATTTATATCACTACAATTAGATAATTCGTGCTCGATTTATGTACATGATAGTTGATTCGGGCTTCAAGTATCATGCGACAAAAGATCTCAAAACCACGATATAATTGATAAACAGGAATGCAGAAAGATTTATTTTTTTAATCGAAGTGGACAACTGCATTGCAAATTTATCTGTTTTCTTATCTGGGCCAAGTTGTTCAAAAGGTGAATAACGCAATCCAACGGATAAATCACTATCCAGCGGATAAGTGTTAACGAAACATATTGCGCTGCCCGGCGGATAGGAATTTATCCGTTGGATAGCGTTATCCACTCTTTGAACAACCGGGGCCTGGAACTGAATCATGATGATTTCTTTTCGCTAAGACAGGATTGCATGCGCACCTTATTTTTCTTCAAATTCGTGATTTAACAATGATTATGATATTCATAATCATAACAATCATGATAATAATGATGATGATAATGATAATAATGATAACAATAACAAAATCTTGAATGAGCACTCCTGAAAGGGCTTTGTAAGGACAATGTACAAACAAAAACTTTTTATTTTTAAATACACATAAAATGGCTGAAAATCCCAACTGGTGCGGAGAAGCCAACCAATTGCCTATTTACAAAGGCAGCCATGGAGTTGACCCGGGGACAACTGAGAACAATGGCTGGCAAGTTACATGGTTGAGGACTCGAAAATACGATTAGCAGAAAACAAGTCCAATGCCTTAACCAATGAGCTACGCTGCCTACTCTAGCGTATTCTACAGTCTCTGGAACAGGTTTTAGTTTCTGATCTTATAATCACTAAATTGATATTTTAAATACTACATTAATTTTAACAGCTATTCGTTGGCTAAGAAAACCTCCCATGTCCCAACCATTCCACCCTCCACCCAAAAACAAAGACTTACCTTTAGTCAGACCGCCACTTATGGATGAGGCTAAGCCTATAAAATAAGGATGCGGGTAACGAATTGACATGGAATTATTTCAAGGATAATAAACGTAAAAACCTTCATTTGGCGCGAAAATATGTTCCCATATTTGTCTTTGGACATTTTCTGTTCCTCGATTCTCACAATATTCATGGTGTCCCTAAACAAATTTCAGTGCATATTTTTGCGCTAAATGGAAGAGACTGTTTTTATTTGTTCTGATTGTCTTATGTTATTTCTTTAGCAGTTTAGCTTTCTTGGTCTTATCACACCCAATAAAAATGTGCTCTTTCGTGCGTTCCTCGTTCCATAGGGAGATTTATAAGACAGAGAAGAGTCTCACGTCAATAATTTCAATTTCAATTCGATGTCTTGTTATTTGAAGTTTTTCGCTTTGCGACATCCATGTAATTAGCGCTGTGTCACTGAAATTTGTGCGAAACATTGCCATTGATCCTTTTATGAATCATACAACATTAACTGAGGTTACCAGAGTTTAGGTCCATTAGAAGAAATGCAATTCCCACAAACACACACAGAATACTCATCGTTCCAAAATGATCCTGTAGAAGAAGGCGCAAGTTATAAAAGTTACCAAAATTTATATAATTTTCCCTCGTACAAATCTTACAAAGAGCACAGTATTGACAACTAACTAAAACAAATTTCTCAGTGACATTCTGCTATTTAAATCTGAATTCAGAGGGGACATGGTCTACATGTAATCATTTATAAGGGACATCTTTACAACATTTTGCGAAAACAAATTTAAGTGTTGCTACTTTTTTCTTCACTTAAAATGGCAAAAAAAAAATCAAATCCTAGAACTGCTTACGTTAGAGCATACTGAAATACGATTTCATTTCAAATTGGACTGCAAAATAATAAACGACGATCTTTTTCAATATACTTACGTTGACAGAAACTAAATTTCTGAGTTCCTCCTCAATTTCGTTTAACTGTGACCGTGCTAAACTACCGGTTGAGTCTGTAGGCCACTGAGGCTACGAGTAATAATTATGTATACCAACTATACTAAGAATAATGCGTGCAACTCATTGGAATTGTTATCTATGGTTGTCGACCTAGTGAACTGGTCCCCTCCCACGTTTGAATCATTCAAACCTCTCGTCAAATGTTGAAAATATTCTCCCACGCATTACCCCCAAAAGGTGATGTAACTACTCTCTCCTTAAGAGTGAACTTCTTAAGGGCCCTTGGCTTTGCAACGGTAACGAGATTGAGAAAAGCAAGGAAATAGAGGGTGATACCGCTTCTCGAAATAGGTATTGTAGTCATTCAGTTAGCTGTAAGCGAACGCTTCCCAATTCGATCATCAAGTTTGAGTCTCCGAGACCAGCATTCGTGGATGGTGATCTTGCTGCTGGTGTGCGTGGGATTTAACCGGTGATCCAATTGGTTATAATGTAATAAATGGAGAGCATAACAGCAAAGACAAAAGTAGAATCAACGTTTTAAGATTTTGTCATGCAAACCCTCGTTGGGTCCATTGAATATTTACGCTGATATGGGATCGACAGCGTAGAAGATTCAGTAGTTATGCTTACGAAAATTGAACTAAAGCCAATGCAATAATCTGCAGTCAAGTGTTCTTTGTTCAGGGGAGTGCACTATTTGGTTTGGTAGCACAGTGGTCAATATGAGACGACGAGGGAAAAAAGAACGCCTGATGCAATTACTTCTCCCAAGATGTTCTTTTTCACTTGCTATTCACGATCAGCCTGCCGATTCTTGTGCTCTTTTACTATTCACTAAAGGAACATCTTTTACTATTCATTAGAGGAACATCTTGATTGATTGTTTTTTGGCCCTAATCCTGGGAAAAATAATCCAGAAGAAAGAAAATTGGAATTCCATGAGTAACAGTGGAAAAAAGGAAAGAAAGAAAAAAAAACGTAAAAAATTCCCACCTCGCCCCATGATCTATCTCTGAAGTGCGGATTTAGGAGTTGGACGAGCGCGATCAATCAATCGATCATTCAGTCAATCACTAAACTCTACTTAACCACGGGCAATCCATCAGCTGTTTATAAAAAGGATCAAACTATGACTACACAACTATAACTATGAACTACACTATATTAAGAAGCTACCTTCCGTGACTGCCGTGCCTTAGAGAACTTTGATGATTGCGCGTCTAAACGACGTGAGCGATTCCGCACAAATAGCTTCGCAAGGGAGGCTATTCCATAATGTGGCGCCACTATAACTAAAACTATTTTTGGAATAATGTGGGCGTAGTAATCGAACATAAAGTTGGTTCTCGGAGTCCCTCAGTTCGTAGCATGTATTGCGTTCAGTGAATTTCGATGTCAAATAGTCTGGAGCTAACCCATACAGGTAGGCATTTGAATACCATGATGGCCATGTTCTGCTAGCGGTCAAGATTTTTCCACCCTAAAATTTCGAACAATTGGCAGCATCAGTGTCATAATTTGAGAATTTCAGAATCGCGCGAGCTGCTCTATTCTAAAATTTGGGCAGCTAGTCTTGTAAAGGTACCCCACAGGTTCTATAAACGGTACTGTAGTTGTAAAAGGGAGGTTGTATTAAAGCTTGGTACATATAAGATGTAAGGTCGCTTGGGGAACCAGGTGCCTAACACGTTTCATGGCCCCGATTCCAGAAGCGATCTTTTTGTTAGGTTTTTGGTGTGGCAGTTCCAGCTGTTTATCGTCAATTGTTACACACCAAGAATTTTTTAGTTAAAGCCTATTTTACCCGAGTACCGTTCACTGTGACTGATTGGGAAGCAGAAGAGTATTTAGCGTTTGGCCAGATCCTAGCGGTATAGATTTGTTTTTAGTCATATTCGAAGTTTGTTTTGCAGTGAACCAAGTATGCACATTCAATTTAGGTCCTCACTAAGACTAGATTCAATGTTGCCTCAATCATTATCCGCATATGTGAGATGGCGGTCATCGGCGCACATCCTCGGTTCACAGTTTGACAAATAATTTGGAAGCTCGTTTATATAGGATAATAATAACAGTGGACCGAGGATGGTCTCCTCCCCCCCACTGAGGGACACCGCAGGTTAGTACACGGCTGTCAGATACGGACCCACTAACTGAGAATTGTTGTGTGCGGTTCTCTAAATACGACTGCAACTATTTCAATGAATTCCCAGATATACCATTAAAGTCAAGTTTAGATAGAACAATGTCGTGGTCAGCGGTATCGAAACCTTTCTTCAGATCTCCAAAAATAACCGCAATAATTTTCCCAATATCTTTATTATATGCCCAGGAGTCAGTTGCCTCACGCAAAGCTGTGACTGCAGAGAAAATAGCACGAAATCCCGACTGATATCTGCATAGCACATCATGCTCCTCTAAATAGGCACTTAGTTGTTCGTAAACTATTGTCTCCAATACCTGCCTCACAACATCGAAAGGTAATTTTTTACGTCGTCGCGTTCACCTTGCTTGTCAAGGGGTGTGATTCCAGCTGATCTCCAGTCTACTGGAATCACCATTACATCGATGTCGATGTCATGATCTCCATACGTGTTCTGCTAAGGGTCAAGTCTTGTGCAAGCGCAGCTAACCACGCAAAATGTGTGACAGAATGTCTACGTTATTTTATCCAAATTTTCAGAACGGGGAAAAATTCTCAAAGGCACAAATGAAATAGAAATATCGTAGACATGATGAAAGGAGATTGAAACACTATCGGTTGATTTTATTTAATCGTTTAATTCATTCATATTTCTCAATAAGACTTTTTATATTTATACGATGTATGACAACTTTATCATTGCATCTTAAGCTTCTGCACTTCTACTGGTTTCCTTCTTCGAGAATGACTTCATACATTGACCGTTTCCTTAGGCTTTCTTGGTGTGGCTGAAAAATACGTTATCACATGAGGCTATGGATCATTAGAGACGAGCGAAAAAAAAGCTGTGTCTTTGAGCTTAGCTCTTTACCATAGTTTATCATCAGAATGTCTCTCTCTACCCGGGAGTATAAAAAGACATTCTTGCGGTGGATTTGCACCCAATCCAGGGAATTAGCAGAAATGATTGTCACTTAGCACCGTGAAATTGGGGTTGAGGAGAAACTTCATAGTTTCCTTGTGAGTTTAGTTTTTTGATTAAAGATGAACTTTCATCTTCTATAGGCACAAAATGAGATCTGACGTTATATCTCCTTGAAATCACAAATACATTGCCAGACCACTTTGGGCTCCTTTTTCGCCTCCTTCAGTGCATTTCAAAGCGCGCTTTTACTCAAATTTGCTATTTCTTCAGATATGAATAAGTTTTGAAATTATTTCCACTATTTTATTTTTTTGGTATCGTCTTCCCTCAGAAGGTTCTTTGTCCTAAACAGCCAACCAGACTCACAATGGACAGAAGTCCCACAGGACTCCCAGAGAAAACTCCGCTATCTCCATCGCTAAGGAAGACCTCGCCCATCAAGGAGTACAAAGAAACTTTAAATAGATGACGAATAAATACGAAGGCTTAAGTATTTTCCCCTACCAGATTTCCATCTGTCATCTAAGGCTCCAATGTTCTCTTTAAATACTACAGTTACAGTTTGGTCACCCTGTGTAACCTTAACCTAAAAAAACAAAACAAAACAAAAATGCTATTTGAGACTAAAACAGCGTTACAGAGGTGACTGCAAAAGCACAAAAAACGTAAATGATGATTTCTCTTCATTACATATATTGTACCTTTCTCAGTTCCCAGCCTGTTCTAATTGGGTTTTTTCTCTCCGATTTGATTTTCACTTCTGTGATGTCCCCAACATCAATGCCACGGACCTTGAATTTGAATGCATCTCTAGGGCGAAAAAAAAATCAATGAACTTTCTGTAATTAATTTTGTTCAAGCATCGAGATGTAAAACATAAATTTTTTTCATGGGTTATCTTCAGTTCCTTCACGATATTTCCTAACGTTTTGATAACTATGCGTTGGCTTTGAACGGACTGCATTGAGAAAGCATTGTAGAAATTATTACGCATCCAAGTTCTCTGAGATCACCCTGCCTATGGGTCCTTCTCTAGAATGGTAGTCGCCTCTGCAGCCGTTGTTTGGTGTCGTCACGCTACTTATTATCTTCCCCTCCAACAACGATTGCAAAGGATACTACCAAAATGGCAACCGAGATTAATAATGCATCATAAAGGAAAATATGGCAAGTTGTTCTTTGTTTTGTCAAGAGAAAGAAATAATTAAAGTCCTCCACGGGGAGCGGCATAAATATCCTTAGCATTCCGCTAATGTGCCACTGAGCTGTAACAAACACGATGTCGATATTTTCAGATTTTAAAGGTCTTTGAAGGGGTTCTTGGTTAAACTTTCACTTTCACGTATGACCAAAAGACAATTTCTCCTTTCAGTTGTTATTGTGCTGTCAAACACACAGGTGATGAGAATTTAGAAAAATGTAAACTATAGGGAATACTGACATTAGAAGGAATGTATGGCAGGCAGAAAGGAGAATTGATTTTGCAATCTAAAGAAATCATTGGTTATTAGCCTACTTTCGCTTTGTCTCTTTTTCTTTATATAACAACAGGTCTTCTGTCTTTTTTCCACCGGTTCCGACGAGCATGATGAACACATGGAACTTCCACGTGATGTCTTTTGTAGGGGTGAAAACAACCACCGTGTAGGGAACTTCGATGTCAAAATAGCAACAATCATAAGAAAAATAACGAAGAAAATGATAATGACAACAACAACGAAAGGACAATAACAATGATGATGATTATCACCACGATAATGATAGTGATAATGAAAACGACTGTGAGAGTGACAGTGCTGATGACGATAACTATAACGATAAAAATAACGACAACGTTGACGTAAACGTTAACGATAACGATAACGATGACGATAACGATGACGATGACGATGACGATGACGATGACGATAACGATAACATTTGTGTTAACGATAACGTTAACGATAACGACAGCGTTAACGATAACAATAACGATAACGATAGTGATAGCGATAACAATAACGATAACGTTAAAATAATGATAACGATAACGACAACGAAAATGAAAATGATTACGTTAAAGATAATGATTATGATCTTGATGTTAATCATAAGAATACCAATCCAATTGACATTGGCCTTATGATATATTGAGATACTTGGGAAATGTCACCTAACAATGTTGACGTACGAACGCAACTAACTAAAATATTAAAGGAGACTTCTCACCTCGACAGACCAATAATCGTCTAACCCTGTAGGCGAGGCGATCGGCGATTTTGTTCAGGTTTGCCTCGGTAAATTCCATGTTGATCGCATCATTTGGGTCGGACACGATGCTTTCAAGCTGATCTATTCGCTGTGTGTTTTTTACGTTGGGAATAAGAGCACCCACAAGATGGATGTCGTTGTCGACTCTCAGCTTCTTTTCTGCACTTAGGAGTTTGAAGGTGTCCACCAAACGACCTCTACCAACTTCCGTGTTTCCGTCGGTGAAGAGTACAACGATCTGAAAACGTAATGAGATTTACGTTTGGAAAACAGTACACAGATTAAAATTATATTCAGAAGAAAAGATGTTTTTAGCAAGTACCTTTATGGCTTAAGATGTAAGTATTTGTACATTTTGAGTTTAAATTAAGAAGGTTAACGCAATTTTCAAATTAATAGATAGCAAATTTGTTATTTTAGTTTAACGCTGATGTTGCTCCCGCCCCACCCCTCCCATCCCAAAATCCTGAACGCAACCCTATACCTTCACTGGATCTTTACCCTTCCTGTCATCTGAACGTCTGTTGAACTTCTTTGCGACGTTTTTCTTTAGGACGCGAATTAAGCGGTTGTAGGGGCCAAGTCCTCCCTTGGGATAATTTTTTTTCAAGTAGGAGATTGCCTTAGCTGCTGAACCCCAACGATTCATTTTTGTCTTCGAGCCGTATCTTCCCATCACAAAATTGTAGTCGGCACCATCGCTGTCCAGTGAATTCAGTAGCGTTGTCACTATACGTTGTATACTTGGACGAGTCTCTTCAGAAATGCTCTGGCTGTCTTGGATCAAGACAATAACATCTGCCTTGGTCTTGCATAAGCCACCGGCTGAAATTATGAGTAGAACAAGAGAGGATTAGACCAAGAGAGGAGATTCCCCATATTCCCAAAATAATCGCTCTACGGGTTATTTTCACTGAGATCACTCCCGTTTGCGGCGAACGGAGGCCAGGGCGAGGAAAGCTACAATGGCGAAATAGGTGCATCTATGGGAGCGCGGGAAAACGACACGTCGTTTTTTTTGTACATTCCTCCTCTCGCACGTGACTCAATCGTTGCACTCTTCTTGCGCTTCCCTCAGTACCCCTTTTGAGACGGAAATAAAGGGCGCGTCCTCCATAAGGTGAATCTCGCATGCATATTCAAAATTATGTAACGTTCGCTAACTGAGGCAATATCTGGCTGAATTTGGGAGCTTTTGAGTTCAACTTCTAATCAGAAATTAAGTTTCCCGCTTGCCACTAATTAATTGAAAAGAGGTTTCCTCAGTATTGTTAAGATTTACATCGGATAGGGCAAAATCCTGGTTTCTTGTTCCTGCGTGCGAAGTAAGTTTTGAATTTAAGGACCCTCTTAAATTCTTTAAAGCACCGGAGTAGCTCTGAGTCGCAAAGACATGCGGCATAACCACACTTCCCCGCTTCCAGATCATTTGATTTATATTTCCTCGCGGGAGCTAAAAAAGGAAAAGAATGGAATATAATAATAAGCTGCATCCGAGGTACCCAACGGCTTAGCGGAGCCTTTGTTTGAGAATCATTTTTTATTCTTATACAAAACTCATTCTCACGTGAAGAGTGTTGGACGTAGCCCCGTTTTCTAGGTGAGGGTTTTGGAGCTACAGACATGAACCCATAACCTAAAACAGGCCGAAAACCCGGACATGCGTACCAACTATATGGGCCAAGGCCTCTTTACTAACACAGCGGTCAAAGGTCTGCGCATGCACGAACGTTTTAATGGTTAAGTGGCATGCTTTCAGGCTGTCAGAACAAAATTGTCGCACAACTACTATAAACAACCACGCATGCTGGTAAGTGATGGTGTGTAAGTCAAAAGTGTAAAACTGATTTGCTAAAACTAAAAAAAAAACCCTTAAATAATCTATGTCTTCGAAAAGTCTCGATTTTTCCTTTTCCCTTTCTTAAAGGGGCGGGGGATATAGAGATTACTGCATGAAAAGACCCCGAATGATCTTTATTCACGAGTTGCTATGCGTCAAGAAAACGAACGAGTGAACGCAGCGAACGACTGACTTTTTCGATGCATCGCAACTCGTGAATAAAAATCGTTGAAGCACTTTCCATGGTCCGATGTTTTTATTTTATACATACTGAGATTTTCTCTCACTAACTGACACATTTCAAAGATTGCAAGCGAACGACTGTGAAAATAAATCGTTCGTCCAACCAGAGACACGCACAATAGTTCTTCACAGTGTAAATCTAAGTGTGTATGGAACTGTGAGGAAACGTAGACGCCAAGGACTTTGGCAATATGATACACACAACGAGAAAACTTAACGAAGATATTATACACAAAAAATATTGATTATACTTACTGCAAGTGTCAGTAGCTGCGTCGTACTCGAATCTCTCATTAATATTTCTGAGGTTACCACCACATTTATCCGGTTTACCTAAGTTATGCTCGCAAAAATCGTGGGCTTTGCAACAACTGAAGTTAAAAGAAAAAAAATTAGAACCTCATTTTAAACTTCTATCGAACAAGTTGACCAGTGAGTGCCTAAAGTTATTAAAAACGCACTCACACACACACACACGCACGCACGCACGCACACACGCGCGCGCACACACACACACACACACACACACACACACACACGCACACACACTCACGCACACACCCAAGCAATTGACTACAGCACAAAAATGATTGTGAAACCCCTATGTCCTGACCAGAAGATTCACTAAAAAGTTAACAGGAGACGAAGAAAGGAATGACTGCCGAAACGCAGAGAACAACTTCGTTTTCTTAGTAAAAAGGAAGAAGGAATTGGAAAAGGAAAGCAAGAATGTTGAATAGGAATCGAACAATGCCGTGAAAAGACATAAAGGTTGTGGTTGATAATCTTGATGAGCGAAAATAGTAATCAAATTCTGTCGTTTGTTTCACGATGTAGTCATCTGGGATATGAATAGCGACGTTTTGACGGTGTATTGTGAGTCCCCTTCAACATTCTTCTCCCTTAACTTACAAATCAAAGTTATCCACGGTTTTTCCCATTCCACCAAAGCCGCACCAACAGCCATAAACGTAAATTTGGGAGGTCTGGTTTCCGAGATCCAGAGCTTGTTGTACCAATTCGCTAAGTTGTTCTAACCTTGGGCTGAAATTAAGGAACCTTTTCTCCCCTTTCTGAGCTGGAAAAGAAATAGCCACAAAAGGCGTGGTCATTTTCGTCGTCGTCATTTGAACAATTGACCACGCGTCTATTTTCGTAAGAGGTTAACAACTACCCGTCGCCATATGTACCACACAGCACGACAAAGAAACAAACCTTAGCGGCGACAAAAGGCACTCCATGGCCTACTCAATTAAAGTGGACAACTGAATCGAAACTTTGCGTATTTTTCTTAAAGATAAGTTAAACATTCGATATTTTGAGTTCTGACTCGGAGAAATTTAATAATCTAAGCGATTTTTCGGCTTAAAAATCCATCCACACCATCTCCCCTCCCCCATTAAAAAATTAAGACTTACCTTTGGTAAGACCGCCACTAGTGGATGAGGTTTGGCCTACCAAATGAGGATTTGAGAAGAAAGTAAAAACCGAATTATTAGTTCTGAAATCATTGTCAAGAAAGGCACGATAAATGTTATTTTTGGCGGTGAGGTTTTTTTTTCTCAGTAATATAACTTGCGAGTTATCAGTGGTTATTTAATAACCAGCTTTGGAAAGGTTTACCTCCTTTTGCTCTGCGATTGGTCTTAAACTCGCCGCATCCTTGTAACCAATTGACTGCAATGTTAAAACCAATTAAGACTCCCGTTTTACCCCCCTCAAGCCCGGTACACGTATTACCTTTATTCTGATTGGCTCACGTGATCAATTAATCTTTGGTTCTTACGACAACCAAAAGTGAAATGTGCTCTTCTTTGCACCCTATATTCCTTGAAACACAGAGATAATCTCTATTCAGTTGTTTAATTTATAACCTTTTTTAATTCATTGCCTACCAATTTTCATTTTTTTGCTCTTGTAACACACATTTGCTTATATCTGTCTGAGTGAAATTTTCGCGACACACTGAAACTTATCTGCCAATCAAAACTATAACAAATTCACAAACGTGATTGGTTATCACCAGCCTGATTTGAGCACCAATAGGACAGTGTACACGTCATGCTTGTAATTGAACAGTGTAATAGGACAGTTAAAGGGACAGTTGACACGTCATACCTGCGTAAGTGGAGAGAACGCGTCATGCGCGCGCGCTGTTATCTCGCATTTCGCTGAGTTAACTGGGTTTTTTTTATGAAAATGTATAACCGATGTCTAGTTTCTTTCTCAAATTTTTTCATAGTTTTGACTATTGGTAACAGGACTTTGTGTCGTCCAATTCTGTCTGTAATCATACTCGTAATTAACAAATCAGACTCCCGCTTCGCGGTCGTCCGATTTTGTCAATCACTCGTATAATTGAAGACCGAATTGGACTCCACTCGGTCCTATTACCATTATTAATGAAACATATCATATTAAGGTTACCAGAGTTGAGGTCCATCAGGAGAAATGCCATTCCCACAAACAGGCACACAATATTCATCTTTTCAACACAATCCTGCATAATAGGGCGCAAGTTATATCAGTATGACACGGTAACAAATTCCTCTCAAACAAATCTTGCATAAAGCATAATATCGGCACTTAAGCGAGGCAAATGCATCCATAACATTCAGTTGTTTAATCTAAATTCACTGAAGACATGTATATGACATTATTTTACAAAAGTAACCTGATGCGGTTTTTTTGTCTTCACCTAAAACAACTACTTGTTTAACGAAAAATACTGATGTAGTCTATTTGAGTCACTCATTACTTAGCATTTCCACGATGTTTTCGAATCAACTAAGTCAGTTTACAATCCTGTGAGTTTTCCGTGACCTCTGCCTTTTTTCCTGTGATTCGTTTTTTCGCCTATCTCGTCAGCTGCGACAAGAGATTATAAACTAATAACACCACAAATGGGATGGCGTGAGAGGCGCGGAAAAAGAATTGCAGATGATTAAAAAAAAGCGAACAAAATACTTCGATACTGATTCTATGAAAGCGAATAAATCAAAATAAATGCGACACTTTTAAATATGATGACTTTGATTTTTTTCAGATTGTACTGAAAAAGATCTTCTTGAGACAGATTTAGTTTATACACTTTTTTCATTCAAGGACTTTTGTCACAGCACCGTTGAGGCTGAAATTGACCCAGATGTGAGAACATGCCTTGTACAAGCACTCGACTTTACACATGAGTCGAGTTAATAACACGTTTTGGCAGTTTGAGCGTGTCGAGTTACATTTCTTAGCTGTACACAAAAACTTCATTCTTAAGTTTTTAGTGATCAACCTATGTTCTTGTTACAGCCTTAATATGGAAAACCATTAAAGCGATTTTGTCAGTTAAAAAAATGGCAATAAAAGTCAAATCCTAAAACAACCTAATTTGGAGCATATTAATCTAAAGTACCATTCCATTTCAGACCGGACTGCGAAATAGTATCGGAAGAACTGTAAAACAAAAAGGAAATAACATTTCAGTGTACTTACGTGGACAGAAAGTTAATTTCTGAGTTCCTTCTCAATCTTTTGACTGCGATCGCGCTAAATTACTGGTAGAGTCTGTGGGCTAATTATATTTATAACAACTATACTATGAATAATGTAAGCTATTCATTGGAATTATTGTCTACGCTCATCGACTTAGTTTTTTAATTTTTATTTGTAATAAAGGAAGTACTTATTTTAGCTTGATATATGATATATTGATCTGTACAAGCAACAACTAAATAACGATTTAGCCGTTTTCTCCCGAAATTGTATCTCTCTGAGGTAAGATATATAATCACACTAAAACAGAGGAGAAATATTAATCATGTATGATTAGAATTCAATCAGCCGTACCATCCTTGAACCTAATGGCATCAAGGTAAGAGGGTTCATGTCAACATTGCTGTTAAGAAGCAATTTTACCTGTACTCTTTCAAAGAAAGTTTCATTGATTTAAAACCCATGCATTTTCTGAAAGCTTAACAATAACCGAGATTACAACGATCCCTTCGAAATATTCTTACAGGTTAATTCTGCATGATGTTTAAAAAGGTAGATTTCGCAGAATTTCCCTCTTGTGTTGCAGAGAATTCCGCACACGCTGGTTCAGTAATCTTGGACTGTACACTTTCACTTAATTTAGGCTTTATTGTCGACAATTCAGTATTACACGTTCCGTTCTACGGTCTATCTACCCTATTACAATCTCATCCCACGGTTACAAAAATTTTACATTTATTAGATAACGAAATCCACACCCAGATACGTACTTCCGTGTGGGATTCTAGACTTACTCACGTTCTACAACGATTCGTGGGCACTAATTTACTATCAAACCTGGTTTTATTTGACAATCATGCTACCAAGTTCCCATACGCGCTTAAACGCTCTGCAAATACCTAATTTCATACATCACTGCTCGCAAAACTAATTTGATTACCCTTTGCCGCTCCCAATTACTTGCTACTTTTAATTGTAACGTTAACTCTGTACTCTGTAGAAAAGAAAAATAAAGGCCCGCTGACGCCTTTCGAAAGGGGTTTAGTAGAATACTATTTCCGATTTTCAGCTAAAAAGAAGACGCTTGTAAAAGAACTTTTCGCCCTTTGATCATCAAGTTTCGGTTTGCTGATGTTCCCATAAGCACTAAAAGGTGAAATGACCTACAACCACCTAAAACAGCCTAAAACCGTCTACAGGCACCTAAAACTACCTGCAACCACCTGTAACCACCTAAAAAACACCTACAACCACCTAAAACCACCTAAAACCAATAATTTCTGAAAATACTTGAGCCTCTCTCAAACCGCCTTCCCTCAAAGGAACAGCGCTCCGTTCCAGAGGCTTTTCGCGCGGGTCAAAATAAAGACTAACCGAAACCGAAAGCCTCTGGCACCCAGCGTAAGCCAAGAACTAAAATTGCAACAAAGTAATTCCAGTATGTCGTAGGTTCCGGGAGCCGATTGTCTCGATCTATTTCGCGTTTGGAACTCGTAAGGATGCTGCTTGTAAGTGTCGTAAATGTCTCTATCCGTAATGAATTTGATTCCATTCTGCATTCCTTTGTTGAATGTGAAGAGGCTAAGTCCTTCTTTGATAAAGTTATTGCCTTGTTTAACAAAACAAACAATTCTCAAAATATTCACCAACAATGGCCGAGAAACTTTTTGGAATGTTGCATAATGAAAATGACAAAAAACTACCTAAATTCAACTAATGCTTACTCTTCGCCAAATAATTCTTATATTGTCAAAAACTAAGTTCGAAAAAAGAGTGACTTTAATGAATTTATTAAGAAATTACTCCTTAAACTTCGCGTTGAAAATTTACTATAATTTGTACAGTATTACCAGAGAATGCTTCTCAAGCCTTAAATCAATAGTGTACGTGTAAATGGCATCAATTAAATAGTGTGAACAGAGTAAATAATATCCTATAACAATGTTTCATAAGTAATGTAGCTAATCAATCTTTTGTTTTAGTAAGGAATTAAGTTAAGTAATTGTAAGTACAAGAAAAACAAATTTATAGACGTAAGTACAATTAGTGATTTTTTGTGTGTGTGTGTGTGTGTGCGTGTGTGTGTGTGTATGTGTATCAAGCAAATATCATGTAAGTAATGGAAATTCTCCTGTTGGTCAGGTGTAAATGTAAATAACCATTCCTTTTGTAAATAGTGTATCTTAAGTGCGTTTCTACTAGTGGTATTTGATGTTAGTAGTATCATTTGTAACTGATGTGTGTAGAATAAAGTTCATTAATATTAAAAAAAAAAATTTTGAAATTTTGAAAAGTGCGGTAATCTTAGGGAACATGCAAGCTACATGCATCTCGCGAGATTTGCAAGTTCTGTTTATCACACATCGTTTCAAATGTCACTGTTCTTTTCGTGGTTTCTTATTCTCAGTCAATTTAATATTTTACTCTGAATAATACCAACTTATTATAAAACTGTTTTGTTTACTTTGTGGTATGCTCGCTCCGCTGCCCGATTTGAAGCAATTTCAGAGATTAGGGTTGCTCAAATTTCCCTGAAACGCATCACCCCTGATGTCATATTACGCAACCTCATCATATTTCCGACAACCTGCTTGGTGTCCCGTTGACCTCTGTCAGACGTTGAAAAAAGCAGACCTCGAAAACTCAAACCTCGAAAACACTGACCTCGAAAACACTGACCTCGAAAACACTGACCTCGAAAACACTGACCTCGAAAACACTGACCTCGAAAACACTGACCTCGAAAACACTGACCTCGAAAACACTGACCTCGAAAACACTGACCTCGAAAACACTGACCTCGAAAACACTGACCTCGAAAACACTGACCTCGAAAACGTAGTCTATGTATTACTTGAAAAACCTTTAGGCTCCTGTGCAAACAGTTTTCTTTGTGTTATTCACTGGTCATGCGAGCCACTGGATGGGCTACGGAGTCCCTTAACTGTCATCCAAAATTTTCATTCTCCTTTCCTTTTTTTTTTTTGGCGACTTTTTTTTTTTTAAGACCTCTTTTTTTTTTTCCGTCGCGATTTTTTTTTTGTCGCGACTTTTCCGTCGCGACTTTTTTTTTGTCGCGACTTTTTTTGTCGCGACTTTTACCGGGGGCTTTGCGGGAAAATGGCGTCGTCAGCGACAGATGATTTTTTGACCATAAATCTAAATTAAGAGCAGTTTATTCGTTATTGAACGTGCAACCGACCTTTTAATCCTTCAGATAAGTGGATTTCTAAGGGAAAGGGGAATCGCCGAGGACATAATAGTGAACTTTGAGGAGGAACGGGTGAGTGATTATTTTTAACTTTGCACGGACACTGAGCTGTTGTGGAATCAGTTGTCTTTGATCGAAGTAATAAGGTATTGATAAAATAAAAAAGATGATGCAATAGTCCAAATCTCCCAAACTATTTTTAAACAACCTACAACCACCTACAACCACCTACAACCACCTACAACCACCTTTATTTATCATTTTTATTTTATCAGGCATTTTTTTGACAATTTTTTTTGACAAATGTAAATACACACGGGAAGTGTTGTTTCATGACTTTTTATTCGCGACTCTTTTTCGCGACTTTTTATTTACATTGTTTTAAGTTTGCGTCAGAGAATTTTGGCTCACAGAGGATTACGTAGAAGGTATAACCCAAGTGATATTGATGCTGTTTTACAAGCTGTTGAGACCGAGTTGAGCGGCAGCGACAGAATCTTTGGTTATCGTGGAATGTGGCAAAGACTACTACAAGGTCATAATCTTGTTATTGGCAAAGAAACTGTTTGTCATGTGCTAAGAATAGTTGACCCGGCTGGAGTAGATCGACGCCTGAGAAACAGGCCCAGGCGGAGGAACTACCGAGGTGAAGGACCCAACTACATTTGGCATGTCGATGGCTACAACAAACTTAAACCTTTCGGCTTCTGCATTCACGGCTGTATTGACGGATACGGCCAGCGTATACTTTGGTAAGAGGTGGGAACAACGAAAAATTACCCGTGTGTCACAGCAAAATATTTTCTAGATTTTGTCCACTCAGTACGGGGTGGTTCACACATTGTCCGTGCTGACAATGGTACAGAGAACGTCAATATGGCAGCAATACAGTGTTTTTTCAGAAGAGAGCTGCTGATGCATTTGCAGATTAAAAAGAGTCTTTTGTACGGTTCTTCAATTTCAAATCAACGGATTGAAGCTTGGTGGAGTCAGTTACGACAGGGGTGAGCTGATTGGTGGATAACATACTCCAAAGATATGAGAGATAGTGGGCTGTATTGTGACAGCGATGTAATTCATGTACAATGTCTCCGGTTCTGCTACATGTCTGTCTTGCGGGATGAACTGCATAGGGCAGCTAGATTATGGCATGTTCATAAGGTAAGAACATCCTCGAATCCGGAATCACCACCCGAACGACCGGACATACTGTGTTTTCTGCCAGAAATTACACCGAGAATTTTTTAGTTAAAGCCTATTTTACCCAAGTACCGTTCACTGTGACTAATTGAGAAGCAGAAGAGTATTTAGCGTTTGGCCAGATCCTAGCGGTACATGTTCGGTTTTAGTCATATTCGAAGTTTGTTTTGCAGTGAACCAAGTATGCACATTCAGTTTAGGTCCTCACTAAGACTTGATTCAATGCTGCCTCAATCATTATCCGCATATGTGAGATGGTGGTGATCGACGCACATCCTCGGTTCACAGTTTGACAAACAATTTGGAATCTCATTTATATAGGATAAGAATAACAGTGGACCGAGGATGGTCTTCATCCCTAGCTGAGAAACACTGCAGGTTAGTACATGGCTGTCAGATAAGGACCCACTAACTGAGCATTGTTGTGTGCGGTTCTCTAAATACGACTGCAACCATTTTAATGACTTCCCAGATGTACCATTAGGGTCAAGCTTAGATAGAAGAATGATGTGGTCGACGATATCGAAAGCGTTCTTTAGATCTAGAGAAATAACCGCGATGATTTTCCCAATATTTTTATTATATGCCCGGACGTAAGTTGCCTCACGCAAAGCTGTAACAGTAGAGGATATAGAACGGAACCCCGATTGATATTTACATAGCATATCGTGCTCCTCTAAATGGACACATAATTGTTCGTAAACTAGTGTCTCTAATACCTACATAACATCGAAACGTAATCATATACGTCGTCGCGATCACGTTGCTTGTCATGGGGTGTGATTCCAGCAGATTGTCAGTCTCCTGGAATCATCATTACATCGATGTCGATGTCATGATCTCCGTACGTGTTCTGCTGAGGGTTAAGTCTCGCGCAAAATGTGTGACAGAATGTCTACGCTATTTTATCTAAATTTTCGTATCGGGGAAAAGTTCTCAAAGGCACAAACGAACTAGAATTATAAAATAATTCAAATAGTACGCGCGCTCTGATTGGCCATAAAACCATTTTACATGAGCGTATGTAAACACGGTTTTCGTTCCTCTTTCATTAGTTATTTTATAAAAGAAATGTAAAATGGTTTCTGTGTTTACATCAGGCTATGTAAACACGGAAACCATTTTCGCGTCGTGGTTTTCAATATCATCAGGCTATATAAAAACGGAAAGACATTTCTTCGATCATCAAAATAGACGCGAAACTAAAACACTACCGGTTGACTTAATTTAATCATTTAGTTTATTCATATTCATCAATTAGACTTTTTATATTTATACGATGTATGACAACCTGATTATTGCATCTTTAGCTTTCTGCACTTCTACTGGTTTCCTTCTTCGAGAATGACTTTATACATCGACCGATTCCTCAGGCTCACTTGGTGTGGCTGAAAAATACGTTATCGCATGAGGCTATTGATCATTAGAGACGAGCAAAAAAAAGCTTTGTCTCTTAGATATCGCTCTTTACCATTGTTTATCATCAGAATGTTTCTCTCTACCCGGGATTATAAAAAGACATTCTTGCGGTGGATTTGCATCCAATCCAGGGAAGTAACAGAAACGATTGTCACTTAGCGCCGTGGAAACTGGGGTTGAGGAGAAACTTTATAGTTTCTTTGTGAGTTTAGTTGTCGGCTTAAAGATGAACTTTCATCTTCTATAGGCACAAAATGAGATCTGACATAAGTTATATCTCCTAGAAATCACAAATACATTGCCAGACCACTTTTTTTCGCCTCCTTCAGTGCATTTCAAAGCGCGCTTTTACTCAAATTTGCCATTTCTTCAAATATGATTAAGTTTTAAATTATTTCCACTATCCTTTTTTTGGTATCGTCTTCCCTCAGAAGGTTCTTTGTCCTAAACAGCCAACAAGATTCACAATGGACAGAAGTCCCACAGGACTCCCACAGAAACTCTGCCATCTCCACCGCTAAGGAAGACCCCTCCCATAGTCACGAGTACAAAGAAACTTAAAATAGATGATGAAAAACTGCAAAGGCTTAAGTATTTTTCCCTACCAGATTTCCAACTACCATCGAAGGCTGCAATGTTCTCGTTGAATACTGCAGTTACAGTTTGGTTACCCTGTGTAACCTCAACCTAGAAAAATAAAACAGAACAAAACAAAAACGCTTTTTGAGACTAAAACAGCGTTACAAAGGTGACTGGAAAAGCATAGAGAACGTAAACAATGAAGGCTCATCATTACATATATTGTACCTTTCTTAGTTCCCAGCCTGCCTGACCTTGGATTCGTCTGGCTGATCTGATTCTCACCTCTGTGATGTCCCCAACATCGATGCCACTGACCTCGTATTCGAGTGAAACTCTGAGGGCGAAAAAAATTAGTGAACTTTTTGTCATCAATTTTGTTCAAGCATTGAGATGTAAGACACAAATTTTCGTTATGGGTTATTTTCAGTTCCTTCCATGATATTTCCTAACGTTTTGATAACTATCTGTTAGTTTTGAACGTACTACATTGAGAAAGCATTGTAAAAATTATCACGCATCCAAGTTCTCTGAGATCACCCTGCCTATGGGTTCTTCTCCAGAATGGTAGTCACCTCTGCAGCCGTTTTTTGGTGTCGTTTAGGTACGTACTCTCTCCCCCACCAACAACGATTGCGAAGAATACTGCCAAAATGGCAACCGAGATTAATAATGCATCATAAAGGAAAACATGGCAAGTTGCTCTTCGTTTTGTCAAGAGAAAGAAATAATTGAAGTCCTCCACGGGGAGCGGCATAAAAATCCTTAGAACTACGTAGTGCACTAATGTACCACTGAGTTGTAACAAACACGATGTCGATGTTTTCAGATTTTAAAGGTCTTTGAAGTGGTTCTTAGATCAAGGAGTTTTAATACTTTCACTTTCACGTATGACCGAAGACAATTTCTCCTTTCCGTTGTTATTGTGATGTCAAACACACAGGTAATGAGAATTGAGAAAAATTTAAACTATAGGGAATACTGACATTAGAAGGAATGTATGGCAGGCAGAAAGGAGAATTGATTTTGCAATCTAAAGAAATCATTGGTTATTAGCCTACCCTGGGGTTGTCCTTGGGGCATGTAACAACAAGTCTTCTGTCATTTTTCCACCGCTTCCGACGAGCAGGGTGAACAGACGGAACTCTGACGTGATGATATTTGTTTGAGGGGTGAAAACTTTCACCGTGTAGGAAACTTCGATGTGATTAAAATATACAGCGATAAGAAAAGCACCAAAGAAAATGATAATGATAACAACGATGAAAAGGACAATGACAATAAATGTGAGGATGATTATAATAATAATAATACGATAGAAATAACGATAATGACAATAATAATAACTATGACCATGACAATGACATGACAATTATAATGGCAATGTCAATGATAATGATTATGACAGTTGCAATGGCAATAGCAATATCAATGAAAATGACCATGACAATGACAATGAAAGTGGCAATGGCAATGGCAAGGGAAATGGCAATGGAGATGACATTGATTATTTTAGTGATAACTATAACTATAACGACAATTACAGTTACCATGACGATGAAAATGACAATTACAATGACCATGGCCATGACAATGGCAATGGCAATGAATATGGTAATGATAACGATAACGACAATGAAAGTAACCATGACCATGACCATGGCGATGACCATAACAATGGCAATGATTATGATAACGAGGACGACAACAATAACGACAATGACTAACCAGGACCATGACAATGACCATAACAATGGCAATGATGATGGCAATGGCGGTGACAATTGCAGTGGCAATGACAATGATTATTACAATAGCAGTGGCAATGGTGATGGCGATGGCAATGGCAATGGCAAGGGCAATAGCAATTTCAATGGCAATGGCAACGGCAATGATTATGAGAACGATAACGATAACCACAATGACAATGAGAGTGATAATGAGAGCGATAATGATAGTGACGATGACGATGCCGTTGATTCTGATTCTGATAACGATGATGATTGTAATGATAATTATATAAATGCCTATCCAGTTAACAGTGACCTCATTAAATATCTTTGAAATCGTTTTGACCTAAGAATGTTGTTATACGAACGTAACTCACTGTGACCAAAGTAAAAAAAATTAAAGAAAACCTCTTACCTCGACAGAATAATAGTCTTCTAATACGAAAAGCGAGGTCATCGGCGATTTCGTTCAAGTTTGCCTCAGTAAGTTCCATTTCGATTCCATCCCTTGGATCAGACACAATGCTCTTCAGTTGATCTATTCGCTGTGTGCCGTTTACGTTGGGAATAATAGCACCTACAAGACTGATGTTGTCAGCTCTTATCACTCTCTCTGTATTTTGGAGCTTGAAGGTGTCCAATAACTCCCCATCGCCGCTTTCTGTATTTCCGTCAGTGAAGAGCACAACGATCTGAAAATAAGGTGGAGATTTAAGTCCCCATTGAAATTAAACCCAAAAAGGGAAAAATGATTGACTAGGAGAAAGGTTTAGGCACATTCTTGATACAAGGAATTCTGCGTAAATTTTCATATCTGGTTTGGCAGTGAAATCACAAGGAAACCACTTGGCTGGACCTCGTAGTTTCACTCTAGTTTTGAACATTGTTGAAGTCATTTCAGTAATCAATAAGGTTACAGACAATGGAAAATTGTGGTTGACTGCTACGAACTTCCAAATTCCAGTATGAGGTATGTTGCCCCCGCCCCACCCCTCCCATCCCAAAATCCTGAACGTAACCCTATACCTTCGCTGGATCTTTACCCTTCCTGTGAGCTGAACGTTCGGCGAACTTCTTTGGGACTTGATTTTTCAGGACGCGAATTAAGCGGTTGTAGGGGCCTAGTCCTCCTTTGAGGTATTCATAATTCACGTAGTAGATTGCACTAGCTGCTGAACCCCAACTATTCATTTTTGTCTTTGAACCGTATCTTCCCATCACAAACTTGTAGTCGGTGTCATCACTGTTCAGTGAAGTCAGTAGCGTTCTCACTATACATTGTACACTTGAACGAATCCCTTCAGAAATGCTCCGGCTGTCTTGGATCAAGACGATAACATCTGCCTTGGTCTTGCATAAACCACCAGCTGAAATTATGAGCAGAACAAGAGAGGATTAAATCAAGAGAGGAGATTCTCCATATTCCCAAAATAACAGCTCTTCGAGTTATTTTCACTGAGATCACTCCCGTTTGCGGGGAAATCTCTAGTGGCCAGATACGTGCATGTATAGGAGCGCGGGAAAACGAAATGTCGTTTTTTTGTATGTGCATTCCTCCTCTCGCACGTGATCCAATCGTTGCTCTCTCCTTCTGCTTCCCTCATCACCCCTTCAAAGACGGAAATAAAGGGCGTGTCTTTCACAAGGCGAATCTCGCATGCATATTGAAATTATGTGACTTTCGCTGACTGAGGCAATATCTGGCGGAATTTGGGAGCTTTTGAGTACAACTTCTGATCAGAAATTAAGATTCCCGCTTGCCACTGAATAATTGAAGATATGTTTCTTAAGTATCGTTTAAAATTTACATGGAATAGGGCAGTCTCTTGGATTTCTTGTCCTCCATCCGGCATAAGTATCTAAGTCAAGGACGTTCCTAAATCGTCTAAAGCACCGGAGTAGCTCTGAGTCGCAAAGACACGCGGCATAACCACACTTCCCCACTTCTGGATCATTTGAATTATATTCACTCGCGGGAGCTAAAAAAGAAAAAGAATGGAATATAATAATAAGCTACATCCGAGGTACCCAACGGCTCCGTGGAGCCTTTGTTTGAGAATCATTTTTTATTCTTACACAAAACTCATTCTCACGGGAAGAGTGTTGGACGTAGTGCCGTTTTCGAAGTGAGGGTTTTGGAGCTATAAAACAGAAACCCATAACCCAAAACAAGCCGAAAGTCCGGACATGCCCACCAGCTATTGGACCAAGGCCTTTCTAATAACACAGCGATCAACGGGCTGTGCATGCACGAACGTTGTACTGGCTAAGTGGCATATTTTTAGGCTGTCAGAACAAAATTGTCGCACAACTGCTATAAACAACCACGCATGCCGGTAAGTGATGGTAGGTCCAAATTGTAAAACTAGTTTGATAAAACCCTCACATAATTTACGTCTTCGAAAAGTCTCGATTTTTCCTTTTCCCTTTCCTAAAGGGGCAGGGGATATAGAGATTAATGTGTGCAAAGTGCTTGAACGATCTTTATTCACGAGTTGCTATGCGTCAAAAAAACGAACGAGTGAAGGCAGCGAACGAGTGACTTTTTTTTTGCACCGTAACTCGTGAATAAAATCGTTGATACTGAGATTTTCTCTTACTGACCGACACATTTCAAGGATTGGAAGCGAACAACTGTGAAAATACATCGTTCGTCCAATCAGAGACACGAAAATAGTACTTCACGGTGTAAATCTCAGTATGTATGAAATAAAACACTTTGTCTCGTTGTACAGATTTCTCTGAACGTTATATTGTTTTTTAGCATATTTTGCGGTACAGGTGTTTCTTATGTTTTCCTTCTTTTACGGAGAAATTGGCACGAAACAGACCAAAATTGGCCTCCGTGTGCATGCGCGACGTTTGACCGCTGTGTCCTCGCCATTAAGAATTGTTCGGAGATTTTCGTCCGTGCTCTCACGGTCAATCCTTATCGTAGAACGTGACCGAGACGAAAAAGATGACTGTGAGGAACGTAGACGCCAAGGACTTTGGCAATATGATACACACAACGACAAAACTTAACACAGATATTATACACAAAAAATATTGATAATACTCACTGCAAGTGTCAGTAGCTGCGTCGTACTCGAATCTCTGATCAATATTGCGGAAGTTACCACCACATTTATCCGGTTTAACTAAGTTAAGCTCGCAAAAATCGTGGGCTTTGCAACAACTGAAGTTAAAAGAAAAAAAAATAGATCTTCCTTTTTAACTTCCATCGAACAAGTTGACCAGTGAGTGCCTAAAGTTATTAAAAATGCACTCATACACACACACACACACCTAAACAATTGACTGCAGCACAAAAGCGATTGTGAAACCCCTATGTACTGGTCAGAAGATTCACTAAAAGTTAACAGGAGACGAAGGAAGGAATGACTGCCGAAACACAGAAAACAACTTCGTTTTCTGAGTAAAAAGGAAGAAGGAATTGGAAAAGGAAAGCAAGAATGCTGAATAGGAATCGAACGATACTGTGAAAAGGCATAAAGGTTGTGGTCAACAATCTTGATGAACGACAATAGTAATCAAATTCTGTTCTTTGTTTCACGATGTACCTAGTCAGCTGGGATATAAATCGCGACGTTTCGACGGTTTATTGCGAGTCCCCTTCAATATTCTTCTCCCTTAACTTACAAATCAAACTTATCCACGGTTCTTCCCATTCCACCAATGCCGCACCAACAGCCATAGCCGTAAATTTGGTAGGTCTGTAGTAAAGTAAGACCCAGAGCTTGTGATACCAAGTCTGCAAGTTGTTGTAGCCTTGGGCTGATACCGCCAATGGTCTTTTTCTCCCCTTTGTGAGCTGGAAAAGAAATAGCCACAAAAGGCATGGTCATTTTCGTCGTCGTCATTTCAACATTTGACCACGTGTCTATTTTCATATGAGGTTAATAACTACCCGTCGCCATATGTACCACAAGCACGACAAAGAAATAAACCTTAGCGGCGATAAAAGGCACTCCATAGCCTATTCAATTAAAGCGGGGAACTGAATCGAAACTTTGCATATTTTGTAAGTTAAAAATTCGTTATTTTGAGTTCTGACTCGGAGAAATTTAATAATCTAAACGATTTCTCGGCTTAAAAATCCATCCACACCCTCCCTCTCCCCCCCTTTCCCCCTCCCCCTTTAAAAAAAAATGAAGACTTACCTTTGGTAAGAGCGCCGTTAGTGGATGAGGTTTGGCCTACCAAATTGGAAACTGAATTATTAGTTTTGAAATCATTGTCACGAAAGGAAAGTGGTAAATATTGTTTTTAGCGGCGAGTCTTTTTTTTCTTAGCATTGTAACTCAAGAGTTATCTGTGGTTATTTAATACCCAGCTTTGGAAAGTTTTAACTCCTTTTGCTCTGCGATTGGTCTTAAACTCGCTGCATCCTTGTAAACAACCGACTGCAATGTTAAAACCAATCACGATTCTCGTTTTCACGCCCTCAAGCCCGATACACGTACTACCTTTATTCTGATTGGCTCTCGTGACTACTTCATCTTTGGTTCTTACGATTTGCTCTTCTTTGCACCCTATATTCCTTGTAACACAGTGATTGATCTCTCTTCAGCTATTTGATTTAGAAACTTTTTTAATCCAATGCCTATCAATTTTTATTTGTTTGCTCTTGTACACACTTCGCTTATATCTTTCTCATCGAAATTTTCGCGATTCGTTGCAATTAATCTGTTAATTAAACGTATCACATTAAGGTTACCAGAGTTGAGGTCCATCAGGAGAAATGCCATTCCCACAAACACGCACACAATATTCATCTTTTCAACAAAATCCTGCATAATAGGGCGCAAGTTATATCAGTTATGACATAGTAACAGATTCTTCTCAAACAAATCTTGCATAGAGCACAATATCGGCACCTCAGCGAGGCAAATCCATAACATTCAGTTGTTTAATCTAAATTCAGTAAAGACATGTATATGACATTATTTTACAAAAAACCACCCCATGCATTGCTTGTTTTTCGCCTAAAAAAGCTACTTGGTTAGTGAAAAAATGATGTAGTCTATTTGAATCACTTATTACTGGAAACTGCCTCAGCATTCCAAGATGTTTTCGAATCAACTAAGTCAGTTTCAATCCTGTGAGTTTTCTATGATCCCTGCTTTTTTTCCTGTGATTCTTTTTTCGCCTATCTCGTCAACTGCGACAAGAGATTATAAACTAATAACACCACAAATGGGATGGCATGAGAGGCGCGGAAAAAGAATTGCGGATGATCAAAAAAAAAGGTAACAAAAATACTTCGATACTGGTTCTATAAAAGCGAACAAATCAACAATAAATGTGACATTATTAAATATGATGACTGATTTTTATTCAGATTGTACTAAAAAACGATCTTGGTAAGACAAATTTAGTTTATACACTTTTTTCATTCAAGGACTTTTTTCACAGCACCGTTGAGGCGGAAATTGACCCAGATGTGAGAACATGCCTCGTACAGGCACTCGGCGTCACATATGAGTCTGGTTAATAACACGTGTTGGCAGTTTAAGAGTGTCAAGTTACATTTCTTTGCTGCACACAAAAACTTCATTCTTAGGTTTCTAGGGGTTAAGCTATGTTCTTGTTACAGCCTTACCATGGAAAACCATTAAAGCGATTTTGTCATTTGAAAAAATGGAAACAAAAGTCAAATCTTAGAACAACCTAATTTGGAGCATATTTATCTAGAGTACAATTTCATTTCAGACTGGACGGCAAAATAGTATTGATAGATCTGTAAAAACAAAAGGGAAATAACAGTTTAGTATACTTACGTGGACAGAAGTTAAGTTCCGAGTTCCTTCTCAATCTTTTGACTGCGATCGCGCTAAATTACTAGTGGAGTCTGTGGGCTAATTATATTTATAACAACTATACTATCAATAATGCAAGCTATTCATTGGAATTATTGTTTACGCTCATCGACTTAGTTTTTTTAATTTCTATTTGTAATAAAGGAAGTACTTATTTTAGCTTGATATATGATATATTGACCTGTAGAAGCAAGAACTAAATAACGATTTAGCCGTTTTCTCCCGAAATTGTATCTCTCTGAGGTGAGACTGATCTATATTCAAACTAAAACAGAGCAGAAATATTAATTATGTATGATTACCATTCAATCAGCTGTACCATCCTTGAACCTAATGGTATTAAGGTAAGAGGATTTATGTCAACATTGCTGTTAAGAAGCACTTTTACCTGTAGTCTTTCAAAGAAAATTTCAATGATTTAAAACCCATGCATTTTATGAAAGCTTAACGATAACCGAGATTGCAACGATCCTTTTCAAATATTCCTACAAGTTAATTTTGCATGATGTTGAAAAAGGTAGCATCCCGGTTACCCGGCTCACTGCTAACTGGTACCCTCCCACGTTTGAATCATCTGAGAGACTGAAGCAAATATTTTCCCACACATTATCATCGAAAAAGATTACGACGCAGTATATTTTTTCTTTAAAAATCTCTTTTCAAGCGAGGACTTTTTATTACGAGCCCTTCTTCGTGCGACAATGCCCTTTGTGACTTAACAACGGAAGCGAAATTGAGAAAAGAGAAAAAAAGGCCTCCTAACGCCCTTCGAAGGGGTTTAGTAATATACTACTTCCGATTTGCAGCCAATTATAAGACGCTTGTAAAAAAATTCCTCCCCCTTCGATCATCAAGTTTGGGGGTCAAAAGAGAGCAGTCGCGGATGTTGATCCTGCTGGTGTGTGCGTAGGATGTAACTGGTGATCAGATCGGTGTAATGTAGTAAATGAAGAGCATAAGGGCAGATAAAACGTAGAATCAATGTTGTAAGATTTTCTATCACATTTCTTCGCCACCCACATTTAGTGAAAAATGTATTCAGATACAGATACAGATCTTTATCGAAGCTCCCCGAGAGGGTTTTTCTGCATCGATTCAAATGGTTAAAAGATATAAAACTAAAATTAAAGAATATTGAATTATAGTTACAGCTAAATATATATATATCAGAAGAATAAAAATATTGAATAATGAAGTTAACCTAATGGCAGCTTAGTAAATTGACGCTTAAATTTCTTGGGATGTTCCAAACACTTAAGATTGCTGCTCAATGAGTTCCATAGTTTCGCTTCTCTATAAGCAAAAGACCTCTGACCAGTTGAAAGGCGGCAAAAAGGTATATCCAGGGTATTAGCTGATCGAGTTTTCCTGTCATGAACACAAAAACGTAGCCTAAACTTATTTGAAAGGTTAATCAGGAGCAAGATTATGAATGCATTTGAAAACCATAGTTGCGTCATTCAATTTAAGTCTATCTTTAATAGGGAGCCAATTCAATGATTTTAGTCCTTCGGGAATATGGTCATATTTTCTAAGTCCTAGATCAATTCGTCCAGTAAAGTTTTGAACTTTTTGTAATTTGTCCATGTTGGAATTGCTGGTATTGCTCTAGACACTTGAGCAATATGATAATTTGCTAAAAACGATCTCTCTCAGGTTTCTCGCCTGCAGTGTTCAGGTCAAGATTATAACAAAAAACTCCCGTTACTGAATGTTTAGTTTGTTGCGTTTTTGTTTTTTTTTCTATTGTGAAATCTATGGTAAGAATGGGTAGCTGTGTTCATTTCTGTTGACATAACATTTTATTCCTTTGAACGAAGTGCGGCGAAAGTTCCCCTTCGTCAATGCTCTAGAGTTTCGTTGCTGCAGAGTAATTCCCTCAGGAAACCACAAGCTAACTTCTAAAGAAAGAATCAGCTGTATCAGGAGGCACGATGATTTGTCGCCGAGAAGTCATTGGACAGTTTCACTGCAAGTTGCTCCTCTCCTCAGAGATTATAAAGACAGAGGATATCGTCGTCGAGCCGGTCAAATGGAAAACGAGTGAGTTTATAGTCATCTGATTCAAGTTAATCTCAAATTGGGATTTTAATGGATAAAAACTTCTTTAGTGTAAGTGCAGCATTGCCATATGACCAATTTTATTCCTTCGTACGAAGTGCGGCGACGGTTCTTCTTCGTCAGGGTTCTAGAGTTTCGTTGCTGCAGAGTAATTCCCTTAGCAAACCACAAGCTAACTTCTGAAGAAAGAATCAGCTGTATCACGAGGCACGATGATTTGTCGCCGAGAAGTTATTGGGCGGTTTCACTGCAAGTTGCTCTTTTCCTCAGAGATTATAAAGACAGAGGCTATCGTCGTCGAGCCGGTCAAACGGAAAACGAGTGAGTTTATAGTCATCTGATTCAAATAAATCTCAAATCGGGATTTTAATAGATAAAAACTTCTTTAGTTTAAGTGCAGCATTGCCATATGACCCATTTCGCTCAATAGCAAATAACTGACACCAGTATTCTTGATACAGACTTTAACACAGCACTTGGATTCGCTACCATCTAATTCAATAAAATTTGCGCGGTTTCTTTATTTATCTCGTTGCAGTGCTGTTATCACATTGATATTGCTACTGTTATAACCTTTTAGTTTCTTGAGGGCAGGGGGGAATTGATGGCTCGTGGGATGGATTTTCGGAAACTTAAGTTAGGAGAATACACAGCCCCTTCGAGCTCGTGTTTATGCCAGAGGTTTCGCGCTGTTCGCCTAACAGGATATCGGTCAGTTAAAGAAAGGGCATGAACTTTATTAAAAATTATGTAATCCTGGTAACAAAATGCGATGGAAACTACAACTGATAGGATTTTCATATGATACTGAGAAAAGCGCAAATGTAGTCATGTCGAAAGACAAGGAGTATTAGTACATCTCAATTAGTGAAACAAACTACAGTGAGGAACTCACCATTGTTTGCTTGCGACATGTCAGCTGAAAAGAAAGTTGAACAATCGTTTACGGTGTGGGAACAGGTTCCTTAATCAGCATTCTTTTAGCTTAATTCATTGATTGTCTTCCCTTGATTTGTCTGGTGGTACGTGTTCGTAACAGCCGTCTTTGAAGCCGGTACGGAGCATAAAGCCGACGACATTGAAGACTAAAATCTCCTCGATGTCGACGATCGAACGCGCCCATTTGGCCATACAGCTACATCCTTTGGAATGTAGTATATATAAATACCCGATATATGTGTATTATTCTTGTAGTTAACACCATTTAGCACTCCAGCCACGCAATACATTCGTTCTTTCTTCTAGATTTCTCCTTTCTCTACCATAGTTGCCGACGTGTCTTCAAAGTTTTCTACGTCACAAGCTGTAACATGATCGATTTGGCCGCGTGCTTAATGGTGAAACTTTCTGGCCGCCAAATTGTACCTTCAATGGGGTAGTACTTGGTGTAAGACTGCACAAAAGAATGGTCAAGGAGAACTCGCTAGGCGCAAAGGTCGATTATTTCTAATTTTAAATAGAGCTATTAACCTGCATAAAATACGAAAAAAGATTTCGTGTCATGGGCCCTTAAAACCAATCAAACGCACTTGGGGAAAAACCGACAATATGTAAAAGATTCATTAGTTATGCCCACGCAAGTCGAACGTCGACCCAACGTAACAATCTGCGACCAGGCGTTCTTCTAATTTTCCGGGGAGCGCAATAGTAGTGTAACAACGCCATGAGAGAAAGCCAGGGAAAAAGAACATCTAATCCAATGACTCGTGCTGTATATTTTCAGTCGTTTTGTTTTTCGCAGTTGTTTCTCTGGCCACAGATTCCTACGCTGCTTAATATCTCGCTTCTCCCCTCCGAAAAAGAACGCTTAGAAATCGCCCGTTAACGCTCGTTATTGGAAGACCTCTGTGTAAATAGAGCGGATAGCCTGGACAGTGGCAGACTGACAGCTGCTTGAGGAGAACTGGGTCGAGGAAAGATCATGACAACGAAGTAAACAATATGGCGGACAAGTTACTTTCCCATCTTTAATCTGCGCCACTATGCATCACTTGTAATATGCACTGATCTGAATAGAAATACATGCACAAAGTTCATCTAAGTTGTTTCCATTCGTCATGCCAAAAAAAGTGGGGAAGAAGAAAGGAAAGAAGAAATCGAGCAAGTCTGTTGCTGACCGCGAAAGATCCCTTCAGCTGGGCACTGTACCGAACAAAACCATGGTGCAACATATGGCATCTGAGACACTGAGTGTAGCAGGTAGCAGTCGTGGCGGTACGTCCTCGAGAGAAAGGGTAAGCCTTAAGACTCTAATCTGAGTGATTGACCAAAGTTTACGCTCTTCTGAATATGGTAGCATTTTTGAAACTTTGAAATTTACAAAATTGCATTTTACAAACATTGCCTTTTAGGAAAGCTGAATTAAAATTGTAGATCACATTTTTGTCCCTCTTTTAGAAAATCATGTAAGCGTCAGTTTGTAATTGTTGGGTTACTTCAGTTAAGTTTAGTTTTCCTTGTAAGTTTTTAATTTATTAACAACCAGTTCTTTCAATATAACTCAGATTTTGTAGATTCAGTTGTATTCACGTTAACTTAAACATTTGCCAGGAAAGTCAAATTTTATAATGTTTAATTTCCTCTTGGTGGGAAATAGCTGTCACTCACTTTTAATAGAGCCTTGATCGAGCGATTGACTAATTTAGGGATCGACTGACTGAAGTTTTTAGGTAAGCGTACGAATATATTCATTAGTGTTTGAGTAATACTCGCAGATGTTTTCAAGCCTGTAAGCATTTCCTAAGTACACCTCTCTTTGTGATATTTTGATTAGCTGTCCCAAGCTTTGTTTGAAGCTGAACTGCGGAACCAAAGGAGATTTATGAAGGGAAGAGTCACAACAAGAGCATATGAACAACTTACACCACAGGAGATCAGAGATCTTAAGTTGGTCTTTGATGTATTTGATACAGACAAAAGTGGGTTAGTATATTGTTTATATGTACAAGTACCTCACAGAAGTCTATTGGTTGATCCTGAGTAAAACTGATTGGGTCATTGAGTTTAATCATGTATTATTCTGATAAATATTTTGTATGGAAAACCATTTTCTTAGTTCCCACTGGCCATTAAACTTTAATTTTGGTGCAAAATATTGCTTATCAAGGAAGTCTGTTCCTTTTTTGGTGATAAAAATTCAACTGTATTCACTCTTCCCTGTCAGTATTTAATACTATGGGGATAATTTGTGGATCAACCAGGATATGAAAAATTTTAACCATTTTTGTATTGTTAAACTAATTAATTTTTATAACCTTTATATCTTAGGTCAATTGATGCTCGAGAACTTAGAAAGGCTATGAGAGCGCTAGGGTTTAAGATTTCAAAAGAATCTATAGAGGACATGATAGGTAAGCAAGTGTGCTATTTAATGATTCATCTGTTGATCATCTGAAAGGCCTCAAGCTGTCACTAAATGTCTCTTGCTTACTGAGTTCAAGCTTGGTACTGTGAGCTACAGACCTGGGTTTTCCACTCAAATCTATTGCCCAAGTGAGAAGCATGTAAGCAGTAAATCATACATACCAGAAAGATCTCTGCCAGAAATTATACTTTCAGTTGAAGTTACTTGCTTGATTGACAATAACTGTTACAATCATTTTTTTTTGTTTTTATTTTAAACAGCTGACTTGGATATTGACAAATCTGGGTAAGTTTTCTTCTCCTTGGCTTAGCCTGCAAAGCAGCCCTTTCTGTCTCCTTTTTAGCCAAGGAAGAAAAAAATGAGTTGAATTAAGGCAAGGGGAGGGGTAGGGAGAGTGAAGTTTAACAGCAGCTCTAAGACATCTTCAACCAACCATATTTATCTAGGCTGGGTACCCATTCTCTGGAAGTCTAAGAGAAACTGACTTTGAGACAACATGACATTACTATAAGTATAGTAATTGTTTAATTGTGATAGAAGTTAACAAACCATGTCATCAAAATTTCTCATTTTTTTTTTTTTTTTTAATCAGCTGCACACGACTAAATAAGTGGATGTGGTTTCAGGACACTAATGTTACTTTACCTTTTTTTTTTGCTTATTTTTGCTTACAGATCAATTGAATTTGATGAGTTCTTGGAATTCATCATTGCAAGACAGGGGGATGGCAGAGATGTACACAATGAAATTGTCCAAGTATGTAAGAGGCTCGGAATGATATATTGTTTGCAATTGTTCTGAAAAATTTGCAATAATTGCTAACGTGACCATTCAGTTTACTCTTTCATTGCCTTTTTTATCAGATTCTCAAGGCAGGAACAGTGAGATTTTATTTTGACTAATGCACAGTATGCAATTAATGGGAGTTAAAAAAACTTTTAATAAGTGCTGGATTGTAATTTGTGGTATATCATGCTTTTCATTACCTTTCTTATGACTTGATTTACTATAATTATTGTTTCCTCTAGGGTTTCAAGATGTTTGACACAGGTGAGCCACTTTCATGAAAATAAACTACGGTACTTTTAATTTTTTTTGTCAGGTTTTTGGGACATTGCATGAATTATACTCTCAACACTCTTTGAGCCATAAAGGGGACTACACTGTAGTCTTTCTCCTCACAATTTCACTCATTAAGGTCATGAGAATAAAGGAAGAGATCACTAACTTAAGAAGCTGTTGATTGTTAACAAACTCTCCTGGTCAGCCCTTTAGGAAATGTGTAGAGGACAGTCTAGAGAGTATGAATACTGATTTTAGGTTATCACTGGTTCAGTTCTCATGTGCTTAAAGCAAATGCAAAGTGCCTTAACAGTACAATAGATCTAACTACTCTTGAAAGTGCAACTTTGAAGAAGCCATCCACTTCTGCTCTCTCAGTTCTTGAGCATTTCTCAGTTCTTTGAGCATTCATTTTTAGTTATATCTTCCAAGGAATGATGACAATATCAGCTTAAAGATATGATATCTATTCAGTCAGGAATTCACATTGTTGCCATATACTTGTAAATAAATCACAACTTATAAAGAAACACATAATGTTTTATATATTTTTTCAATTTCCAGACAAGACAGGGAAAATATCATTAAATAATCTGAAACAGGTGTCCAGGCTGTGTGGTGTAAAGTTGAATGAACAGGAACTCAAAGAAATGATACAAGAAGCTGATAAAGATGGTGACAATGAAGTGGATCAGGAAGAATTTGTGAGCATGATGCTAAAAACTAACTTGTTTAGTACATAATTGAGAATTGACCAGAAGAGGAAAATGTGAACTGATCAGTCTTACTAAGAAGGCTTACCATGACTGAAGGTATCAAAGATATCTAATATTAATCCTTTAATTCCCAAGATCTCGTTAGTAATTCTCCTTACTGTCTGTCATACAATTCATGTTAGTTTGGAGAATTTTGGAATTGGATCAACCAATAATCTTCTAATTGATATTTTTCTTAATTCTCATCACTTGTCTGCTTGGTATTGTGCTGATAGAGTAAGGAGAAATTCTATCTTGGTCACTAGTGGGACTTAAAGGGGTAAAGAACACTTAAAGAACATTTTACAGAAGGCATCTCCTTGGTTTAAAACCTAGTTAAGTTGAATACAGAAACAATTTACGTACAGACTCTTTCTAAGGGCAGCAGTGCTATCTTCCATAAATTAAAGATGGTGAAACTATTATTTTTAACTTAAGGTATGATTTTTGTTTTGGAGGGGAGAGGGGGCTCATTTAAAGATTGAAGTTCTCAAGGAAGTTTAAAAAGAGGGGTTAAAGTTTGCTCAGAACTGATATGACAGATTTTTTTTTTTTGAGGGGGGAAGGAGAATTCAGTTAAAAACTTGAAGTTTAAAAGGTAGGTTTGTGGGGAAGGTGCATAGCTTTACTCAGAATTGATAACACAGTTTAGAAACTGCTTCATTAATATACCCTCTCTCAATCAAAAGCATCTGACCAGGTCCGTTAATTCCACAATTTGGATGGAGTTGTAAATAAATTACTACTTAAATACAAAACTCTGATTTCCGAAAAAAAAAAAAAAAAAAAAGTCAAATAGCTTACAGTCAGACTTTGTTATTGACACTCATACATCAACCAAACTACTATTTGAAAATACACACCTACATGTTACAGCCTTGAGCATGGCTTAAAAGTGCAACCAAGTTAAGATTGGTTTAAGTGTTTTGATTGGTTTTTATAGCAAAGACCATTTTTTTCTTTTTTAAATGAATCACCAGAGCACAGTAAAGCAATGCAGACCTGTATAACTTTTTACACTCAACTGATAAATTAGTCTATTTTTTTAGGGAGCTTGCCAGCCCAATAATTTTTATTTGGAGACTTGCCAAATAATATATTTTATTACCTTTTTGACTGTCATAATTTCATTAGAAGTTTAATTTGTGACTTTCTCAAAAGATGATATATTTACTCAATTCTTACAAACATACTACATGCAGTTTAAATTTGCAAGTAAGAAATTATATGCAAGTACTGTACTTTGCAAAAATTGAATAATTTATGTTGTGTATATTAATAATTTATATTGTGAATGTTTTGAAATAAAAAAGATCATTTTGTATGTTAAGAAATATTTCTATCAGTAACTCAGTGAGTATGAGGTTTCTAGTGATGTTGCCTGAACATGCCCTGTATATCTATGAATTATGTTTACTGGTAACCATTATACAAACAAAACAAAAAAAAATGATGCGTTTTAAGATAAAGCACAATTATTGCACTAACTGTGCTCCCTTGATCACCCATCCAGCTTTTTCCATTCCCTTCATTTCCGCATCCAACAGTACATGCAATTATCACAGAATTTCCAATCTTCCTTGATTGTCAAACTTGCATTAAGCAACAAGTGCAATTCTTTAGAAAAAAATATTTATTTTGCATCTTGGAAATAATTGTGACAGTCATTTTTTATATTGCAAGAAGTCCTAAATCAGCCACTATGCCCACACTGGAATTTTCTAACTGAGAAACTGAAGACTCAAGCTGTGAGTTTGACTCCTCTTCTTTCCTTCTCTCTTCTCTCCTTTTCTTTTTCTCCTTTTTAGCCAGTTCCTTTCTTTTCTTGTTACTTAAATGTGTATTAGTCGATCCTTGCTGGTTCTTTGATTTATCGACAACTTTGGGTCTTGCACCATGGTGTTCATATGCCTTAGTTAATTTCTGTTCTTTTTGAGATAGGGATTTACAAGAGTCTTGAACAGTTTCACTTGTAATGCCACTTGATGAATTTGAAAAAGTTTCTATCTCACTAGTAGTTCTTGTTTCTGATAATTTTATGTCATCCTTGGAGGAACAACCACAGGTTACAACACCTGAACCAGTTTGGTCATTTTCCTTAATGTCATTATTTATGTGATTCTTTTTTGTTGTATGTGTCTCTGCTTCCACTGTCAAAGAACATTCCATTCCATGTTCATGATTATTCACTGGTTCATTGCTTGCAGCAGACCTGTCTTGAGATAAATATCCTGAAACAAATTAACATAATTATTAAACTTCAGAGTACATGGTCAATCATAGTCGAGTTTGAAGTAAGATACCCTCTTTCAGCCTTCAGATGGAGGTCTGCAATGAGAATTGGGAAAGGCGAGATAGATAGGCCATTTGAATTCAAGTTCCCAAATCCCTCACTTTCAAATGAAGCGAAGGGCAAAGCCTTTCTTGTGAAGTGAGATTTCTTTGCAATGGAAAATTTTTTTTTACATACTTAAATGGCTTTGCTTTTACCCTTATTCTCATGCAAATACTCCAGGCATCTCAGAAATAGCGTAAAAACAAGTTTAATTAGCCTTAACACATGTTCATAAAAATTTTGAAAACATGCTTTTATCAGCAAGCAAAAACAGTTATGAACACAATCATTCAACTAATAAATAAAATATCTTTGAAGCTATCTTGTATAAATTTTGAGAAAAACTAGTCAAGGGAGGTTTCTTACAAATAATCTCAAACACATGTCACCTGTCTCCTCAGTGATAAACATCAACTGAAGAATGTAATTAATGGAAGCATCAACATCATATGCATTCTCCTCCAGGGTTTGAGCTATAATGGCCAAGTCCTTTAAAACAAATGTTTACAGTCAGCAAAGGCAAGAAGCTAAATGCCAAACCATGACTTAACTTTTATTTTCCTTTGTTTCAGAATTCCTTATTACACAATTGCTCTACCGAAAAAAGCATATTAAATAAATAGGAAAACCAATAAAAAAGTAAATACATGAAACTTGATGCAAGAACAAACTACAGTGAATCCTCTCCTTAGAGACACCTCCATCCAGGGGACACAAACTTTGGTCCAACGAAAATAAAAATATTTATATAATCTTTGTATCTGACACTTCTATTAAAGAGACCCCTCTATTTGGGAGAAGGGTACACTAATATCTAAAATTAACATATAGTAGAGATTATCAAATTTCCCCTTAAGAATGTAAAGTAATCAATACTCAGAGATAACAAGACTCCATCCACAAGTGGCTTTGTAACTCCTATCTGTTTCTTGATTAACCCTTTACACCCTAACATCAATATGCTTATTCTCCATACTGTTTTCTATGCAACTCCTAAGGTGCTTACAAAGGAGAATTTGTTTATCAATCAAGAGAATATTGAAATGGTGATCATTTCCTTTATTCTCATGACCTTACTGAGTGATGCAGGGGTTATACTGTTTGGAGAAATTAGATGCTAGTCACTCTCAGGGGTTAAAGGGTTAAGCAGGGGAAGGAGTCAAATGAACTCTAAAGACTACTCCCCTGCGTACATTGTATGCTCATGTATAAGAATGTAGTCATTTCAGATCTGTACCTTACATCCAGTGGCTGTCATAACCAGTTCTTCTGCTGTAAGCTCATCACTTCCTTGTGGAAAATCCATATTGTTGTTACTGCCACAAGCTGATCTTACATCTTTCCTTTTTCCTTTTCCTTTGGGTTTACCCTCTTTTTTGGTGGCAGCAAGTTGTGTTTTCGTGGGCTACAATTTGTGAGTTATAGTTAGCATGTAAAATGCTCAGACAGGATGTTATACAGATGTGTGTTTTCTTATAGGATGAGGAAATTCATTTTGGGGAAATTTAGTACCGGGCATTAATTTAGTATAAACAACTGAACAGTAAAGACAAGTACAGAGTTTACAGAAATTTGACAATAAAAACTTTCTGAGACTTTCCTGGTTTTTTTGTAATTTTAACTGCTTTTCTGGTCTATTGTGGGCTATATCTTCGGTTTTCAGGCTAGTTTTTTTGGATACATCTCCCTACAGACTTGTAGCATAATCTGTCTATAATTCCTTATATAATTACTTAACATAACACATACTCGTACTCACCATTGAGGCTGCAGATACTCTATCATTGTGTTTTATCCAACCAGGTTCAGTGCTGTTGTCACTTATATGTCTAACAGATGAATAATGTTCCCCATTATGATAAGAGACATGTAGCTCTCGAACTTGTCCATTCTTACTATATTCTTCTCCATAAATTACCCATCTGGGTTCATTGAGCTGATGTATGACAACATTGACTCCATGGTTGCGTGCAAATGCCACAATGCTGTCATTTCCCCCATATGTGCTTAGTTTGGATAGCTCCTGTACTGTAAACAAAAACTCACACAGTCCTCAAGTCACACATCAAATAAAAACATAATACTAAATTTAAGTTGTTAATTACCTTTCAATAACTCCTAAGAATGACTAGCATCTAATTTCTCCATACAATATCACCCCTGAATCAATCATAAAGGTCATGATAATACAGGAAATGATCAACAACTAAAACAGTTCTTTTTTTAAAACAAATTCTCATTGCCAGCACCTTAATAAATGTATAGTGAGTAGTATGGAGAATATGCATACTGATATTGGGGTTAATATAGGGTTAAACAACCTGTTAATAATTATGAGTATTCTTATTAACTGTTTATAGTGGATATGGATATTTTACAGAGAAGTTACATGTTAATTACATATGGAAGTAAATTATAGTGTTATTATTAATAATATCAATCGGTAAGTGAATAATCACACTAATTGTCTTACAATGTTTATCAAATGATATATTGTCTTCCATAAAGGGTTCAAAGTCACTTCTATGATCTCTCATGTATTTAACTGTTTCCCTTCTGTGCCGCATATGTGATGTGTGATCTCCTTCAATTTGATCCCCCAAAGCACGAAACAAGCAATTTCTAGAAAAAAAAGATGAACAAAATGTTACTCATTGCCTTATATAGGAGTGGAAAAAGTAACAGAGAAAACACTTATTTAAAAAAGTTAAGAGCTTGGGAAATTTTCACTTCACAGTCTCTTTGGAGAGGCGAGAGAGAGCTCCTATCAATTTATAGTAACCTTTTTGGGAAAATGTCATATTTCTATTACAAATGTTCACCTGTGAATAAACTTATGTTTCTACTGCTACAACTGCTCCTGTCCATGCACATGCAATAAACGCTATGAAAATGCGGAACGAAAAACACATTTTCTAGGTACTAATTCGGATGTGCGACCTAAATTGGTAAATTCTTGATTGAATTTCCGGTTGTCAAGCCTAATGTTCATATAAATGAGGAAGAAGAAATCTAAATTTTTCATGTTACAATTATTAGCTACAGAATTTTATCAAGACAACCGAGACCTTGTTTGCCAGATTAAGTTATAAGTTATTGCCCACAGGCTTTCACTTTCAATTGCAAACTGAGACTTACCCGTCACCAGGGATGTCCTTTATCTTCAGACTTAATGCAGCAAGTTGATTCGAGAAGCTGACGAAGTCTTCATCATCAGCGAGGTATTCCTTTATTTTTCGTTCCTTCTTTAGAGCGTTTCTTCTAACTCGATCGTCTCGTTTTCTTTCCAAATCGTCCCTACGTTGTCCTTTCGCTTGTTTCTTGCTTGCACCGCCTTTTGTCATGGTTAAGATTGGGACGGATCGATAAGTTACTCAGTGTTCAAAGTTGTTTCTAAACTCCTAGTAGTTTTGAGGCTTCCTTGTTGTTTTTTCACCTCCACACGACTAGGTAGACAATCCATCAAGGGGTGATACTTCTATTTAAACTTTCTATAACAACGAAACAACAATGAAAACAACGTGAGGAACTATAAATAGCTTGGACTTTCTCCATGGTTTTGTCAAGGTGGCCGCCATGTATTGTTAACCTTGCTCGTTTATGGTGCAATGTTATGCCACAGTTTAGTGAGTATTACAAGAAGGAGATTTTGAATCAGATCATTTACCGATGGTCCGAAACACGCGGGCTCTGTTGAGACTTCGACACGATCCTCCTACCGATAAGGGCACTGAAGAGGTCACAAATTGAGCTCAGTTTACAATCTCTTGCAACTGTGGTTTTAAAAGACTCTTGGACAGATATTACGTAAACAACACAAGTCGCTGAATTAAACAAACACCCAAAAAAGAAAAACAATAAAATATAATGGAAAAACATAACATAAAAAACAGCAAGACCAACGATGACACTGGTATCTTTCGATATCTTTCACTCATCATTGGTTTTAAGACGGTAATGAGACATCGATTGTCAACCCTTTACACTGTTACATCAGTATCCGTTTTCTCTGTACTCTTCTCTATACATTTCCTTTAGTCCTGACCAGGAGAATTTGTTTAACGATCTAGAATAAAGTGGGCTAGTTTCAACGGAAGCTGTGGTGCTCCGTCGGTAGGGGTACTACAAGATAATCTAGTTTTGACTTGATAATGTAAATGGGCACTGTAAGGAGTTTCTAAAGCTGACGCTCGTTTGTCCTTCGTCAGAGCACTGGTCTGGTAAGACGCCAAGTTATGCTAAGACACAAACATCCCGAAAAGAATAAAAAACGATATAAAAGAGTTCCTAACTTTTTCCTTTAAACACCTTCACCCTCCCCCCGTATTGTAGTTACAGCTAGTTGTAATCAAAACAAGCACTTCCAATTTTCTTTGTTTTCTTTTCGTGGTTGCTTCTCCCGTGAATTGAAAGTCGTCTCAACTAGAGCGCTGTTTTGAGCGAGTCTGCAACTGATCACACCAAACTCATCAGGGAAAATCATCACCACACTTCAGATTGGTTTTTTGTGCTGTTTTGCACAAAATTTATTTTATTTCATTTGCACAAAAATAGCACTTGGATTTCTAAAAAAACCCCTTTTTTCCTTTTCCATGCATAACTTGAATTCATAATTGTGGATATTAACAGGGCTTAATAAACATACATCATATATTAAACCCTTTAAATATTGCATTGCATTGACCTTAATCAATAAAATTAACAATTGGCACACGAGCCACTCTTTGGTAATTGTCTCATGTAAGTTGTGCTTAGGTTTCCATTCTTCGTTCAAGGTCGGCGCTTTCAAGTCGATGAAAAGTAAATCAACTTTCTTCTGAAAGACGTCATCTCATCGTGAATTATTCCATTTTCCTCGGTAAAAGGTAGCAAGTGCTGCTGTTGCTGTAAATTGTTGTTGTTGTTCGAGACCAATTACAAAACACACGGTCTTAACACATTGAAATATCTCTCAAATTTTATCCAAACGTCGCCGAAGACAAAACCTTCTTGGATGCAATTTTCCTCAAAGAGCAATCGAATACTGACGGCGCTCATCCCAGTAATGACACGATTGTCACGCTTGTGACGTTTAAACAGTAATCGCTCCATCATTGTGCGAATCCGCGTGAAAGACTGCGTTGAGATGATCCAAGTCACGTGTATCGACTGCTTTATGGAGGTCAGACCTGCCCATCAGTGACAGAGTCATGCGCAGCGTCGACCAAATGTTGTCAGACATTGTAGAGACTGAGCCCCCTGGTCCAATTGTACCCTGGGTAAAAAGTGGTAATCGAAGAGATTTAAGTAAGTAGATCAATGACACTTCCGTGACGAATAAACAAGGTCATTTTCTAAATAGTCTTCTACGAAGTAAGAAAACTGTAAAAAGTTTAAATCACGGTATAGGTGAAAAGTTTGGAGCCGAACAAAAACAAAGCGCGGCTTCACATCTTCACAAATTTATGGGTACATTTACTCATGACAGTAGTTTTCGGTGATGGCTGAACACGGGAAGTACTTTGTGGCAACTCTGCAACTAGGGACGTTTTGACAGGCTTCCGGTAGTTTTGAAGGGAAATGGCCTTGCCTGGCCTGATTTTGACGACGCTTGCGTCTTAAGTTAACAAGTACCGTAAGAAACGCTTCGCGTCACTAAACAAGGTTATTTTTAGTTAAAACCCCAAACTCAGAGAGAAATTAATATATTACTGCCTAGGCCTGCCACATTTCAGTTCGAGTGATCTGTATAAAATAAAACACTAGCGAGGTTTCCTTTGCTTTTAAAGAGTGCTTCATCTCCCATATCAACTTTCTTACTCACCACTGACGACTGAAATCGGAGTATCTCTTAATTAGGGATAGACCATACCTTTCTCTGCATATTCAACGCAGTTAGCAGGTGATCCACCGCTTGTCTGTGAGCATTCAAGTTTATACAGCTGATTCCCAAATTGTATCGACACCGGATAAACCCCGGGCTGAGATTCAGCGCATGTCTGTATGCATCGACGGCTTCCTCGCTGCGCCCGCCGTTCGCCAACGTGGCGCCTAATCTGTTCCATAGAAGAGCATCATTTGGCAGGGCGTGCAGTCCGGCCTGGAAACAATCGACTGCCTTGTCATACTCCCCAGACAAGTTAAACAAAACGCCGAGACCGACCTGTGAGGGGAGAAGGGAGGAGGAAAAATTCAACTTACAAACTTAAAACAGCATTAAATGTACGTCGCACGGTCGACAGGGTTGGATCGGTTTCTGAGAATCTACTCCCGCATCATTAAAAGAGTGCAATTAAGAGTTAGGGTGGGCTGGATGGAGGGCTTGAACTGAAGGAAAACTGGGTCGAGTACACAGAAGCGAGGCTTACAGGTCTTGTATGGTCTTGTACAGTTAGATGACACAAGTAAAAGACTTTCCTGATGGAAATAATTGAGAATGAAGAGCCAAGTAGGCCAAGTTGGAAAAATTTCTTCGCCTTTTTAAATTTTCTTTCACACGAAAAGTTTACCAGTGAGCTTCGAGTTGATGTACTGAACCTAATCTGGACCCAAATCCAAACATATTGAACGGCTACTATAGCTTGCCTGTACGTTTGCGTCGATATCATTCACTGGAGCCCTTTGCGCAGCTGAGATATACAAGTCTCTTATCTCATCGTACATCTCCGATGACATAATAGATGACGTCACTAACCGCGACCGGGCACCGGTCTCTGATCCCGCGGGCTCATTGGCCACAAGGTCAGTGTACCTGACGATGCAATAACAAAAAACAGTTACTACCTGGAAATGTAAATTACTCGTGATGGAACGTCACACGCAGCTCACAAGCAGATTATTTGGTGCCAGATCCAGGAGAGGGTGTCCAGCCTTTTCAAATGAACGTCACCACTTCAATAATCACCCAACAACTCGGCGTTTCACCATTCAAGATAATCTAATTTTTAACAACTGCGTAGATAATCTGCCACCAAAAAGAGTTTATAAAGCTGACCTTTCGCGCGTTAGCCCTTCGTCAGAGCGAATAGGTTCCTCCATAATACCCTCTTCCGATGTAGCACCACAGTTTTTTATCATAGACTGAGCTGATTTTCTTTACTCACCGTGGGTTAGCCTTTAACCAAGCTTTTAAGGTCCGACAGGCCTGCAAAATATATAATAATCGAAAAAGTTATTTAAAAAAAGCCTCCAGAGAGAAAAGCTTTGCACAATAGAAGTCCTCAAAGACCACTTCGAGAGAAGATGATCATGTCAAGCCAATCGTAAGGTAGTCCGAGCACCTTTAATTGGACTCAGAGAGTAACCCGCCATTATAGTGGTTTTTCTTAAGAGCAATTTTCAATTGAGTATCGAAAGTAATCCGGGTTTGCCTCGTTTTGGTATACTTTACTCTGCGATCGGTTTAGAAAACTCGCGCCACCACCTCAACCAATCAGATGCAATACTAAAACCAGTCACGACTTGCTCGTAACTGGTTTTCCCGCTTTATCTCAGGATAACTGTGATATTTTCCTCTATTCTTTTTAGCTGTTGCGATAACCTAAGTTTTAAATTTAATACATTCCATAAAAATGCGCCCCTATTTACAGGAAATCTTACAGCTCATAGCATTACAACGCCGTCCCTTGAGTTCATTAGGGCCATTTTCTAAGTCCGGTTATTCTTGGAAAAGTTGAAGCGAAATTGTTTGCGTGGACAAAAAACAATGATTTCAACTTCAATAACGCAACACTTTATATTGTAAAACGCTTTGCAGAACGCACCTTGGGAAAACCTTAACCGTAATTTTTCGTTGAATAAGTTAAGTAGTTACCTGTGATTGCATGGATTCATTGGTGTAACTTACTGCCAGAGCCATAAGCGCTGTCAAATTATCTGGCTGTGATTCGAGGCATCTACAAAGACAAAATGCATTATATTCACCATTTGATCCTCCCCTCGTTGTTTAGAAGGAATTTTCAATTGAGTGTCGAAAGTCATCCTGCCTTACTGAGCTCTGTGATTGGTCAAGAATACTTACGTCACCTTCTAAACCAATAAATAAAGGTGATTGGTTTATCAATTGATAACCAATCGAAGCTACAGGTTTTCCCGCATTTGAGGTTGGTCAAACGTTTTTTTCCCGCACTTCATATCTGTTTTCACTCCCAGCACTTACTTATTCAAAGCAATTATTGCTGCAATATCTTGCTCGTTTTCTGCTTGACTTGTTCCTAAATACTGCCACGCCTGCAAACAAGAGGGGAAATTTTAGGTCACAGTATATACCAGGGGATAGCTTAAACCAAACTAGATCGGCACTACTCCTGGATTATAATGGTCAATTCTGCATTGGTGCAAAACGTGCTCCGCCAGCTTGATTTAAAGTGGCACTCTCAGCAAAGGATGACCATCGATCTTTCGAGTCAGTTGCAACTTGCTTACGTTGATGGATATTTTTTGGAAGTTTCAAAGCAGGTTAGACTAAGTCTCCCGTGGAGGTCATTCAGTACACCTACGAACCTGTCTAAGAAGGGTTCGCGGGCGCACCAAGCCACCCTGGAGACTGAGCCTACAATAGGCGGAGCCGCAAGATTAAAACTTCGGGTTTACACAGGCTAGGTTCTTCTCGCAGTTCGAGTTATACAATAAGTTTTACATTTCTAGGTAAAAAAAACATTATTTTGTATCAACTTACCTCAGCATGTTCTGGCCTCTGCTTCACCTGAAATAGCATCAAAGTAATATCAACAATTCACTTCTTTAAAGCCAGACCGGTCACACAACCCTTTCTTAATAGACTACGTAACAGTCACGCAAATACACTACCTGTATAAAGTCCGCAAAATTTATAAAGGACAAAATGGTTCATGATGCAAAAGTCTCTCCAGTTATGAGTCCCGAAAGGGTGTATTTTGTTAGACGCGTTTACAATCAAAATTGATATAGAAGACCGAGATGCAAAATCACTTTGCTCAACGACTGGCCCAGAAAACTGACGTCAACTCTTCAACCAAACAGATGCAAAAGTCCCCCTAGTCAACTGTCCCAAATTGCTGTATTGTATTTACCTGTTTACATTCAAAATCGAGATGCAAGAAGAGAATAGTTCTTGATGTAGCTGTATATATACTTAACCCTCTCCCAGAGGTGATTAACATGAAACTTCTCCCTATAATATTCATATATTATCCAACAAACAGGTAATGAGAGTACTCAAACGTATCCGATAGAGGTTTTTATCCTGATCTAACACCAAATTCTCATAACTAATTTGCAAGGAAATGTGTAGCAGCTAAAGGGGAGAATGAACAATCAGATCTTGGGAATTAAAGAGTTAAAAGAGTATCAAGAAGTTAACAACGGAAGTACCCATACCTCTGCTTCAAATAACAAAATAGCACTAATCAAGTCTCCTTCTTTAAGCTTTTTCAGTCCCTCCTCAAACGGGTTTGGATGATCTATGAGTGGATTATCTTCTTCGAAAGTATACTCCTGTAAAGACGTTTTACAAAGTGGCAAATATCAAAAACTGGTAACGAGTCTTTCCTGGTGATTATATAACACAACCTACCCAAACCTCCCTCCTTTTTTTTTTTCGCTTCGCCGCTGCTAAGGCGTCTTTCACTATCGAACTCCGCTTTCCTAAATGAACGCGAAGTGGTGTAAAACTAACCTTGTTCACTGTAGCATCACTTTGACTGTACCAGGAATGAGCGTCTTCACCATCACGTCTGAAACAAAAAAGCAACCAACACGAACAACATTATGGCTGAATAGTCACTGGATACCTATGGTGTGTTCGCAGAATCCTTGAAACAACAACAAAAGACCTGTCACTGAATCAAGCCATTTCTCTTCAAAACCCCTCTCAGAAATATTTATTGATAATCTCCTTTCGCATTTAGGAATTCAGAATGATCGCTCAAATGTTGTAACTCAAGGCTGTTGTATTGAGCGCATTTCGCTCGAGTGTCGTAAAATAAAAATCCAAGGTTATCAAAACGGCCATTAGAATAAAGATAGATATCGCAAAGAGCCAATGAAAACTCAAAGTAAAAACATAAAAATGGCGTAAAGTGGGAGGGAACATGTCGTGATTGGATTTGATCTCGCAGCTGATGGCAGTAAAGGTGGGAAGCGTGAGTTTACTAGACACCATATATCCAGTGTGTCTGCTCGCTTCCTTTTGGTATATGTGTTTGTATTTTGTATATTTTTGAACTGTAATTTTTCTTTTGACATTTTTCTCTCTTTTGCTTTGTCTTTTTTATTTTAACTATGTTCTATTAAAAATAGTCCACAAATGGTTTCCAAGTTGAGCTTCCTCGCCAGAAATAAAAAAAAACTTGTACAATGGTGTGTGCATGTTCTTAAATAAGTATTGTAAATGTTTTTAATTATTTTCTGGCAAAATGAATAAATCAATCCCAAAAGCAAAAATTTCTTTCAAGTAAAGCGTTTTGATTAGGTCAGAGGAACTGCGCCTACTTCAACAGTTCAAAAACAAACCCAATCACAACTCGGTTTGCATGCTGGTGTCAGTTGCATGTTCTTTCATGGCCTTGCCTTTTCATTGGTTCATTTTGTTGCTGGCATTGTATTGGTTGCAACTGACCAATGTAATTGTTTTGGTATGGTTGAGATTTTCAATTCTGGATTGGAATTCATACATACTTTCAATTTAACTCATAGATTCCATGTTACTGTGCGGCTGTTCAGTATTACATCATGGATGACTCCAAAATGTGGTAAGACCAAGAAAAATGAAACATGAGGCGCAACCTAGTGTAATTGATGCCCTTACCACATTTTGACATATTCTGTGATCTATACATGAACAGACCCATGGCAAAATAAAATGTAATTTTTCTACACATAAAGAGGCAAAAAGTTTTTAATGGCGACATAATGTATGCATCTTTTTTCCAATAGATCATGAGTAAGACCCAATCAAATGAATCTTTTTAGACACAACTTTAACTTACCTAATTAGGTCATCCCACTCTCCTTCCAAGCGATCCCAAAATTCCAAATTTGACTGCAAATAATCACGTTTAATTATTCAGATCATCAGGTCTATAATCAGGTTTAATCTGTATAATCAACTGTTCTCTAAGATAACTTGCAGAGAGAACAGAGCCATGCTCCTTTTGTAGAGTAATTTTAGCTTCATCAAAGAAAGGCCTTTAAAAAGACGGAAACCTTTAAACAGTCTTCATTCTGTCATCGTGTAGTCATTCTGGAAACAGTCCTATCATGTGACTAAATACCTTTTGTTCGTGGGCTGCAGATGTTAACTCTTTGATCCAATCATCAGCCTCAGTTGACCTAAATTTCTCATACTCATCCACCCACTCTTCTGCAGCCTCAGTGTCTTCATCAACCTCTTGCCCAGTCTTTGTGTCAATTACCTAGAGAAAGCAATATGACCAATCAAGATTAATGCTGCAGATACCACCGGAGCCATCCCTAATCCCGGCTTATGGGCAGACCCTCAATGTGAGCTCTGTGGCACAAGCATTTCCTCACCTATGCAAAAGTTTGAGGTGAGTCTGTGAGAAAGTTTGAGGTGAGTATATGAAAAAGTTTGAAGTGAATCTTTGAGAAAGTTTGAGGTGAGTATGCAAGAAAGTTTGAGGTGAGTCTGCAAGAAAGTTTGAGGTGAGTCTGCAAGAAAGTTTGAGGTGAGTCTGCAAGAAAGTTTGAGGTGAGTCTGCAAGAAAGTTTGAGGTGAGTCTGCAAGAAAGTTTGAGGTGAGTCTGCAAGAAAGTTTGGTGACAAAGTTTGAAGTGAGCTAGGTTGACACTCAAGGCCTAAACTCTTCATGCACCTGAAAGGCTTCCATGTTTCTGACAGTAACTAGTATTAAAATTCCCCTTGGATGGGACAATGTTGTATTGTAAATTACTGGTTACTCTTGAGGGAGTTGCTCAGGAGAAAAAAACTATAGATAACACAGCACAAGAAGCAAGGAGAAGTTTTAGGCTGAACTCAAAATATAACATATATATCTTTCTCTCAATCTCAAATAATGGAACCAATTCTTAAATCAAATAAAATTTCCACTCCTTGGTAAGATGATTGTAAAAATAAAGAAGTATCATTGTCTAACAATTTGGAGTAAAAATGAATTTTCAACATGCCTGGTTATTTTCAATTGTGTATTCACCATCTCTAAGTTTCTTTACAAACTTCATAAACTGGAAAGAAAAGAAAGACCATTAAGGGAATTTACAAGATAGCATGGAGTTCAACATGAAAATTCTCCTCACTATTGGCACTGAATTCATTTTCCATATTTTTAGAGAAATTTATGACCTAAGCTCATTGAGAAAAGTTTTCAAGTACAGATAACTATATATTGATGTTTCCTTAAAGTAATATATCCTTTGCAGGTCAGTTAAAACTGATATTAATCGGGAAATTTCCACTTAAATTGACTCAGAAAATTAAATATCCCTACAATCATTTCAAAACTATTAAAACTAATTAACCCTTTGACCCCTGAGAATGACTAGCATCTAAATTCTCCCTACAATATCACCCCTGAGTCACACATTTAAGTCATGAGAATAAGGGAAATGATCACCAACTAAACACTGTAGCTCTTGATTGTTAAACAAATTCTCCTTGCCACCACCTTACAAAATGTATAGAGAACAGTATAGAGAATGTGCATACTGATGCTAGGTTGTAAAGGGTTAATAGTCCATAATTACATGTACCTTTGAGTTTGCAAACTTTGGATCCTCAGCATTTTCAAGCAGCTCCCCAGCTGTCTTGGATAGTTCAGCATTTTCACCTTCTTGCTTGTATTCATTTACCCTTCAAAAAAATACAAATTAATAACACAAAAATTCTGGAAATATCAATAAAATAGTGTTTTAAGATTTTTGTTTTCCTTACCAGGAATGTGATGCATACCAAAATACAACAAACACCACCACAAATACAGGGCTTTGACTTTCACTCTCAAGATTGAAACATCAATTTTTAACACCGTCTACCACACATTTCTTACAATTTTGCCATTAGAATTTGGTGTTAAATCAAACAACATCCACCAGTTGACATTTTAATTAATTTCTTCTCACCACCTTTCCATTTGAATGTGATGGGATATTGAATGGAGAGATTCCTCTCTAAAAACTACTGGGTATAAAGGGTTCATGCAATGCAATTTCTATGGCTTGTTTTCCAGAAGAAAACTAATTTATTACAATATTATTTTATGTGTATAACTCTACCAGCTTTTGTAATCATTTGTATACACCTTTGATAAATTAGATGACTCATTTAAAAGAACAAACTAAACTACACTAACCATGCTGCATCATCCAGGCCTTCGTGTCCCATGTCCCTACAAAGTAAAAAAAAAATGGAAATCATATTTAAACCTTAAACCTGTAAGTGTGATAAGCATCTTATTTCTCCCCACAATATCATCCCTGAATCAAGCATTAACGTCACGAGAAAAAAGGAAATGATTGCAAAATCAAGAAGCTCTTGATTGTCAAACAAATTCTCTTTATAAGTACCTTAGGAAATGCATAGAGAACAGTATGAAGAACATCCATGCTGATGTTAGGGTGTAAAGGGTTAATAAAGTCAAAATTATAACTTAAATAATTCTAAGAAATCCATAAATAAAACATTCAGTCACTCACCTAACATGCTCCAGGTACTCATCTGCCCATTTAGTTGGAAAATCCTGGACACCTGACGCATTCAAGAATGTCCAGTTAGTCTTACTAATAGTTTCAAAACCTTCTGGTTGGTATGTTATGTCTATGAACTAAAAAAGTAAAGGTAACATACCAGCTCTTGGTTGAAATCTTGTTTCATGTACATATTCTTTTGACCATTCTGAAAACAAGAGATATAATTGTTTGTGATTGGGAAAGCAAACTCCCTTTTAAGGAGACTTCATCTACCATGTAACTCAAGGCTGAGGTCCATTCACGACTTCACCCTTTGACCCCTAAGAGTACCTACTGGTTGTTAGCATCTAGATGCTCCCTACAATATCACCCCTGAATCACACATTAAAGTCGCAAGAATAAAGGAAATGATCACCAACTAAAGAGGCTCTTGATTGTCAGACAAATTCTCCTGGTCAGCACCTTGGCAAATGTATCACAAACAGTGTGGAGAATATGCATGATGATGTTAGGGTGCAAATAGTCTAAGGAATACCACATCTTTTATTTTAGAGATTATGTATGAATTGCCTTCTTCATCTCACAAACAAGGCTTATACTTAACCTTGTAATGACAATTTGCACTTCAGGAGGTAAGTATAGCACTAGCTGCATAGTTACCCAAACAGTAAATTGACATTCATGTCTAAATTTCAAATACCTTCAGCTCGTTGCACCTCAGATGACATGTATTCAGCAGCCCATTCGCTTGATGCCAGATCAGCAATTCCAGGAGCTTGATGAGGAAGAAAAAATTAAAGGATATTGATCGATCCGATATCAAATTCTCTGAACGAACACCATAAAAATTATATGGCAGACAGTAAAGAAATAATTAAAAAATTTTACGGAGATTAAACTAAACACTGTTCTCGAGCCAAGTGGCCCACAAGGCACCATGTCTGTGGCATCGGGCAACTACAGTGTAGGAGCATTAATAGAAGGCCACCATCCTCCTTCCCCAAACCACCCTAAGATTTTATGAGGTTTCTTTGACAGTTTGCTGGTACACATTTAAGCCAGGTAAAGCTGAAACTGGGCACTAAACATGTTTCCCAAAAACACAACAGAATGACCCAGCCAGGTCTTGAGCCAGGATTTCTCAAACAGAGTCCACTGCGTTAATCATAAGACCACCACATCTCCCACACCACTTTTCAGGGCAAAACGCATCAGGCAATGACATCATCCCATAGTTGTTAGGAATATCTACAATCATGCACAATTCTGACAGTATCCTTTCTTTCTCTGTATTCCCGTAATGTTCTTCAATTATCTATGGGTTCACTCTATTGCAATTCTTTAGCATCCGTCTAACATCTGCCACACTCAAACCATCCCTTATCTTAGGTACACATTCCATAATTACAATCCTGACAGTTACTGTGTACAGGATTACAAGTTGTTTAACTATCAGTAATAATTAACATGATCATTAACACTATAGTATCGACTTCCCTAATGTTTTTATAATTAATTCAATCTTCTATAAACACAAAAGAAGACGGGATGTATTTGTTGCATCCACAATTATAGCAATTATTTCACAACAATGATAGACTTGACCTAAAAAGGGACAATCAGTCCAAGATTGGACTCAGGACAAAGCAGTGGAAGACATACATTCTCATCACTGTACTATTCCTACTTCCCAAATCAGTAGTTACATGGTAAAAAAAAATTAATAATTAAAACTGAATTCACTTCATAACAAGACATCTTCATGTACCACTCAGGGCAAAAATCTGTAACTTTATATGAAACCTGCATTGTTCAAATCAAATGATAGCTCAGCACCCACCTCTAACTGGAGTAAGATGCTGGTTTCTTTGTTCAATTTCTTTCATTTCATGAAGCAAATCACCCATACGAAAGGACTGGGGAGGAGCATGTGTTCGTGGATCACGAAGAAATTCTGACACCAACTAAAACAGGAATAGATAAGCCCAATGAATTAACCAACTTTTTAAGTGTGTTCAATTCAGACACAAATGCCCTGATTAGACAACCATAGGTAGCTATTCATACCAATTAATCATATAATATTAGCCTTTCATTATTTCAACAAATTTAAAGAACTTTTGAAACCAAGGGTTAAAGACAAATACCTGGTCTTCTTGAGCCTCATGAAAAGCTCTTTCACCCTGTCATAGTTAAACATGTTTCCATTAATATTAAGGCACTCCTGAAGCAATTTAACTCAGCTTAACTAAGCTGAGATAATAAAAGATTAATGAAATCCCCCCCCAAAATAAAAAGAAATGACAAGATACAACATAATGTCATTGTGACATAATAATAAAGTAACTCTTTTACACTTTAAATCCACAAAACTTTCAATTTTAAAGGCCCTGGGAGAACATACACATGCTTGCTTTGGGAAGTATTAGTATTATTTATCAATTTATCAATTATTATATATTAGTCAAATTAATTTGAGCTGTACATACTTTTTAAAAGTTGCTCTGAAAGAATAAATGTGTAATTATCTGTTTCTTCCCTATACATTTTTTAAAGATTACTGTGCAAAACATTATCATACCAGTTCCCTGGGAGGTCCAAACCTGTCTTGCACAAGACCCTCCTGTGTGCAAGAATACAGTTAACAATATATTTTGAGTCACATAACATAAAAAATTATAATCATTAACTGTATATAGAAATAAAAATTTCACAGAAACTCAGATCATAAATTCATACTATGAATGTGGATTCTCAACATCTTAAATATGAATTATGTCTCTATAGAATCATTACAAAATTACAACATAACAGGCAGATTTGTAACTGGAGAGTATCAACAGTTACACTTCCAAATAATTGACTTGTGTTAACTGTTACACTTCCAAGACCCAATTAGCTATTTTTTCTTCAGATTGCTACATAATTCCTTTAAAATAGACATGGGAATTGACTGATAAGGTTGTCTCTTATCACCTGTTTGTGAGACAACACATTGAAATCTCAAGGAGAAGTTATATCAGTCACTTCTCAGTTCTAGCAGTTAGCTTTTAAACCCCCTGAGAGTGATTATCATCTAAACTCTCCCTACAATAATAACCCCTGAATCAAACATTATGGTAACAAGAATAAAGGAAATGATCGCAAACTTAAGAAGCTCTTGATTGTTGCTCAAATTCTCCTCACTTGTATCGTAGGAAATGTACAGGAAGAGGTATAGAGAATATGCATGCTACCGTTATGGTGTAAGGGGTAAAGAGTCCAAAAAAAAAATTTTAAGCAGCCCTTGCAAAGGAATGCACAAATTTTAGCATAGGATAGCAGTTATGGTAGAAGGAAAATAAGTGTTTGCTAACCTGATGAAATGACTGATCTTGTGTAAAGTGAGTCGCCAGCTTCATTAGAGGATTAGCACTTCCACATTCCCCCTCAACTAAATCCCGCATTGCCATTTTTAACTCTGTAACAAAACAAAAGTTACGTTTGTGGGTAATTTGAAGAAAATAATACTATTGAGTAAGCTCACATAGTACAGTCAAGACATACGAACAGCTTTAAATACTTAAAAATGACTAAAGAACTGATCAGAAGACAGTTTCAGTCATCCCAAATCATGCCTTGAAGAGGTGGTTCAAATTTGTCATCACTGGAGATATGCCTATCTGAATCAGGTACAAAAGGTCTGGATAGAAGCAGATATGCAATGAATTTAAGAAAAACACTCATCAGAACAAAGAGTGTGATATTGTGGAGAATTATATGGATGTCTGAAAATGTGAGGGGCCTTAACATCTTAGGTCACGCTTTCATAACTTTTCATCTTAAAATCAAAGAAGCTACCCACATTTAATGGGAGAAACCTATACTTAATCACTTTACACACTTTAAATTTAACTTTGCACTTTGTAATATTCAGAACTGAAGACAACAGAAGAATTGTCTAAACATGTTTTTTTTGGTGTTATTCATTTTCTTAAAATCAGATACAAACTTTTTTTCTCCAGGCCAATGAGTGACCATCCCAACACAAAAGTGGAACAGAGAAGATAGTAGTGCAACATTTCTTGAATGATTTAGTAGTATATACATTATTTTTTCTTACATACAAACATCTAATTTGTACATTGTCAGTACATAAATAAATTTCAATACAACTCAGAGCCATATAAACTTCTAGTAGGCTTATATATATGGTCTAACTTTTACCGGCGACCTTCGTACGTAAGCTACATGAAAAAAAACTAACTGTTAAGATTATAGATCAACAGACTCACAAACTACAGAAGCAAAACTTTGTTATTCACAAAACAACACCCAGAATGCCCACAATTCCTCGCTCTTCACAAAGTTTGAAAGCGCACCGATGAGTTGGACTCGTACTCTGGTATTCTGTTGTTTCTCTCAATATAACGGTTCCATTGACGAGTTTCACCAAACGGGCACGTACTACCTATATCAGCTGTACAGTGACGTCACTTTACCTTTGATGTAGCAATTTTTCAATTTCCTAATCACGTATTCACCGGTAGGTCCTTACAATCTGAAAGAGCAATCTTCTTAAAACTTGTAATCATTTGGACATTCTCAAATTAAAATAACTTGAGAAAGTTCACCATTCATTTTTAGCCATGGCATCGTGCACTTTGCCACTCTCTCTTGAAAATTTACGATCTTAGGTAATGAAACAGCATTCATGTTAGTCAGCGGATATTACTGAAGTTGGAAGGTTATTCGTGTAAGATCAGGGAAAACCTTGAGCCCTAACTGTATGCGTTTCCAAGGAAACAGTTCCAAGTGCATGATATTGCGTTTGTTTCAGGGAAAGAGGAACAAGAGCTGAAAACCATGCCAGGAATCCCCTCAAAACGACCAAGGTATTACACACCAAACGAAGTTAGTATCCACAATACGTTAAAAGATCTATGGGTATCGTTTTTGGGCAAAGTTTACGACCTTACTCCGATGTGCGAAAAACATGCAGGTACGTAACTTCCACAGCTGAGTTATTTTAACGACTTCAAGTTATATACCATCACGGTGATAGATAAAACCCTTCAATTTTTCCTGCCTCTATGAAGCAATGAGAACTTCTGACTAGCATATAAAGCTGTTAAACGATCGATCAAGGAGCGAGTGTCCTGCGCACTGGTCAAGCTTTTATTTTACGTTGATGCGAAACATCTGAAGAAAATAGCATTGAAACGTATTCATCTAAGCATTACGTAAGTGTATACAGAAAATGCTTTGGACTTGACAATAATTGTCAATTGTTTTGTGTGATTGTTCGGGTTGGGAGGGCTCTGCAAAAAGTTTTTAAGTCAGTGACTGACTCATGCATTTTTAAACTGAAACTCTAAGTCGATTGAAACTGAAACGGAAATCAACACTGGAGTCACATGAAGAGGGGTTTGACAATCACATTTTAAAAGTCCCCTCTTGAAAACTTATTGATTACAATACACAATTGACGGTAACAAGTGCAACTTTTCTGTCGCAAAGCTCTGTAAATTTCTTGATATTTCAGGTGATGTTCTTCTGAAGCCCATCATCGAAGCAGCAGGAAAGGATATTACACACTGGTTTGATAAGAAAACAAAAGATGTAAGCTCGTGTGTTTTATGATATTTGTGTTGGCTTTAAGCCATTAGTAGTCACCCGATTCAAAGTAACGGTGTTTATAACCGAACAGTGATGAGATCGAAGAGACCACTGATGATTTCTTCAACGTAACTGAACATTTTACAGACAGATTCCATTTTGTTGTGTCTACTCAAAAATAGACTGTATGTGATGATATCAAATTGTGGTAAAAACAAGGAAAGTGGTACCTGGGCAGCAGAGGAGTGTGTTACTGGTGCTCGTGGCACTATAAATTTTGTGTTTGAGCCAATTAGTGGCCTACCCAGCCAGAGCTTATCTCGGTTTTCTTAGCATGAAGCAACTGTAGAATCACTACTTCCTCCTGGATGGGATATCAGTCCATTACAAGATTACCCTCCAGAATTTCTTCGGCCTTCCTTGAGTTCGACAATACCCAACTGTATACTCCCAGAGTGGAGAGAGGTGCTGTGAGAGTAAACTATTCAGCCTAACCATTGAAACCATAAGAGAGACCAGCATCTAGTTTCTCCTTACAATAATACTGCTGAATCATTCATTTAAGATCATGAGAATAAAGGAAATGATCACCAACTTAAGAAGCTCTTGATTGTTAAACAAATTCTCTTTGTCAGCACCTTGGGAAATGTGTAGATAACAGTATAGAGAATATACATATTGATGTCAGGGTTTAAAGGGTTAAACCATTGGACCACTGTGTCTCTCTTCATGGTTCTGTGGTACTCTATCATTAACCTTACACAGCCAATGGGTAATACTCGATTTTTTCTCTATCCAAGATCCGAACTCACATTGATCCTGTAACCAAGTGTAAATTCTACTACACACCAAGAGGAAGGTTCATTCACACTCCTCCACGATGTCCCCGCACAGACTGGGCAAATGACTTTGGACGACCATGGTGGAAAGATGATTCTTACTGCATTGGTGTGCTTTCTGCACAAACAAGGAAAATCAGAATAATCAATACCCTTACTTCCCAAGAACAAACCATTGAGGTTAGTGTCTGAATTCTTTCAGACTTTTGTATCCCAGGGAATTCTTGAGATAGTGTAGAAATGTACAGAATGATTTTTAAGATCTGGAAAACATATGGAACTTCTAAACAAAGAATAAGTCTCAAACAAATCTAGGAAGAAGCTTTGGTTTTTCCCAAGCTTTTAGATCATGACTTATACAAATGCTGATTGGTGCTCTGACAGACTGAATTTTACCATATTATTATCTAGACAAGTTGATCAAAACAAGTGGACCAAAACAAGGTTAATTTGTGGTTACATTGTATAATTGTTTTGAAATTGTTGTTGTCTGGATATAGCAATGTTTATACAGAGCTCTCAAGAAGATTTGTGGGCAAAGAGGGAGATTTTCAACAACATTGCTTTCAATTGTGATGCATCACCTTCCTGAGGGAGGGGGGATGGCTTTCAACTGTGATGCATCACCTTCCAGTCAGGGGAAGGGGGAAAGCTCCTCTGGGAAATTGTAGAAAATGAAGGAGCTATGATGTGACTTCCTTTATTTGGAGCAAGAATTTCCATTGTTGAAAAGTGTTTGAAACAAGTACAAAGGGAACAAGGAGTAAATTATATTGAGAAAGATAATTGATTTCACAGGCACTTAAGTCAAGAAGAAATCTGCTTTCTCAAAATTAACATTTTAAATCAGAAACCCTAAATGCATAAGAAATAATAGTTTCAGCATGAGAGCACAATACTAAATTTATTTGCATGAGGTTTGAGAGCTTAGTACATAACAAACATGCTCTTGATGTGATAATGAAAAAACTGTGGGCGAAGTTCAATTTTCTTCCCTAATCCTTTTCTTCTTCTCTAAAGGTTTGCTCTGAGGAGATACTAACTGAAATTCAAGACCGCTACTTGAAATATAATGCTCATGCTGCCAGCTATACATGGAAGTACAATGGAAGGAACTTGGATATGAATAAAACACTGGAAGAGAATGGAGTTGCTGATGAAAGTGAAGAATTCTATAAACTGAGCATGAATGAGGAACTATTTCTACCAGCCTTACATCTGTATTTAAATGATGATTTGACAGAAGCTTAGTAAATTAATTTAAGGTTAACCCTCATTTACTCCTTGTGTGCAGAGCTCCATAGAGTCTTCATCCAGGTTTTTGTGTTTGGGGAGATGATTTGTGTTGCTGAAGTTAACAAAGTTCAAAACTTCTTCAAAGGTGTTTGCAGTACTTGTAAATAATTTGGAACTGAATATCTGTTAGATAATGTGTAAATAGTTGATCTTGGGAGTGAAGGAGTGATACAGAAGGTATTTCATACTTAAGGTCAGTTCTCAGATAATCTGGGACATATATATTGTTTGCTTACTTTCCCCACAATTTTCGTGGTTAATTTTCTAGTGGAAATTGGAGTGTGACTGAAATACTTCACCCATTGAGGGTCAACAGTTTCTATCAGTTCCTTTGTTTCTTGACACTAAATTCTTTGGATTATCATATTTGTTAAGATGTTGGCTGTAAAATTTGTAGGTCAATCTGAGCTGGGGAACAACATCACTATTCTACAAGTACAATTGGGTGGTGCCGGAATTACCTCTCTTCCACACCCAGAATAGAGTGGTCTCACTCTTGTTCTATTAATAACTTGAGTTCACAGCCCAAAAGGTAAATGCTAGAGTAGGATAGAGCAAGAATTTTTAAGAAGGCTTGTGGGAAGAAGGGAACATGTCAATATTTTATTTCATGTATCCTTTGAAACTCTTACTTTTTGCCCTCAATTAACAAATTCTCCAGCATACCCTGTGAGATCATTGTGCCCACATCTCTTTTTACCCACTCACTTAGTCCTTTCCTGAATTACCTGACCCTTGAGATGACACAAGGGATCTCTACCCAACCTTCTCTACTGCTACTTTCACACTGTCTCAGGTGTCAACACCCTGTCAGTTTTTTGCAAGGTTTCTTTTGGTCTTCTACAGTTTTTCCTCCCAAGGAATTTCAAGCATGGATTTTTCTAGTCCCCCCTTACTTCATATTTAATACAAAGACATTGGGTAAGACCACCAGCAGAATGACTACCTTCTAAGTTCATTCCTGTGTGAGCCTATGTACAGCATCTCTCATTCCCCTTGGAGAGAATAAAGTAGTTTGTACCTGATATTCCTAAGAGGAGACAGGAAAGCTTTACACAAGCCATCCTGAGTTGCTCTCATCTTTATCATGTCTATAGTGGCAAGAGAGTCAACTTTCTTCTCTGGATGTTAAGGGAGCTACATCAAAATTTGTGAGAGTTGAAAATTTTAGCATACATCTCTTGAAATTTTTATTTCATTCCTTATTGATTTTTTTCTTCTTTTGTTGTATTTCTCATATTTTCATTCTCTTTTTCCCCTCTAATGTTTGTCAACGTAGGCAACTGTTATTTCACAGTTTCCTTTTGTAAGTGTAAAAGGCAATTTCCATGTAGCAATAAAATAAATCAACATTTTGTGACAAAACTAACATGGTGACCATTAAACTCCTCAAAGCGATGAACATCTAAATTCTCCCCATAATAGCCATACACTATCCTGCAAAGAAGTGATGAGAATACTAAGGCAAAAGTTGTTATCTTGATCTAACACCAAACTCTCAAAACTAATTAAAAAAGAAAAGTGTATCAGTTAGAGTGAAGAAAGGGGACAAAGGGGAGAGAATAAACAATCAAATCTTAGGGATTAAAAATTTTAAAAGTGGGACAGACAATTTTCAAATCAGACATGACTTTTTTATAAACTCAACCAACAAGATTCCCATGTTCCACACAGCTGTTGTGACATTCCTTTATTATAAACAACTAATTTTCATACAAATATCAATTTTTTATAAAACAGCTTCAGTGACTCTGCCTTGCAGGGTCTAGGACCAGAGAAGTGAAACACTCACAAGGTTGTTTTCATCTGTCCAAATTCTTGAAAACAAGGTTTGCATTTGCAAAGATGTATTTTAAAGACATCATATTGTGCAAAAAAAAAAGTCTCTCAGAGTTCTTAAATAAACAGCTACAGCAAAATACTCATGTGATTGGTCTCCTCCTAGGTCTTTTCCCATCAACCCAGAGCTGCATTCTGGTGTTTTTTATCCCACGGCCCTCACTTGTAAGTGTCATGAAGTAGACTGTTGCCAAGACAACAACCACAAGAAGGCCAATGATTAAGAATGTATATGCATTTGTAGTAGAAGTTGATGGTGATCCAATCTCCCTCAGATGTAGCTCTGCTAGCTCAAATGATGGGTTAAGGTCCAGCACATGTCTGAAGTGGATCCCAGCTTCTTCCAGGTCTCCATTTGCTCTGAGAATTTCACCAAGAGTAAAATGCTGAAGCCAGCAGTTATGTTCGGATGGTTGCATTTCTAGTGATCTTCGCGCAAGGATTGCAGCATCCTGAATATAGTTCAAATTGAAAAGGACCTTGGCAAGATTTAAGAGGGCATCAGCATCATTTGGTGAAAAATACAACGCTCTTCTGAAACACTCTATAGAGTGGTATGTACTTCCTCTAATTCTCCAGAAATTTCCAATGTGATTACAAACAACAACTGAATTAGGACTCTGCAGGAAAGCAAACAAAATAAATGTAAAGAGAAATAACTACACTTCCATAAGAGCACAGGTGGTTTTTAAAAATATCTGTGATCATGCTGTGGAAATTAATTAGCAGTCATGAAAGGGGGGGGGTAGTAGGGGGGAACCAGAAAGGGGCGAGATGAAAGTTCAAATAATAAAAAAGATGCAAGTTCAAGAGAGCTGGTGTCTCAGCTTTCTTGAAACCTTCCATGACTTGTGTATTGATATTTTCTTGAATCTCTGATCTATTGACATTCCTTACTAAAGAGAAAATCATAAAAATAAAGTTGTTAGAGGGTCAAATCATAGATTTCCCTCTACTTCTTTGCAGAAATGTTTGTGTGAAAATTGCTGTTTTACACTTTGATGAGTAGGAGAAATTTAAGAATGATTTTTCTAGGTGGATTTTTATGAGAAAGAGTAATTTAAAATTACTTAGACAAATGTTCAAAGGAAAATAAACAAGTAAAAAGCAATTATAGAGATATTACAAGGAACAAGAAACTACCTATGTAGGAAATATATTGGTATACTTTATGGCAGTCAAGCTGAGGAGTCATAGTCATTTCTGCCGTATATAGAAGTTTTCAATTGAGTTCCAAAAAACAACAAATTAATTACAACTACCAATCAGAACAAGGGTCAACATTATCCTTCACCCTTTAAGTCCTAGGAGTGATTAACATGTAATTCCTCCATATAATATCAACATATTAACCAGCAAACAGGTAATGAAAATACTCAAACTCATCAGGAAGAAGTTTTTATCTTGATCTTGCACCAAATTCCCGTAACTAATTTACAAGGAATTGTGTAGCAGCAAGTGGAGAGAATTACTAATCAGGTCTTGGGAGTTAAAGGGTTAACCAGTAGAACTCAAAGTAAAAATGGACAAAGTGCTTGGAGCACGGGAAAACACAAGTCATCAAGTTGGGTTGGTTTTACTTTTAAATCTGATTGGTTGAGAGGGTGGCCTACAAAAAAGCAAAACCAAAGCAACACAGGATCATTTTTGATAGTCTATTAAAAATTGCTCTACACTACCAATGATAAGTTTGCCAATAGGATTCAAAGGGCCATATGGAATAAGCCATTTCTGTAAAACACTTTGCAACCATTTACTTACTTCTTCAATAGCTCTTCTCAAGTTTGATTCTATAACACCTAAGTCAATGTCCTCCATATCATTCTTCTTAAATAGCATTGCTACATCAGGCTCCATAAATGTTGGATGGTACTCTCGGTTAGCTATTCCTTCTAAGTGGTCATAAGATGTCTCATTAACTGAGGATCCACATGTTAACTGGGGTGCAGGAAATAATTCAAGGGATGTAGGACCTACCGCACCGACAACAGGACTGTGAATGAAAAAAAAAATCAACAACCTGAACATATTAATTTCAAAAAGATTGTTGGTGAAGAGAAATGTTATTCACTTGCTACAGAGAAAAGAAAGAATATCTGCCTTCCACCAAGAAACAAACTTCAGAAATCTCAGATTTCACAGGCACATACTCTAAACCTGAGCTTGAGAAAACTCATGATCAACCCTTTCAATCCCATGTAACTTCTCCTTACAGTAACCATACATTATCCAGCAAACAGGTAATGAGATCTCTCAAACCCATCAGGTTCAAGTTATTAACATGATCTAACACCAAATTCTTTTTACTGATTGACAAGGAAATGTTTAGCAGCTAAAGAGGAGAGTTTACAATCAGATGTTTGGACTAAAGGCAGATATGGCTCAGATATGGTCCAGATATGAAGTATTTCAAAAAAACTAGAAGCTGAAATATTAGAAAATGAAATAACAGTCAAATAATAAATCCCTTATTTGATGGCTTAACATAGAATACAAGCAGATATTTTGCTCATTGACCATATTTTTCCTTGCCCCTACAGGGCTCAGAAAATGCCAAGCAACTTGCACAATATCCATGCATATAACTATAAATTTAGGTGTATGACTGAAGACTGAATCCTCACTGGTGCCTTAAAAGTTTTCTTTGTCTTTATGCAAAAATTTAATGCTTGACATTGTTTGCTGAACAAAGATAATAATGAGAGAAATTCATACAACAAATAATTTGCTTATGATGGCAGCAACATTTAAGCAACACAAATAAGTTTAAATATAATATTTGTGTTGTAACTTTGTATCATATGCAAACTTAACCGCCTCAAATAAATAACCCTTAAGTACTGATAATACCCTCTCTGACTGACCTCATGCCCAGACAAAAATAACTCTTTTGTTTTGACCTCACAGCTGACTTATTCAGACTGAAAATCAGATTCAACTTTTCAAATTTTTTAAAAAAGAGAAGACTGAAGACAAAACTGAGAGTTACATTGCCAAAATCAGTTCTGAACTTGTTTAAATATTAATATCAACTTCAAGTTGCCCACAAACTGTTGAAAGCTATTCTAGCTATCAATTATTAATTATCACTTCCAATTTTCCACAACAGACTGCCAAACCATGAGATATCTTAATTAAAAAAAACAAATATTATGCATGCTGATGATAGGGAAAATTGTCAGTGTGCTTAATGAGGGTATCTTGATCTTCGGAGCTAACTTTAAAATTTTGGAGTCCCCTGTGGCTGTACCATACGCATACGTTTGAAAAGTAATGTAAACAAGCTTATCAAAACTACTGCATGCGAGGGCAGGTGGAGAGGCCATTAAAAAAATTCTGATGACACGCAAAGGTATCGGTGATCGACGTCAAATAATATCGAAAAAACTGTCTCAATTTGGCTCATTCGCTTGAAAAATCGAATGAAGATGAATTTACAACAAAATTTTCCTAGTTTTTCCGACCAAATGTAGCTGCTTATCCACTAAAATAATAATAAAAAAAACTTCTCCGAAGCACTGGTTTTTGCTAACATTTGTCAGACTGAGGTGAAACCTGTAAAACTGTATTGATTCATGCAAAACCAAGTAAGTATTTGATGACTTTTTAAAGTCACCATCGGTTTCCAACCCACTCGATGATGGCTGGTTAATCCATCGCCAACTAACACATAAACAAGTTCTCATTAAAATAATTCTGCAATCAAAGGAGTAAAAAATACCGAAAAATAATTTCTCTCCTAACAACCAGAGCAGGTTTACAGTTCATTAGTACTTTGTACCGCGAAGACTTCAAATGCAAATTAAACACGTTGCCTCATTCGTGTTTATCTCGTGGCTTCAACTGAACGTCACAAACTTCAAAATCATAACTTCAGATTTAATTTAAAAATAATCCGCTTAACAGAAATAATTCTTGTAGCGAAAAAAATGGAAGAAAGTAACACGTGAAAAACAGGAGTAATCTTCGTGATCGGCCGTGTCCGTAATATGCGCTATGCATGGCCTTGCCGCACGTCAAAACAAACCAAGTTTACACTTACCAATTAAAGGCTACTTTGGCCTACAATTTCACGGATACACTCACCTCAGTCCCTGAGATCTGCCCTTATTGCACTGGTCGCAGTTTGTTTTCCTACCGCTAACCGTCTTAGGAGGGTTAGTTTTCGTTAGAATCAATAACACGGGGTCGGATTTCAGAATATCACCTTCACTGCTGGCCCGTACGACTCCATCTCGTTCGTTTAGAATCCAGTGTGTAGCCCCCATAGTATCTGAACTCCATAAACTGGCCGAGACAATGTACAGAGCCAGGTACGGGAAATACGGGTAATCCCCACTCATCGCTGGGGTTGCAACAAGGGTGAATTATATTGAAAGTACAAAAGGATTATGGAACAACATACACACATACAAAATCGACTTTTGGTAACGCTCCCACTGAGCATGCCCTGTGAGTTCTCTACTATAGCAAAATGAAGTGAGGTATCCCGGATTGAAAACAAAGAGCTCCTAGACGGGTTACTTTTAGTCGCTATGGGTAACACAGCGGTAAAATCGTCTATGATATTTTCTGGTTTCAGAGTACTCCATTTTTCTGGTAATTCTATGTCTGGTGTAGTACGAACAATAAAAGAAGATAACATGGGGAATACTCAAACTAACGCCTCAATTTTTTTAAACTTGTGACTAAACATCTAAAACGTGGGAACAACTTTAGTGCCTTTTTCCGGGGGGTAGAGGGGGTGGGGTAAAATTTAGAGTTTTTCCACACCTGGATAGATTTCCTAGGATATTGTTTTAGGAACAAAAGGGTTCATCAGTTTCAATATTGCAAATTATCATCCCCACACATTGCGTCTCAGGTGGGAGTCGTTTCCAGTCATTTCGCGATGCCATATAGTTACATATACTGAATAGAGGGGGTAAATTTCTTAAGAAACTGTAGTGCTGCGTCGGTGGGGAGTATGACTAGATAATTTGGTTTTATCAACTGAGTTGATAATGTAAATTGGCCACCGTAAGAGTTTCTAAGCTGACGTTTCGAGCGTTCGTCCTTCGTCAGAGCGAATGAGACATTCAGCTAGAAAGACAAACACACATACAGAGAGACGGACGGACAAAGGGGACAGACAGGTAGGCAGACAGACAGACGGATAGGCGCTGCAGACAGTCAGACGAACAGATAGATAGCCAATGAGACACACGGACGCACACAGACATAAGCAAGAAAACGAGCAGATACGCAGACAAGTAGAGAGACCAGGGACAGACGGACGGACAGAGAGACAGACCAGTAAAATACAAGCAAGCAACCATACAGAGTTAATCCAGTATCTTGCACTAATATGATAATAATAACAATAATCGGGATCATTAATAGAGAGAAACTGAACTGCACTTGCACACATGCACATGGTCCTAAAATAGTCGGAGTGCACACCTACCCGAGACGCTTAGTTAACTTGGGTTTAGGGCTACGAAGTCAGAGATTACATCTCTTTGATTCTGCAAGACTTGAGATAGTCTTGAACTTTTGCACTACTTTTTAATCAATTACAATTAAAACTAAAGCCAGTCGTGATTGGCCACTTGAGTTATTATGTTCTATGAGCAGATTACACGTATTCATAACTTCGAGTTCACATTGGCTCTCGGCGATAATTACCTTTCTTTGATTGGCTGTTGCGATTGCTTTAGATGTACTTTACTGGGCCACGTGATTAGTTTTAAACTGACTCAACCCATCACATGCAAACTAAAACCAAGCACGACTTGATCACGCACTTCTCACTGAGAATTCTCAATGTTAGGGTCTTCATTAAACTTTCATTCCCCACCATTGGCGATGATGAATATCTTTCACTCTGGGTGTTGCACCCTGAGCACAAAACTTCACACAGATCCTCTCTGACAATTCTTCCCTTAGTTTATTCCACAAGGAAATAAATTCATTGTTGAATTGTAACATCTAACTAAGTTACAACGCACTTACAATAATGGTCAGAAGTGGAACCAGCCAGATACATGTATATTGATCAAGCCAATCAATGATAATTTATAGCCTCAATCTAGCAAATATCCAATCTAGTAAATAAATATACCGGTATATCTATAAATAATGTAAAATCTGCGTTAGTGTATTCAGTAGAAGGTAATGTGTCAGTTACATTTATTGCAAAACTCGTTAAAAACAGCGATGACGCCGTGACGTTTGAAAAGTATTGCGATTGCCGCAAATGCGTCTAAGATTTAATGAATAAATAACCAACGTAAGCTAGTTCAAGTTAGTAATTGATGCAATAATGAGTTCTGTTAATATTTTAAAATTTTGTTAAGTGTAAAAAGATTCTGCGAGAGGAACACGATGATGGTGATTACGACGGCTAGCACACAAGAGTAGTCCTGCGTGAGAGAGAAGCGTGTCTGCTCTCTCTTGCACGCGGCTCTTTCGATCTTTTCGGGCTTTCACGCAGGCTAAGTGGTGAAACGACTTTAGAGTTTCTTTATCATAGTTCCATAACAACGCCAACAGGATGAACGACGAAAGAAATTTCCAGGAAGAAATTTCCAAGGGCCTCTTCTAAGGTACTTCTGACCTGTATATGAGAGAAGAAATAGTCATCAAATCAATGCGAAACTTGCTAGTTGAAGTACGTCTTTCCGTCATACACTTCTATACTTGATCTAAACACTTCTAAATAGTCTCCTTGGACCTTCATGTATCCTTGCGCAACGTTTCTTGCCACTGACGGTACGTTACACAACATTTTTTGCACTATGTTTTGTCAAGCACAGCCTACCATAGTTCACAGTATGAAGCAACTAGGAACATTGATACTGGTTCCCCCCCCCCACCCCCCCAACCTTCCCCCACCTCCACCCACCTCAATTTGTCAGGCTACCCTGAAAATTTTACAGGTATATTCACCCTTTAACCCCCAAGAATGATAAGCATCTGATTTCTCTAAACAGTATCACCAATAAATCAAACATTAGGGTCACAAGAATATAGTAAATTATTACAAACTCAAGAAGCTCTTGACTGTTAGACAAATTCTCCTAACAAGCACTATAGGAAATGTATAAATAACAGTATGGAGAACTTGCATACTGATGTAAGGATGTAAAGGGTGAACATACTCAAACTTCTAGGGGGGATAAGAACCCAGACTTGTCCAACCAAAGAACAGCATGCTTACCATTATACTACTACATTTCCCTTTACTCTCAAGTAGAATTTGCTCATCAAAATGACACCAAGCCTTACATTTGAGGCTTACCTTTAATGAGTGTTCAAAGTCACAGTACACCCACACCTCATCTTGCAATGTCTGTAAAAAGCCACATGAATCTGAGTTCACTGCCTAGTAGTCTGTAGCAAGTTACCTATCACTGTTCCACCATGTTTCCTAACAGTTCACAAGTAATCCATTTAAACTAATGATAGACAAGTAATACATCTAAACTAATGATAGAAAAGCTGTTATGGTTGAAAGTCTTTCCCTAGATTACATGCCTTGTCTTAGTGTTATTACTGGCAATGTCAGCATATTTCTCAACATACATAAGAATACTCCATGGTTAAATTCCTGACCTGAAGTTTTGCATTGCAGTAAGGAAGACAACCTTCTTGGATCAATGAGCATACTTTCTTCCAAAGTTGTTTTATTGTGAAATTCTCCTCTGTATTGCAAAAAAGAACACCTCTATGATCAATCATACCTGACCCAAGCCTAATTCTAATGTGACAATCAATTTGAAGCTTCAACATCCCCCCCTCCCCCCTCAGCAATTCCCAAGGCATTTGAACTTTTGTACTGCTCCCCAGTGTGAAATTGTGTTCAAGTACCACACCCAAGTGCCGGATTTCATCATCAATATTTTATAAAAGCAAAATCAGCCACAATGACTTTAAACAAATTGACCAAACTTTAAAACGTTCACCTTGTAGACCTTTTCTTCTGAGCCACTTACTTGCCAAAGTGAACTGTTAACCTTTAAAGATACTTGTATTCTGTGAGAAAGACTTTCCACTTCTGGTTCAAATTCTCCAAACAAGCAAGGTGCAAATTCTCTACCCCCTGGGCATGGACGAGGGTCAAATGCCTGCAGGTTTTCTGGGGGGGGACATTGAGGCCTCTGATTTATTGGCACATAACCCTAACGCTAACCCTAACCTTATCATTCTAGGACCAATGCCTCTTTTCTTAGCAATAACCAGAAGCAATTGAGAGAGAATTTCAAAATCAACCAGGCTCACAGCGAAAAGTCAATGTTAATCGGCAGTTACCCTCTCATTAGTGCTATGGTATAAGCAGTGAACCAGTGAGTAACAAGATGACCAGAGGAATTAGAGGCACTGGCTAATTCTATTAATTTATAAGGTATAATGTTCAATTACTAACTAGCTATATTTGATTTAAAAAGAAATTGGACAATTTGATAATGAAAATGAATCTGCAATATAAAAAGTTGTTTTGCAAACACAAATTGAAGAAACAACCTTCCTGTTTTAACTCATTTATTTAGCTATAGCAATAAAGGAGTTCTACAAAATAAGTGAAAACACAATTAAACTAGTTCTCACAGACTAACTACAGCATGCAAAATTTAAACAATGTCCCAAGAGCTAGCTACAACTGTAACAAGCATACTTCCATGAAAGATACCCAAATAATATTTTGCAACATCATGAGAATGTACAGACAAACAAAACAACATGGCCAGCTCTTTTCTGAGCCATTAAGTAAGGATAGGCCAATACTGATACCAAATATTCCATACCAGCAATGCTGAGGTCTACTTGCACAATATCCATACACTGGCAAAATGTATTGATGCTTTCAATACTACAATCACAGTATCGATATCAATATCGATATTACAGAAAAACATCAGTATCATACTTGGTATTGTATTGATTTGGAAAAACTATATTGGCCCATCCTTACCAGTCAGTGGTCCAAAGGCCTGAATGAGCTACTTACAGTAATACAGCAGTAAATTCTTCAAAGATACCAAGGCAATCACATGATAATGACATAATTAGAATGAATGACTCTATTGACAAACTTAAACTGGTATATATAAAAGAAGGTAATTCATGTACCTTTTAAGGAACCTTTTTTGGCACAAACAATCCATTTTCCTCGTTGATGATAATCCAATCCATACTGTTGCTTCACTTGGAGAAGGTCTGTCTCCTTGAATTTTTCCAAAACAGTCTCTTTTTCTTTCCCTTTCCTGCAATTGATATGTGGAGGACTGACACACCACAACTTGACATAGAAAAGAAAAGAATAATTAGCCAAAATTAAAAAAAATTTCAAGTAACCCAAAATAATGATCTTTGTTTCTTAGTGAACATTGCCAATAAGTCTACAGATGTAATAGATTAACATCCAGCTAAGTTCCAGGATCCATCTGGTAACTCTCCCAATTGATGGTCATAGCTTTCCTTGTAAATTAGGGAAGAGAATCTGACTCTAGTTGTCTGAAGGTTGGATAGCAATATCCACCGAATACAACACTTATCCACTGGATAGCCATTTATCCTTTGGACTGTGGTAATTCCCATTGAATGACTGGGCTTTGGTGTTATTTCAAGACAACATCCCCTTGCTGATAAGTTTGACTGTTCTCGTAATTTTTTCGCAAAATAATATTCGAATTGTGTGGATAAGAGTATAAACAGAAGGTGAAAAGTAAGGGGATCACACAAGATAGCTTTTGTGTGTTTCTCTATCTTTTCCAACACTTACCGATTTGGCTGAGGTATTTATAGGATTTAGAGCTTCCTCCAACAGTTTGCTCTTTCCACTTCCACATTTAGAACAATCTACACTACCACCCCTACTCCAGGGGCTATGGTGTTCTGCGGGATGATTGTTACATGTTCTGCTCACAATCTTCTCTTTGTCATCACAACTACCCTGATGATCACCTTTCTTCAGCTGTGCTTTTTTTAAGCCTGATTTACCAGAATACACAGGTGAAAAGTCAAGTAAGTTGTCACTTGTTGATAGGAAGTTTTGCCTTAAAACTGATGATTGGTTTGGTGTCAGTTCTGAAATCACTGTCAACTTTGGGGGAAGTACCTTGAAGCACAAACAGGTTAAGGTACTCTCATCTATAAAGAAAGAAACAAGAAGAAATATTAACCTGTTAAACCCTAGGAGTGACCAGCATCTAATTTCTCTTAACAGCACTACTGCTGAATCATTCATCAAGAGCTGTCATTTGATAACAATAAAGGAAATGACTGCCAACTTTATAAGCTTTGATTGTTAACCAAGTTCTCCTTGTCAGTACCAAAGGAAATGAATAGGGTAAAGTATAGAGAATACAGATACTGATGTTGGGCTGTAAAAGGTTAATGTAATACAGTCATTTCTGCAATAAACCTCTGTCTGTATTCCCATTCCTGCATTTCCCTAAAAAAGAAAATCTCCATTACAGTCGTAGTGTTGTTATCCATTTGGACTTGGTAGCACTTCATCATAATAATAATTACCTAATTTGCATGTGTTTGAACAATTTTACAAATTTTCCACTTAGCAAAGAAATGTAGATTGTATGAGGTTTTCATTAACTCAGGGCAACATTTCAAAGGAGAAAAATTAATTACAAAATTTCCCTTTGTATTTTTCTTATTAATTGAGCACCATTCTCTGATGAGGTCCTGTCTAGAAGCCCTAGAAATAAAAGTGGTAGGAGAGGGAGCTTTTTGCAGCTTTCATAGTATTATACTATGATTCCAAAGGATGGAAAAGCTGTAGTTTTATTAAATGCCATTTGGTAACGGAAAGAGCTTTTATATCACAATAATGGTTAAAATCTCAGAGAAATTCAAAAGAAACACAGAAGAAGCCAAACAATAATTATCTCTTCTAATTTGTTTGACCTTTTGCGCAACAACATCGGCAGTATATTCTACGCAAAGTTCTTTATAAGTTCCCTATGGCACCCATAAGGAAGACTGATGAGTTAACAAGTCCTCAAATTGCCCAAAATGCCATTCAAATTCACTCCAAAATGCTTGTTTTAGGTTAGTAACATGACTGTCTTAAAAAAAACTGTGGCAAGTAATTTAGAGTTAACAACTGAGTTGAAAACATAAATTGGCCACCATAAAGAGTTAAAAGGCTGACGTTTTGAGTGTTAGCCCTTTGTCAGAGTGATCACTCTGATGAAGGGCTAACACTCCAAATGTCAACACCCTTATTCATTTATAAAACTGTGTCCTGCAAAGCCCAAAAAACAAGAAGTCAAAAGTCAAAAATGAGGGCAAGTGCTTTATCCCAGGAACCAAACACTACGAAACAGATGGTGTTTGGTGTTTGGAACCTGTAATGAAGCAGAAAGCCCAAGTTTTTGACATGTCTTCTCAAATGAAACCCTAGGAAATTGAACAGTGACACGTTTTCTCAAATCAAACAATGATTAATTATGCATAGTTACATTTTTGCCCTTTACTGAAAAAACACATTTGAATGCTACAACATTTTAGCTTTCATTTGATGAAAGTTTCATGCGGTTTCATCTGTTTTCCCCGTACGTAAACTGATCAATCTCAGTGACATCATAGTGTTTTATTTATTTAACGGTTAACGTTCCATACTTGAGACACGACATAAAGTTTGAGTTCCTTTCGTCGTATTTGTTCGCGCTTCTTATTTCGCAAAACACTACCACAACTTAGCTTTCATTCGATGTAGTTGCCTCCGGTGGCGATTTGATTCTTTGTGGTGGCGAGTTTTTTTGTGGTGAGTTTATTGCGGTGGCCACTATTGACCGTAAACGATCAGGAGATGCAAGTGGTATGATTGGGCACAGCAAGAGCTTACACTTACCATACCATGGCTTAAATTCTCTGGAGGGAATATGCCTCAGTCTTTTATAATCACAAAAGCCTGACAGCAAATTTCTTGCAACATCATATGGATCTGGCAAGGAAGTCACATCAGCTGAAGAGCAAACACAGCTGCCCAAAACTGACTGATGCACTGCGATAACATCATTTGAGCCCATAGATAAGAAACCAGAGCCCCCTTAAAAGCATTAAAACAGATTTTCTGTCACCAAGACACCGCTTAGCTCGAGCATTTTGTTATAAACGATACGATTTCAAATTAGAACTCAAAACACCGCAGCCGCCATTTTTTCTATCGCTCCAGTCCTCCTTTGGGAAACGTTTCAATTTTGTACGGGGGGAAGTCTGGGCTGGTTGTTCTAATTCAACATGGAGGACTATGAAAGTGTTCTGTGTGTTAAGAATGAATGTTTTATTTACAAAATTCCTCCGAGAACAAGCAACCGAGGATACAGGTACTCAGATACGTTCCTTTAGCATGATTTTTTGTCTCTGAACTAATCTGATCTTTACGCGTTCACGGGTTAACTGGAAAGAGCCATTTGGGAAAAATTCATTTTTTTCTTCCTGTTTGGATATTTGACTATAGGGAATATCCAGAATCCAAATTGAAAGATAAATGAAAAATACTTGTTTTCCGAAAATCCGCGCTCATAATTACAAATGCCTTTTATGTTTCTTGAAATGTTATGCGTAAATTATACAACTTCGATGAGTGTTATGTAGAAATAATATCAAATTACCAATTAGTGAATACGTAGCGTTCGCTCTAATTTATATTAGCATTAACTATGCTCACGCTGTCTTAAAATGCACTTCACTTTCACCTTAAATTGGCCTCAACTGATTAAATTTTAGGCTCATCTTAAAGGTTTTTAAGACAGCATTAACAACCATGAAAAAGTTGTCAATTATTGTGATCAAATTTTGGGCGTTAGTCTTCACCTTCTTCCTTCCGAGGTTGATGGAAGTCGATCTTTAAGTAGAGAACATTGTTTTTATAAAGTAAATAAACTTAATGCCCCTCCCTAGGTGCATGGGAAATCTTTACAGAAGGGATGATTTTGAAAGTAATGTACAAAAAAAGAAAGGAAAAAAACATTGTCTATCACTAAGGGAGTCCCTGGATTATTAATTAAAAGCACAAGTAACCTTTGATAAACTAATAGATTTGCCTTTCTATCTGCCTTCTGCTTAATTAAGCATTAAAGTGCACTTTGTATTGGTTTACTGTCATAGTAATCTATACTGGAGGCTTGGAGAACACATGAAAAGTGTGTAAATCTAGTTGGTAACCTATCATGGATTGACATCCCATCCAGGAGGAGAGGAAATACTCCTCTTTGCTTCCTGCTACCCACTCTGTGATAAGCTGTAGCAGCATGGGTCTCTTGGCTCAAATATCAATTTCTTGCTTTCTCAGAGCTGCAGACTGGAAACTTGATCAGCCAGATTGGACTGGAAGGTTAAGAGTCTGTGCAAAGGGAAAGGAGTGTTACATCAAGATTGAGGACAAGACAAGTGGTGAGTTGTATCAATTAAAGGTGACTTCTAGAATAAATAATTAACATGTAAGAATGAGAAGGTTACCAGTCAGACAGTGTGAGGTATGGAAGCTAAAAATTGTAATACATCCTGGGCAAATAGAAAGGAAGAAGCAGGGTTTCAATTAGAAGCTGGTTACTGGCAGTCTACCATCACCTGTGAGCAAGTTCTTGTCTTTGAATTTCACCCTAGAGTCCTTTTTAGGGTATGACTGCCTCTTTGCCCCTTAACCCTTTAACACCTAAGAGTAACTAGCATGTAATTTCTCTTAACAATTTAACCTCTGAATAAAACATTAATGTTACAAGAATTGAGGAAATGATCACCAACTAAAGAAGCTGTGGATAATGAAACAAATTCTCCTTATCAGTAACCTAAGGAATGTATAGGGAACAGTATAGAGAATATGCATACTGATATTAGTCTGGAAAGGGTTAAGCAAGCGTTTAAGGAAAAAGCTATTGAAATCCCTGGAAGTAGGCCAAGAATAGATCACTGTTGGCAACATTTACTTCGCATGTTGTTTCAATCAGTAAAGTTAGTTTTTCAAGAAAATATCCCATATCCCTTTAAATTCACAATTATATCAACTATAGAATGGGAACTTGATTATAGAAAAATTGCTCAACCCAAAGGTTCTACTCCTGTTATTTTTGTGTACAGGTGAACTCTTTGCTAAGTGTCCTGTAGATGATTACCCAGGGATTGCAGTGGAAGGTGTTCTTGATAGCAGCCGTTACTTTGTCTTGAAAATTGTGGATGATGGTGGTATGTGCTATTCGGTGTATTTTTATTTAGGAAGCATTTATTAATAATCATAATGTTTTATTTCATGTTCACTTAATTAAGTTTAAACCTTTGAAAGCCCACTGAGCTAAATCTGCGGTATTTACAGGTACAACTTAATCTTTTTTCATTTGGTACATTTCTCCTGACCAGTTCACCATTTAAACCCTCAGGGTGACCAGAATTTAATTTCTCCTCACAGTAATACTGCTGAATTATTTATTAAGATGTTGAGAATAAAGAAATGATCTCCAGCCTAAGAAGCTTTGATTGTTAAACAAATTCTCCTTGTCAGAAGCAAAGGAAAAGTGTAGAGAATACTGTGGAGAATATGGTTACTGTGCTAGTGTATAAAGGGTTATACCAAAATTCAATCTGTCATTTAGCTGTCTGTCCATATATGCTTTCATCTGTTAATTAATTCATTCATAGCATTTAAACAGAGTACTTTGATGGAAATATTTTGGTTCTAATTGCAGGGCGTCATGCTTTTATTGGAATGGGTTTCACAGACAGAGGAGATAGCTTTGATTTTAATGTAGCATTGCAAGATCACTTCAAGTATGTTGATTGCAGATTGTTTTATCATTTGTGGAATTTTTTTCCAATAATTTTTTTTTGTCATTGAAAATATCTTATCTACATGTTGATCTCAATTTGAGTTGGAGAAGGTGGGAAATAGCTGAGCAAGAAACATTTAAAAGTTGCTCACTTCTCAAAGACCACTAATGGCCTTACTATGCTCATTGTCACAACATGACCATTATTGTATATTCAACCAAACCACACCAGCATATCACGCAAAAATTGAGAATTATATCATTAGTAATGGTTAATAGTTATGTGGTCATAATGTCTAAAAACCTGATTATCTTTTTCTTTTGGGAAAAGTGAATATAATTTTCAGGATCACATCAATATTTACTTTTATGAAAAATTCATAGTATTTCTAAGTATTGATATAAAAACCATTGAAAATACAAGTGACTACTATGGTACTGGTCTTACCTTAAGGTTATTTAAAATTGAAAATGATAATTGATAAATACTTGTTATAGAAAATATGGATTTTTACATGTACCGTTCTATCAAATTTAGATTGGAATTCCATATTTTTTGGATGACCTGTATTTTGTTTATATTTACTCTTGTGTTATACATAGATGGTTGAAACAGAGTGAAAAACTTGCTGCAGAAGCTGAACAACCTGATCTTACTCCAAAATTAGACTTGGGCTTCAAAGAAGGTCAAACAATTCACATTAATCTTGGGGTGAGTTGGACTGTCTCTCGCAATTAAGTACACTTAGAAATGAAGCTTAACCCTTTAACTCCCAAGATCTGATTGTTAATTCTCCCATCTAGCTGCTACACACTTGAATCAAGATCACAATTTCTACCTGACAAGTTTGAATATTCTCAATTCCTGTTTGCTGAATAATGTATGGATATTATGCAGAAAAGTTACAGGTTTATCGCTAGGGATGCAATAAATGAAAGTCTACTACAGTAGGCCTCCAAGATATTCAATACAGTGTACATCATGTTCCAAGTGTACACTTAACAATGACACTTTCCCATTTCCTTGCTGCAGTCATAAAAATTAATTCAAAGTACTTTGTGCAACTTGTTCTGGGAAAGAAATTTTGCAGTGGGGACCTATATTACAAGACAAGTTGTCCACATTGCATGCAAAAAATTGTTGTTGAGGTATTTCCTTATACTATGTAGCTGTAACTCATGACTGAATGTGTGTCCACTTAAAAAGCCCCAACTAGTAAGAAAAACTAAACAGAAAAAAAAACATGGAAACCATTACTGCACCATCATGTTTTTGGTCAATCCTCATACTCTGAAGGCTTCATTTCAGACAAAGTTCCAATATTGACCACATCATATTGCTGGGCAGGACCCCTTTGCCCTTCTCTCAAGGGGATACTGACATTGCATTACATTGTTTAAGTCATTTTGCTTCCAACTTCAAGGAGATTAGTAGAACATTGGCACTGTTAGACAGAAAAACACAAGGAGCAATCATTATGATAAACAAGCAACAAGTAGCTAAGAATGGAGAGGGTTAAAACATGTTATGAAAGACAGTGTTTTTCAAGATGCCTCAACTGTGATGTAGTTCCTTTCTGTCATATTTCAAGAACGTTCAATAAGTAAAATGTGATTTTTAACTTTTCAGAATCGTGCACCTGGTGCAAGTGCAACAAGCCGTCCTAAGCCAGGTATGCCTGATTTGATACTAACAAATAAATGAACAATTTTTGGATAATTGTGGGTTTTGTGAATGATATAATTTTATCGCTACAGAAATGTATGCAGGTAGGATTTAAAAAATTGATAGGTTATTTGAAGAATAATTTCATATGATGTGACATTTTCAGCTAAGGAATCTGTTGAAATGAGGTTTCAGCCAGTTTCTGACAAATGTAATACCCATCATACACAGTTTTTATTCAGTGTGATCAATCGATTTTCAGCATTTGAATAGATCTGTGACAACCATGGTTATGCTCAATACATGTGACTTTACTCATAGTCTGGAAAATCAAAGCAATGGTTTGGATAAAGTGTGGCAAAGTCTTGGATTTTGCTCAAACCAATGCTTGTGGAGGAGGAATGTAGAATGGGAAATGGTGGACTGAGGCTGGACATGGGGGTTGCTTGACCTGCTGGTAACTGGCAGAAATTAATGGTGTTCTCTGCTGGAGGCCTTAGATGCACAGACACACAAAGAGGACTAACTAACTAAATTAAATGCTTTTGATCTAGCCATAAGGCAACTTTGTCTTAATATAATTCAGAATTCACTTGCCTGACTATGTTACACACCTGGAAGATCATGCAGCTTTATCTCTAAAAAATATGATTCATTCCTAACTAATTTTGGTTCATTTTCTTATAGCAGGAGGTGGATTTGGTGTCATCCCCCCTCCCCCTGGGGGTTTAGCTCCCAAGCTAGCACCACCCCCAGGGGCAGGGGCATCACCTGCATCTGGGAGGAGACCAATTCCTAATTTTCAACCTCAGGCTCCCTTCCCTGACATGGGAAGTTTTGGCTCCATGTCAACAGTTCCACAACAAAGTCAACAACAGAGTACAACATCTGATTGGGGAGATTTTACTTCTGCATCAGGGTAAGTGAATTCTGGTTTAAAAACTGAGTACAGTGCACATGCTCATGCCTGAAAACAGCTGGCCAGCATGGGCATCAGGCCAAGCTAAATTGGATTAAGAGTTTCAGCAAGGGGTTTGGAGTACTGGTTCTAAAACTAGACAGGATTCTAGTCTATTGCAGTTTATTGCTTTCCTCAGCACCTTATCAACTTTCCTGAGAGAGTGTTAAAACTCATGTATCCCCCTGGATGGTGAGAGGAATCTTAAGTGTCAGATGTTTTCCCCAATACAGTGATTCAGGCCCGGTTTCACTATTTTTTTACTTAAGTCGCTGTTGTAATAGGGAGCTGGTGCCATGAGGCAGAAACCAAAAAGGGAGCCTTCTCTTAGGCTAAACAGTGGTAGGAAGTCTTACAGTGTGCAGTAGATGGCCAGTTACCACCTTTTGAGTATTGATGGTGACTGATGACTTTGGCCACAAGGTGCTTGTTCTTTAGAGCTAACCTGAATTCAATTTTGCCCCATTACAGCCTCAAACGGTCATCCATTGTTTTTCTTTTTGCATTCTTTTCATAGGAGTTCTGATTCTAGCTGGGTACAGTTCTAGAGATATTTCATATCAATAGTCAAAGAGGAAAGTATTTTAATGAGACGTTTTGCTCTGTCTACTTGTGTGCTTTCAAATTTACACAAATGTAACATAATGTAATGATTGCAGAATGTAAATTGTTAGAATTAGTTACAGTATTGTCATGAATGTGTTAGCAAAGAAGTGCAGCTTTAGACAAGGTGATGTAGAATTTAGTGTACAAGTAAACCATTTACCAAACATTGTTACATAATCTTGTCAGCAATAAAAAAGTGGAGGATTATTATTTACCTAGAAATTCAATCTTAGAATGAAATTCTGACATCATGGCAAGTTTCAAGATGGGTTTGCAATGTTACCAATTTTTCCTGTTACTGACAAGGTCGTGTGAGCAAGTTTTTCAAAATGAAATGATTGGTGAGAGGGCTGTTCAACTGAGTGTCCTTGAACTTATTACATCAGCCAATCAGAGCAGCGGACAATATCCCAAAAAGCCAATGAAAACTGAAAGGAGGTAACTGTTCTAAGCGCGGGAAAACGCGGACGACCAGGTCGCGATTGGTTTTAATTTTCTTTCTGATTGGTTGAGAGGCTAGGCTAAGTTTTTTAGAATAATCCCTGGGTGCAATAAGAGGAAACCTAATTGCAGGAATTCTTTCGACACTCAATTGGACATTGTCTGATGTAGACCAAATATTTCTCCGTCTTATGGGCATTATGGCACATAAGACAAAGAAGTGACATCTTAACGTGAAAAGTGAAAGAGTAGCCTTTTAATATGTCAGTCGTAAAAGAAAAAAATAAGAAAACAATCTTATATTTGTTTTGCTTAAATATTTCCCTCTTGTTTTCCGGGTTTGTTACGTATAGTTAACGACCCGTCTAGCAAGGGTGGGGAAGGGGGTGAAATACTAAACAATAATGTGTAAACAGAACCGTCTCCAAAATGCAAAGGAACTAGACCCTCCCCCTTCAAGATAAAGGTATTTTTTCCCACTCTTAAAACACTAAAAACGCGTCAAGGTCGCTTTTTTAACTAAGGTGACACAAAAGAAGTTTCTCCTTACACTATCAATACACTTTCCAACGGAATGAGAGGCGATATTGTTTGAATAACACCAAATTCCTCTACTTAAAAGTATAAGAGATGTATGGGAGACAGTGCGGAGAATTGACAATTAGATCTGGGGAGTGAAATAGTTAAGCAAAACAACCAAACTGTAAGCGACACAGAGTCATTGTTTTAATGAAATTTATTTTTTCGCCATTATGTTTCATAATTACCGAGGCCCTCCATGAAATTTCAAGCAAAACCTGTTCTTTTCTCGGTCGTACCAAATTCGCCTTAAACAGGTTTTGGAAGTAATTATTACTAAACGTACGCAGTTTTTCCGCTTTCTTATACTTTCGTCGATCATTTTTAGATGGTATACATTCTTTGAAGTGAAATGTTCTATGAACTGTGAGTTCAACTTTTTTCGGAATAACTGATTTCAAAGTCTAGTATTTTATTTCATGGTATATATTGTTATTGTAATTGGCTGCGATAGCCATCTTCTCGAATCGTTTGCGAAGGAAAATAGTTAGTTGACGTTGATGTTGTTTACTTAAGTAGAGCTTCAGACATTTTATTTTCCTGACTGTAGACATTTACATTAGAACATGGCTATTGTATTAAGGATGTAAGGCAAGGAACATTCTTTTCGTATGCAGTTCTGTCAATTCAGAGGCGGCGGAGCGCTTTGAATTGTGGAGGGAGGGAGCACACCCCTTATACTAAGCCAAGTACATACCCTCACTCAAATTTTCTAAACACATTTTTAATGTCTGACTCTTGAACACAGGCCGGAGCTGTTTAAATTGAAATTTAATTTCGCCAGGCAACGATACTGATGAAACGATTGAAAAGATTACAAGATCCGAATTTCATGCTGCGCTGGCAAAATCGTCGGCACTGAAACTTGGTTTGGGGGGGGAGGGAGCATAGCCCCCTAAATTTTGCCCAAGAGGGACTGCAGCCCCCCTGTCCTCTTGCTCCGCCGCCTATGTTAGTGTATCGTAGAATGTAAAGCAAGAAAGGGTCTTTTCATACGTAGTTCTGTTAATTATGTAATGTCAACGTATGCTATAGTTTACAAAGTCAGTTCAAATAATAATAACCCAATTGTTCAGTATAAAGTAAATACCATTTCAACGCTCTCTTGTGGTTTTATTAGGATTCAACTGGATAATTTCTAACATCCCCCTTCATCAAATGAGTGAACTGTTTTCATACCTCAAGCATATTTAACCCTTAAAGCCCAAAGAGTGATAAGCACTTAATTTCTCCTCAAAGTGTGCTTCACCGCGTTCGTGGTGTTGATCGAAGAAATATTTTGAGTCTTGGGGCAGAGAAACACAATCCAAGAAATGCACTTGTTGCCAAATTTACCGACAATAGACGCTTGCTTACTGAGAAATTTTCGTTCAACAGCATTTTCCCAGGCGAGTGTTTGCCTTTAACTACAAGGAAGACAAAATAAGAAATAATCTTCCTGAAAAAGCTTTTTCAAAATTGTTATTGCTCCTCATCAGTCTAAAATACTTCTATAAACAGGCTATTCGTTGTATCACCATACCAGAACGAATAGATGGAGAGACTAACACTCCATCCCTCCCCCTCTAGATCTCCTGACACTGTCTAAAAGGGACCGGTCATTTTTTATGGCGGGAGGGGGGGTGGAGGTGAAGAATATGCTTTCCAGGGGGAGGTGGGGTGGCGCTTAGTCATCGCCGACAGAGTACGAAGGGGACTATGGAAAATTGACTACTGATGAAAGGGGGAAGGGGTTCGTAAGAATATTACAGAGCCCTACGAGGAGATTAGGCAAAATTTTTGTGACACAATTAACCAAAACTCTTCGATCTGCCCCACTCCCCCTCCAGCCGATTTATAGTGTCGGGTCTCTAATATGATCCTCTTGTAAGGTAAGGCTTGCCAATCAACAGGTAAAAATTGAAAGACAAGTTGATTAGAAATAATGAAAGAATATATTTCCTCCGAGTTATTTGGTTTAAAAGGTTTGTAAGGTGATCTCTGCAATTTTATAATTACACTATATTTGTTTTATTTTAAGCTCTGCGAATATCCTCGAACCCGTCGCTTCCTGTACAGATCTCCGCATCGATTCAAATTAAAAATTATTTAATGCACTTAGTAAGAAAATATAGAGACGATAAATCTCTCTTTGAAGTTCTTTGTCTTGAAACTACTCAAAGTACCGCGTTCTATATGGCAACGCACAAAAATTTGAATGCTTTAAAGAGTATTCCATTTATGCCAACGTGAGAAATCTCGATAATCGTTTGAAATTAATGTCTTAATAACTAAATCGAAAAACCGCCGCCAAATATTGAGTTGGTAATTTTTATGATCGTATTTTGAGATCTGAAACGTGACAAATGAGAAACTAGTGTTTTCTTTTGCGTTTTCGTCAATCCCTAAAAATAAATTTTCCTACTGATCTTGCTTAGCGGCATGTCTTTAATCTAACCGGCTGACTTTCTATAAAGCACAAAAAAGGGAAAAGAAATCGCTCACCCACATGAAATTCAGTGACGATCGCATGGTTGTTCAGCTCATATACTTCAGGATAGGACTGTTTATAAGTAGAGGCATTGTTTTGATATTTCACTTTGTCTTGTTTTGGTTTATTTTCTGCCATTTTTCTTCGTCTTGCATCATAATCGAGTATTGCATGAACTACATATAATTATGTCGCTCTTGCCCCGGCTGGAAACTTGTTCTAATAGGGAAAGCACATTTATACAGTTAAATTCATTAACCTTCACTGAGCTATCATTTGGCAAACCGCAAAAGCAACTATTTATCTTCGCTTGTCACTCTATGCAAACTCTCCATGTCAAAAGGTGTAGTAATTTGCAATAAATAGAGCGGCTAAAGAAAAGAAAAGAACACCGCTTATAGAGAAAAGAAGAGGCCGAAAACGCCAATAACTAACTACAATGCAAACTTAAATTATGCAACATTAAGGCTCTATCGTTTCGGCTGTTGGGTGCGATAGTTGCAAACTGATTTTTATTATTTTTTCGCAGCGGGCGAGGGAATATTTGGGTAAGAATTATTAATTGTTTATTGTGATGTTTCGGCCGTGTGCTAAAGATGTCAGAGCCGCCGCGTGCGAACCGACAAACGTGACCTCAGCAAGGCAGTTGTTGAAAACTCTGTCCCTCCTTGCTCAGCCGGAAGCGATTGCTTTGAATTTATATTAAATTAGTATGTTGCAATCTGCTGTCTATTTTTCTATTTATTCTCTAAAAGGGCAAATAAGCAATTTGGAAAAACCGTCGTCTGCGCAGAAAGCCTGTTGTATATCTTAGTTTGTTCGGCCTTGACTTGTGTAAAACACGCGATGGTCATCTACTGAAACTCAAAAGGGATTTTCAGTTTGTGAAACGGTTTGTAGAAACAAATAAGACTTATTTAGAAATCTTTTGTCTTTAAATTTTGACGCTAATTGCGGTAACGCTTTTTCTTTCCGCATCACATATACTTCCAGAAAGTGAAACCAAGGCGGGTGGTTTCGGCAATGCTTATTACAAGTAATAACTTTTGGCTTGAAGCGCTCGCCGCTTTCATTGAATCGGCGTAAATGAACTCTTTTCGGCACGACCCGATAGGCGTGTTTGCCTTCTCAAAGTTCGGTGGAAACGTGGAAAATAAACAACTGACCCCTGTCGGAGGTCGAGATTCACGTCTTCAGGACTTCGCGGGCTTGTTTGTACAAATGGACTACTCAACTGGTTAGTGCGGCACAACTCTTTCAAGTTGAAGAGCGTTGGACAAGGGACACCCTGTTTTTAGATAATTGAATGCGGGGAAAAGTTTTCGCGCAGTTTTATTTGCGCAAGAAAAGTCAAGGTCGTGAAAGAGAAAAGAAAACAATTCCCTTTCTTTTAAACGAAGGCAAGCCTAGACGGGTTGCTGGTTACAGAGACAAATTGTCGCCACCTCGTTAAAACTGCACGGGAATTCACGGGGAATCTTGTGTCTCTAGTGTGTTACTGAGCGTGTGGATCGTTTTCCAATTGTTTCGCATTTTGAATTGTTGATTGAAATTCGAGAGCTTAGGTGTAATTCTGACGATGGCCTGACTCTATCCGGCTCTGACCAACACAAGAGCATCAACGAAGAAAAAAAATTCTCGACTGAAAGTAACTCTTCAACGCGGAGACGGTAAAGCCATGGATTGAGACATAGATTTTCCCTACAAGATTTTCACTTTCACTTCTGCACCGTTAATCGCCTTAAACGCCCTTTATGATTCAAAACCGGAAAGGTATTAGAGTATTTAAACTGTGGTAAGGATATACGACCGCATGAAGAATGGAAAGAAGGGAAATAAATCCTCTTATTACGCACGCGACAGTCGCGAGAAATAATTTTTCAAGGACGACTCATCAGCAACCGCGCAGTACTTTGCAGTTTAACAGCAACCCTGAAGAGAACATACATTACGTTGCACAAAACCTTGCATGGATTGGCGATCAAATGGAGATGCGGATAACATCGGCACAAACAAGGCATACGCCAAGAACAATTGGGAGATGTTTAGCTGCAGCGGGAGATAAGATAAACTGGAGGTACAATCCTTTAGCTCGAAGACATAAGACTTTCTTACGGCTCCTCTGGAGAAGCTTTTCTGAACAAGACGACAAGGGATTTGCTTTCGTAGGAGTTCTGCTTCAAGCAGTCTACCTGGCTATCCATGAGGTTTCGCTAAACTTGTAAATTCTTTGTTCGATAATGGTTTGATTCAAAGCGCGTGTGACATACGCCAAAACTTGGTCTGCTACAATATTTAATATAAGTTATGTAATACGAGCAGTATTTTATGTTTTACTATGAACCATTGTTACAGTTGCATTGTTGCGTTATTCAGTCGCTGAATATCTTATTGTTTTTGTATATAACATAACTTTGAATTTGTACATAGGCACACATGATCGTATCGTATTTTGATGATCGATATCGTATTTTGATGTTTCAGAAAATGGCTTCGCTATGTATATTGCAACGAAATTAACAATAACGATACGATATAAACATTAATTGTTGTGTATTTATTTAGAATTACTCGTGCTAACATCGTGTGCGCACGAGTTTTAAAAACTCGTAATATTCAACAGCTATTTATCCGAACGCTTAACAATAGCGAAAACATTTGCTTTGCGATTATGATGAGATTAGGTGTTTGAACGTGTGCACAAAGCACAGTAAATTTACGATTATCCTCTTGTCTTCGTATAGATTCTCAAGAAACTATAATCACTCGACAACTTGCATTTTGGAAATTATTTAATTGACGAGAACTGACCATAAATTAGCGCATATTTTAACTTTGTCAGCTATGCGGAAAACTTTTTATCTTAGACACAACATAACAGCACTGCTTGAGAGGTTCAAAATTTATAACCAAGTTCAATTTTCTCGCAAGAGTCAAAATTATTTCACTTTCGTTTGTCTCGTATTAAGAAGTTCTTCATAATGGACAAAAACGCTTTGGAATTACTTAGTCAAAACTACAGTAAGGATGTTGTAGAAAAGTAGGCATCGCATAAATTAAAATAGCATGCTGTGAAATAGAGACAAACTTGTTATTTCTAGCTACCCAAGCTAGTGAAAATAACAAATAAGTTATTTATTTCATCATTTTACCGCCTAACACTTGCGAGTGTGGTTTAGTTATGATTTTCACCACAAATACACCGATGTACTCATTTCTTACACTATCGTCCTGGTTCAATTTGCTTGTTATAGGCGACACAGCTGGTATTGACTCTTAAGATATACTGAAACTATTATGTTCCCGCGACCAAAATTTCTGATTATTTTCCAATTAAGGTGTGCCAAGAAAACGTAGCTTGTAATCGCAAACGAATGTGTGCACGTAAGAAACGTCGAAATATTGCTAAGAAAACAAAGCCAAAGTAACATTTGCCCTTTTTAAGAGCTGCGTCTATCATAAACTAGTCGCTCAGGCAGCTATGCAAATACCAAGTCAGGCAATACACGATTGCTAAGAGACTAATCACGCAAGGTTTTTTCCCCTCCCGTTTTTTGCTATTTTTATAAAACTTTGTACGATCACAAAATGAAGACAAACAAGGAAAGATCTCTCAATATAAGATTAGGTCTTACATTTTTTCTTCAACGGCAAGACATGATGAATGAGAACATGGAACTTTGCGTGCTAACGATGAGAAATAAGGAAGTGTTTTGACCAGCTGTCACCCAAACTCGTTTAGAGGAGACGCAATTGCAAAGAAAATTAAACTGAAACAGCTGGAATCATTTTAAAGTCAGTTGGCGAAATGTACATCAGTTGAGTCAACGTTCACTATTTCATCTTTGTCGGCGTGAAGTCTGGGAAGGGGTGTGCGATCGAGAGAACGCGTCTCTCCAATGTATCAAAGGTCGCAATGTGGTCCAGCTTCCAAGAAAGACGTTCTTCCTTCTCTCACAAGCGTGAGACAAAGAATGAAAACATATTCGGTCCTTAACTTGGACTCGGACTCCAGATCTTCGTTATTGTGCTCTGATGCCCTGCCACTGAATAAACTACAAAGTACTCACATAATGAGCATTTCAGGAGTTCATGTTAATGCTGTATAGAAAGATTCTGAAAGCGTTCAAAAGCTATTTCACACTTTTTGATGTATGTAGATTTCCATCTCTCGTGTTAGGTCACCATGTTCAGTGCAATTAGTTGATTATTTTTTGTCTAATTCTTTTTCGTCTGCATTTTCGTCCATCTCGGTCAGTCCGTTGCTAGGACATGCTCGAGAGGAATGGCGGGGAAGAAATTTTACCCTTTTGCGCTCATGTCACGTGACTCGTAACAAAGACTGACCGCAGCGAAATGTAGAAATGAATATGGAGGAAAGGTCTATTTTGAAGTGCAAGTCCCTGCTGTTAACAACTGTGATGTGGAATCTGCTCTAAGTGAATAAGAACTTCTAAAGGCCACTCGTTGCAATTCAAAAAGCCATTGAACTTAACACTGTGGGTAAAATGTTGAGTAGACTTATTGGAAAAGTGAGCGGGACTGTGCATATTCTGCAATGTAATTCGCAGCTTTACTGAGCCAAGGAGAAGGCCCTCGTTATCGGCCTTGTAGGAAGCGGGTCTCTCCAACTGCAGAAGGATTTGAGACGAGTCAAGGATATTTTTGCCGGAGGTCTGGTTCTATTTTTCAGTGTTAGACCCCTGACAGATCTCTCGCCGATCGATTAGCGTGTTGCCCAAGGTCTTATCAATCTCGAGCCCAGGGTCATTTTGGCTCCTTGTTAGTGGTATGGCCGTCATTATTTGTTGGCGACCATACCTCTGACAAGGTGCCAAAATGACCCTGGGCTCGAAATTGAGGTCTTATACTTTCCAGCGGGCAATGAAACGTAAATAACGAGGGCATGCTTGCATGCTATCGATGCTTGTTTGTGTCCCGAAATAGCTCCTGTGTCGGGGTTGCTTATATAAATGAAGATCACCGACACCGGACCGTGTCAGGCCGTTTAGGCCATTTCTTCTGAAACTGAAATCGTCAAGACTGAAAACAAAAGTGTACATATCATGCGTTGAGTAAGCAAGCAAGCTGAGAAGTGTTACGACTATCAAAACTAGAACGCTTTGATCCTCGATCATAATCTATCAATCCCATGATTAGTCCAGTTGCTAAATTCCTCCTTTCTCTCCCTGTTTATGGGCTCAACCCAGGAGGCCGAAAAGGTAACCCCCTTGAAAGGCCCATATAAGAATTTAAGGACTGGATAATCAAGCCACGGCTTCGGATTGTTTAAGTAAAACTCGGAACTGTCGGCTGATATTTCAGTTCTTCAACTCTAAGTTCAACGAGAGTCTTTCTATAAAATTCGATGCAAAATTTTACACAAGATAGGATTTGATATCGTTCTGGAAAAATGCTCTTTCGTAGTGATGTATATCGTTATAAGACGCACGGGTTTTTACGAGAAAAGCCTGGTCCCTCATGGAAAATTGATGCCAAACTCGGGGTGCGTCTTACAGCCAAGTATCTTGATGAGACTGATTTTACCCACTTAACTCAAGATAGTACTCAAGATAATGACTGTTGGTAACAGATTTTCTTAAATTAATTCCGCCTTAGTAAGAATCTAGAATGACTTAATCATTTTCAAACGCTGGGAACATTTGAAGGAAAGCCAAGTGAAATGATGTGTGCTCCTTTTTCATTTGACAAATTTTTTTCACTGTCTCCTATCCCTTATCTCTATTCCATTGCCGACGTTGTCGAAAGAATTACGAACTTTTAAGTCCGCGACAAGCGTTTTTGTTTCTTCATTGCGCGGGATCAAAACGGGCAATCCCTTCTGAGGCTTATCTTGCCTTCTCTGGTAGCCAATCAGCACATAGGATTCGCTTCATCTTGCTAACGGGCACTATCAGCTATATAATAAGAGGTAAAATAAACTTTTAAAAAGGGCAATACACTCTCGTTTTTGAAAAATGTTTAAGAGTGGGGCTCTTAAAGAACAAAAGGAATTTATAATACTTATTTTTCGCTTAGTGGGTGTGAGTCCCATATGGTCTAGTGGTTAGGATCCGGCGCTCTCACCGCCGTGGCCCGGGTTCGATTCCCGGTGTGGGAACGAATCTATTTTCTTTTTCGCCTCATAAAATTTTTCGGACCATTGTTTATTCTTCTAAAATCTTTTCTTTTAATAATTTTTAAATTTTTTTTTGCACTACTTCGTCGGTAACCTCGTCGAAGGCGTTTTTTCTAGAAACACTTCTCGCGTGTATATTTTTAGATTCTTGCTGCCCGCCAATTTCAGCATTTTTTTCTACTTCACGAGTGCATTACATTTCTGTTTTTAGAGTGATGTATACGTGAGCCTCCCATCAAATTTTAACGCGAAGAAATAATCTGGTTAATTCAGTCGCATAGCTGGTTCAGTCAACACACGTGGGTGCGCCTATCGCGCGCGATAACCGCGACTTTCGAGTTTCAAAAATATTTCAAACAAACTTACTCATATTTTGAATGTTGATTACAACAAAGTTATCGGCGCACGTCTAAGGCAATTGAGTTAAAGATTAAGTGGCTTAGAGTTCTAAAGTTCATGCGATTAGGAGAAGGTAGGTCTGGAAGTTGAAAACCTTTTCCCTCCTGAAATACACCTTCTTCTTTCAAAAGCTTTGATGGGGCATTGCCTCTCTAAGAGTGGACTAAGAAAAAAAAATACGACCATCTGGTCTCATCAAATTACCTTGGAGACAGGGAGAGGAAATGAAAACAGGGCTCGGACAACAAAACAATAAACTTGGTAATTCACCTAAAATTATCTAAAAATTTAATACAATCGACTTCCGGTGAATATTCCCCAACTTTAAGCCAAGGTAAAGGACATTCAGAAGTTCCTAGCAAGTTATTGTTTCCATAGAAACATTCAAACTACATAACAAACTGAAACTAACGCATTCAACCCGCCAAGGTTTAAGGACTTGTTGATCGCACGACTGACTTACCATTCTTAGTGTGGGAGAAGGTCAAAGTTTGAATCATTGCTCTCGAAACTCTCACGCCCAAAGATGACGTCAGCTGGCATTAAGCGAATATGACTTGGATAAATACTTGAAATGATTTATGCTGTTTGAAATAGGGTATCATGTGCATGTGTACTCCACAAGGAGTTTTATCCATGGATGGGCCTAGTAGAAAGACAGTTATACAGAGAAATAAATTCTTGCATGAGAGATCAGGAAAGGCATATTGGAAGAGTACTTTATTTAAACTTCTTGTAAAGGGTTAAAGAAAAAAATCCTGCTAAAGAAAATTGCATTTAGTATATCTCTGCAATATACCTTTTTCTCGAGGGCGTTAACAGCTTGCAAAACAACGTCGGTTAAGAATTCTATGTATCAACATGTCTGTTATATGGCGCGTATGATATACTGACACAAGTAATCATTGCTGCTCGAGAATTTTGGAAAAAGGCATTTGTGCTTTGATCAACCCTTAAAATTTATATAAATTAAGGCATACGTAATAGACGAGATATGTTTCACGCCACTAAGGGTCATCTTTTGACGTCACTGATGACGTTTCTTCGAGCTTCACACATAGTAGGAGACATGCGTGGTGGGTTTTTGCTCCACCACCCCCTGCAACGTTACGGTTGGCAAGAACGCCATTACAATCATGGCGGACCTCAACAGTAGCCTGACAGCCATGGACTGGCTACCAAAGCTTAGTGTTGGCACTGCTTTGAACACTGCTAACAAGATGTCGAACAACAATAACGATCCAAATCGGGACAAGAGTCCATTTCGCAAACCGCCGAGCTCACCGCTCGATCCGAACGCGACTTTAGACGATGAGGAGGCACAACAACACAAAACGCGCGAAAGCAAACCACCATATTCTTACGCAAACTTGATCACTTTTGCAATAAATAGCTCACCGAAGAAGAAGATGACGCTGAGTGAGATATATCAATGGATCTGCGATAAGTTCCCGTATTACAAAGAAGCTGGAAACGGATGGAAGGTATATGGTATTGTAAGACATTGTCGCCGAAAATTGGATAACCACTGAATATTAAACTTTCTAGGCGATTATTTCAGTCATTACCCGTTATTGAATTCGGTAGTAAATACAGATTGTTTTTATTACCTGCAGAATTCGATCCGACACAATCTGTCACTCAATAAGTGCTTTATGAAAGTGCCCAGAAGCAAAGACGACCCTGGCAAGGTACATCATATGCATGCGTATTGATTGTAGTCAGACCTCTGTTGTGAATTGATACTAGAGTTGATCGCAATATCTTTGTTAGTTTTACGTGTTAAAATAATTTTTTGCGATAATTTAGGGTTCATATTGGGCGATAGACCAGAATCCACAAGATGACAGTGCACATTCCCGGCAAAACAGGAAAAGACGGCCAAGCGATTCTAGGGTAAGATCACACCACTTCGCAATACGAAACATGGCGCTAACGTAGTTGCAAGCACAGATTTTGTAAACATAGTGTTTTTTTAAAGCTTATGTAGGGGGTTTGTAAAACATCGAATTTTTATAGTTTTTATGTTTTATGGCACGATCGAAACACTGATTTCATTTTCATGCATGTTTACGTTTACTCATGTCCCAATCGGTACATTTTTTCCTCTCATATTATTGTAAGCAGTTTGGAGCATGATATAACGTGATTCACGGAAAGTCTCAAAACATCCTGTCGATAATTTCCTTGCCTGTAATGTTAAACCGGTGACTCATTTCAACGCCTCGACAAGTGTAATGGACGAATGTAATCTTTACAGCTCGATTTATCATCGACGATCGAATTTTCACGTTGTTGATTTCATTTGTCCCAAGAACATGTGTGATAGAGACCGAGTAGATGATAAGGTCACGAATTCTTTTACGTTAAAAATAGATCAATAAAGCATCTGAAGTAAAATCATGCCTTGATCTTAAGGAAAGAAAAATCTTTACTAGGACAAGCGCCCGGAGAAAATTAGGGTTTTCATTTGTATTTTATTTGCAATCTTATGATAATCCCTTGAGTAATTTGCATTATCCTACTGACTCCTTTTAGAGTCTAAATGTGAAGGGGTCGAATCGATTGCGTGCGTCGAAACAATTCCGTCTAAAGCAAAGAGGTTAACTCACACATGACTCCGCCTTCTTTGTCTTTTATTTCCTAGGCTAAAAGGTTAACTTTCATTGTTTTCATCGAAGCAATAGATGAGGCTTTCGAACTAGTTAGGCGATCATTGAAAAGTCTTATCATTAGTAATTTATGAAGCTATTTTCATGCAGAAAAAAATCGATTTTGAAGATGATGCAAATGTTCTGATATTGTCACAAATTGAGTTTATTTCATTGATGGCATTTGGAGTTGTTCCTTATAATTTCTTCTGTCTCTGTGTAATACACATGAATTAATATTCATGTGAGGTTTTGCCAGCTAAGTGAATTTGAGGTTTATGAGATTATTTGTGTTGCTAATTACAAATTGCTGATGCCACGTGTAAGACATTTTCTAGAAAGGAAACTAGTATTGCATCTGTGGTTCTCAAATCTGATTGTCAATGCCAGTTGTTTGTTAGGTTTTTATATTTTTAAATTTTATCTTGCAAATTAATTTAATAACCTGTGCTTCAAAATAAAAAATTTGCTTGTTTATCCTTTCCTTCACAGAGACAGCACTCTAAGTTAAGTAAATGAAAAGAAGGGCACCTTTGAAAATTTCTGAGAAATTTCTATAAAGCCTAAGCTATATTGAAAGATTATAGACTAAAAGGAAAACAAAAAATTCAGGTTGGAATGTGTTGGCATCAGTGGTGTTAGAGTCTTAAAAATGCCGTGGTTTTAATCATATAACATAAAGGGGGGCTAGTTTCTAAAGAAATTGTGGTGCTGCATTGGTGGGGTATTACAAGATAATTTAATTATCAAATGAGTTGACAACATAAGTTGACTACCATAAAGAGTTTATAAAGCTGACATAATCAGTGTCAACCCTTTATTGAGGTGAAAGTGAAAAACTTAGATCATATAACAGGAAAATTACTATACCTTCACTTAGGCCACAATAGTTGACTCAAAATGTAAGATTGTTGAATTGACAGGGTGCTGGGAAAGTGAGATTCCAATGGTGTGCTCAATTGGTAATAAAGTGAAAAACTTAACATACTGGTAGCTAAATATTTGAAATGAAGATGTAGGAAAAAAATCAAAGCAGTATTTTCAAGGAAAGTAATAGTCATTAGAATGTGTGGGATCTTAATCCTTTCTACCCTTTCATCAATATGCACATTCTTGATACTTAAAAAAGCTTTTGACACTGTCGATCATAATATTCTCTTCCAAAAGCTGGATAATTATGAATTCCATGGTGTAATAAATAGGTGGTTTTCCATCTTACTTGCAAGGCATAACCCAGAAAACTCAAATTGATTCGCTTATATCCACAAAAACCAACACTACATGTGGTGTACCATAAGGGTCAGTCCTTGACCCACTACCGTTTCTAATCTATTTCAATGATATATACAAATCCTCTGACGAACTTGATTTTTTTCTGTTTGCTAACAACACAAACATTATGCTGACAAAAACCTAAAATCATTAGAGGAAGTTGTGAGCCAGGAACTCTGCAAACTGTGTGATTGGTTGATGGCAAATAAGTTAACCTTGAATAAAGAGAAAACAAATTTCATCATATTTTGTCCTGCTTAAAGAAAACTTACTTACCATCCCAGAATAATGATATTTGATAATAAACTCAAGAAGAGGGTAGCTTTGGATTGCAAGGAGTTTGTGAGATATCTAGGAACTCTAATTGACAATCAGCTGTCTTGGAAACAACATATTAACCATGTAGCAATCAAAATTAGTCAAACTATTGGACTGATCTCTAAATTACGATCTTTTGTACCAAGACACATCCTTACTACACCGTATCTAACTTAAAGCATGATAGCTTGGGGCCAAGCATGTAAATTGTACCTTGACAATCTTTGTAAGCTCCAAAAACATGCTCTCTGTTTTCTTTTCTTTCTGATGGCAACCAGCATACAATTCCTATATTTACCAATGCCGCAATTTTACCATAACAATTCTCCTACTATGAATTTACAGCAAATTTGATGTTTGACATCAGACATAAAAATGTACCTTACAGCATTCAAGAACTCTTCCAAGATATTTCTCAGATCCATTCTTGTAATACCCAATCTTCTGCTTCTAACAACTTTTGTAAACAAAGTTCTAGACTATCAAGTCAACAACATTCTTTTTCCTTTATTGGAACAAAAGTTTGAAATGAGATGCTTGTAAAATTAAGAAGTCTTTCAAAAAATGAGTCCAGAAAGGCAATAAAAAGAAAACTCTTTGACATTCTATCTTTAGAAGACTATTGTATTGTCACTCAACAAATCATTCAAAGGTCAAGCTTTTCTGAAATGTTTTAACTAATTCTAGGGGTTTTTTTAGCTGCTAACATCTTCTATCCTTAGTTAGTCCAATATGATATTTTAAATTCACTTATTCTGTCACAATAAATCTGTCCTATTAAGAAAATTATTAGATTATAAGTAAATGGTTAATGCTTATGTTAACATGCTATGCTATGCTAGTCCTCTGTGATATTGTAAATTTACTTATTTTGTCACAATAAATTTGTTCTATTTACAAAATTATTCAGAGACCATAAATAATTTGTGAATGCATATGTGATAGCTTTTATGTCTAGCATTTGACCCACCTAGAATAACACTCAAGCCAACTTTAGGCACATGAAAAATTGTAAATACAAATCCAAGTGATAGAATTTATGTATGTATTATGTCAGTACTATTCTGTACACATTTCCTAAGGTGCTGACAAAGAAAATTTGTTTACCAATAAAAAGCTTCCATAGTTGATGACAAATTCCCTTATTTGCATGACCCTAATGTTTGATTCAGGGGTGATATTCCAAGGAGAAATTAGGGTTAAAGGACACATGACTCTTTCCCTCCCTTTTAAAATAACTTAGAGAGAAAGAGCAACCTGGCACCACCCGCTGATCTTAGTAAGATGCTACTGACTAGAAAATCCAACTTGTTTTTTTTTTCATTTTAAGACATGTAAATGGAAAGATAACTCATTCAAAAGTTATTGAAAATGAGACAGTGTCTCAAAGCTTGCAACATCATATTTTTTTATATTATATTCATTGCTTTTATACCCATAGCTCTGTTAATTCTAGCATTAAGTAACTTGGCTTTTACTTTATTGAAAATTCTTTTTTTATTCCTTGTAGTTATCTCCATATGGGCCTGAAGATGGTCGTGTCTCACCAATTAGCCCTCAGTCCTCACCATGTGGATCACCATCATCTCCAACATTAGCCTCGCTGCATGCTAGTGCAGGATATTATGGTTCGTCTCCTACTAACCAGGGTTTCCTGGGAATGTCAGCTGGGATATCCCCTGGGTCATCGCCTAACACTAATGTAGGTGGATTTGGCGCCTCACAGAGCTATGGAGAACCTCCAAGGAAGATTTTCCCAGAGGTTGCCTTTGAAGATCTCAGTGCATCATTTAAAAATCTTTACAAATCTGTTTTCGATGCATCACATGGAGGGGACACTTATGGTGAGTAGTGAGTCATATGGTAATGAAGTTGTGATGTGGAAATTAGTTCAAAATAAGGTATCCATCACATTCTTTTCAATCAAAATTTACGCCAAATTTTTGAGAAAAAAAATGCCAGTATTTCTTTTTACAGATTGTCATTTGTTGTTATGGATATTAACCCCTCAACTTCCAAGAGTGACCGATACAAAATTTCTCCTTACAATATCAATGCAATATCAACAGACAAGTGACGAGAATAAAGAAAAATAGCAGTTAGGTTTCATTGGTTGATCCAATACCAAATTCTCAGAACTAGCATCAGAATAATTGTATGGCAGACTGCAAGGAGAATTACTTATGAGATCTTGAGGGTTAGATAACTACAGAGAAAAAAATGGACCTGAGTGTCACAGTATAGAATTGACTGAGTGTTAATTTGCCATCAGAGGTTGAATAATTTTCCACCTGCTACAAAAAAATCTTGTTGTTAACTTTCACTGTTCTAACCTATAGTTTAGTCAGAAAAGGATAACATTCTCCTGTCACTTTTACATCAGTATGCAAGTTCTCCATACTCCTTCCTATACATTTCCCATGCTGTTTACTTTCTCTGATGATCAAGAGCTTCTTGAGTTTGTGATCATTTTTTATTCTCTTGTTCTTAATGTTTGATTCAGGGGTGATTCTTTGTGGAGAAATCAGATGCTTATCATGCTCATCACTCATGGGGGTTTAAGGGTTAACAATGTTTTCCTGTTACAATATATATTATCGTATTTAAACCCTGACTGTCTTGATGATGTTGATGACTAATAATTTTTTAAAATGAAGAGTTAGATAGATGAATGGTCAGATACGTGAATGAACAATTTTCTTAATTTGTAGGTGGTGGAAGCATAGGTGCTAGTATCTTTGCAGGCAGCCAGAACCTAGCTGCGTCTGCACAACTGTCACAGCAGCAACAACTTCAACAACAACAGCAGCGTCAACAACAACAACAACAACAGCAACAACACCACCAGCAGCAACAACAAAATAATCTACTGCAAAATATGGAACTACTCTTGGAAAGCCTTAACACTAGAAGTTTTCAAAACTTTGACCTTGGTACATGGCAAGTCTTGATGGAAAGTATGAAATCTGCTGATCTGCAAAATATGGGAGTGGATCAGAATCAGTGGCAGGATTTTGCCTTTTCATTTAGTCAATATCTTCACCAGCAAGGCTTTATCCCTGATTCTAACTCCATGAGGGGAATAAGCCCATCCTCATCCAACAGTAGCAATATGATGGGCAGTCCACAAGGAATGCTTCAAGTAAGCAATCCCCAGTTTACATCTGGAGGCTCCCCTTTACAAGGTTCTCAGCATAGTTACAGCAGTTCGGCAAGTTTTAGTGGCAGTTCACAGCACTCCATCCCAGGCATCAAAGTGACGTCAATTAATAATCAACCCACAGTGGGTCAGACTGGTAATCAGCATACAATGATTGGGACAAGAGCACCAGCGCTAATGGATGACGATGAGGATGAGGAATTTGACTGGGATTCATTGCTATGAGTCTGTATACAGGTAGCAGGGTAGCAACTGTGATATTTGTAATTATTATTGGGAGGGAAGGACAGAAGATGAAGCAAAGTTCAGGAATGGAAAGCATTCATTGACATAACATGTTTTTTAGAGTATGTACACTAGTAGTTTAAAGTAAAAATTATTTAAATATGAAAGGTGAAATGGCTTTTAAACATACCTTAGAGATGTAGGGGTGGGGGGGGGAGGTAAACTTCACCATCTAAACAAACCCAACCCCCCCCTTGAGAGGTGTGGTTTCCTTTTTATCCAGGACTCCTACAAAATTATTTATTTTGACTTGGATGAAAAGGAACATTACCATTCTCATTGAGGAAGTGCTCAAATTTATTATAGTGTGAGTGTTCTCTGTGACTGTATTGGACTGATTAGTTATATGCTAGTATTTGAATTATACTCAAAGTTTGTTCCTGTAAATCCAACAAAAAAATCCTATTCCCTCTCAAAGTTTTGGATGCAAGGTCCAGGGGCCTGTAGCAAACTTCTTCAATGTCTACAGTGATGATAATAACTTTATGGACGAGCCCTCTCCCACTTACAACTTCTAGGTTTACAATTATGAAAAAAATATCGAGTATCACCAAGAAACTGTGGTGAATGATAATGATGAATCATGACCAGTTAATGTTGTGACGTTTTCTCTAAGAGAAGAATTTACCTTCAATTAGAAGGTATGCTGTTTGACATGCATCAAACTTCTTTTGATGACTGTGTCACAATAGTAAGAATGAATGACTGGTTATAGCAGTTTTTTTATTTTTAGCCGTGACAAGAAATGGGTTTTACATGTACCTGCTTGTAGTATCATCCTCAAGACACCTCATAGAAGTAAAGGTGTTATTCTATTTACCGACAATCTCTTGGCCCACTCAACTGCTTGTTGATTTTTATTTTGTTGCAGACTGGGTGCATTGTTCAATGAGGGCTCTGAAAAAATATTTTTAGGGGTTGCTGTCCCAAATTTATCCTTAATTGAGCCATATACATATGCCAGGGACCCATGCTGGGTATTTTAAGGTGCATTTTTTGAGATTTGCTCTTGTGTTCTTACCACATAGTTTTAGTTGCAAGTCAATGTGAACAGTATCCTCCAAATAGAATCTTTAAATTGTGAATATTAAAACAGAAGATGTCTTTTGCTAGTTTTTAATTCAGTCTTGGTAGGACTTAACCTTTGTAACAAGACTGCCATGCCCAGGTAACTTTGGCAGTGAAAAACCAATCATGTTGCACCCAAAAAACTTAGAAAGTTAGAAAGGGCATTGACTGTTTCAAGTGTCAGAAGGTAAAAATACTTCATTTCAGGTCTGCAGTGTGATTGGTTCCACGTTGTCATTAGGTGTATGTGGTGATCTCATGTACATTTAACAATAGTATTGAAGGTGCAGTTGGAATTTAGTCTCCATGGTGACTTCAGATCAAAAGCCAGATTTGTATATGCAATTGCATACAGTGCGGAACACACTAGGTGACAAGTCCCTGAGATGGGTATCTCTGTTAAATGGTTTTGTGTATAATTCTTCCAAATCATGCAACTGTGACTCCTATCATTACAATGATTATCACAAGAATTCCTGTTAGAATTTGTGCAATGCAAAGCAGCTACAAAGCCCTGTCACTGACCAAAATCTCCAAGTCACTGCAATGTCCCCGCAATGTGTTACAGCAGCTTCCCGCTCACCTTTGATAACTAATTATAGATAGCTGACCCTCACAATCATACCCTTATCACACACAATGAAACCAAGCATGTTTATCATGTGCAATAGTTTAGAATTTGAGAATTAACACTGTTTGTAGATAGATTGCCAAACATTCATAGTAAAGTCAGTAATGGGGGTATGCAATTAAAACACTGCCCCCAAGAGTCATGGAAACCATTTTTAGGGTCTAGCCATGTGTAAGCACCACTTTCCTTAGTGATATTGTTTCAACCAGCCAGAGGAATGTAAAGCATAATGCTTAGTGTGTTCCAGCTTTGATGTATAATTAAAAAAGGGGAAAATTTCACTGGAGAGTTAGCGGTCACCCAGAGCCTTCTTTCAAGCACTTTGTCAAAGGACCTGTGTCCTCAATGGCAGTGGAAAATTACAATCACCAGACTTGTTAACTGCACAGGAAACTGTTAGAAACCCTGAAATGATCACAATATTTAGGTGACAATTTCTTTTCCTACCAATTACTTTTTTTTTTTTTTTTAAGGTGGTTGCCATCTAGGATAAAGGTCCATTTTAAATACAGGTTAAATTAACAGTTTCCCCCTCTCTTTCCTATCTGAGGGGCTATGATGAAACAATACAAAAGTATTAATAATATATTACAGCATGTGTTGTAACTAGGACTTACCTGATAAGTTTAATATTGAAAATTGATCAACCTGTAGTCCATAAAGAGGTAGACTAGTGTTTTGTGATGTTTATATTATTTTGTACATACATGCACATTTTTTCATATTTTTATCCATATTTCTTACCTTTGCATAAATATGGCTTAGGTTTCCATCATAATGTGGTGAGGTGTAAAATTATTAAACACACAAGGAACAAAATTAGACTGTGTGGTTCAATTGGTCAACTCAGTTGGAAAAGTATAATGAGCCCTTTCACACCCAAGATCTCGTTAGCAATTCTCCTTACTGTCTGCAATACAATTCTTATGATGTTGGTTTGGAGAATTTGGTATTTGATCAACTAACAATCCCTAAATGACATTTTACTTTATTCTCACCACTTGTCCGCTTTATGTTGTATTGACACTGTATGGAGAAATTCTGTCTTGGTCACTCATGGGAGTGGGATGGGTGGCTGAGAGTAAAGCCTTGTTTACACTTGCTATATAATAGCCTAAGGCCATCGTCATCAAATAAAAATCAGTGTTCAGTTGTTCAGATAATGCCATCCAACAGATAAATTGTCATTCAGGGGATATTTTTGACAAAATGCCTTGGGCTATCCTCTGACTTGTGATTTGTCTGAGATGGTTTTATCCACCATTCAAACAAGCAGGGCCAGTTTTTCAGTATGTGTGATCAATGTCTTGTATGTTGCACGATTGGTAGAGCACTGCACCAGTTTCATGGAGGTCATGGGTCCAAATCTTGTACAAGCTTGAATTTTTTTTGTGGCTTCATTTTCACTACTGCTTAAGTGGTGTTCATTACTGCAAAGAGTGCTTCCAAATTCCATTGATACTTTCATGTTACATATCTGCATGCTCATGTTATTACTAATGAAAGTCAACCTTGTTCTGTCACTTATTTGTTACATCCTTATGTGCCCATAGGAGCCATACTAAAGTCCTGGTACCAACCTGATAATAATGCCATTATGTTGCTTTGTCAGCATAATCTCACTTCAAACGTATCAAAAAAATGACCTTCCTTTATCATTGGACTTCTGTTGAAATTTCATTTTTAGAAGTTTTAGACTGCTGTAATCTTCCAAAATTATTATTAATCTTTCATCCTATAGATTCAGAAATTGTCTCCAGATGATGAAAGTTAACATTGTGCACATTATTAGTCTGGTGATTAACTGAAGTGAAACTAGAAATAATATCCCTGTGGTGTTGTTGTTGGGGGTAACTTGATTTTTCTTCTTGAGTTTAGTTTTTGCTCCACTGAAAAAGGTATTAATTTGGGAAAGGAGAACAGGTTCACTTCTAGAAAATCAACTGTTTACTGAGCCTAGTGCTTGTGAAATAAGGCAAAAGACTTTGAGGAGAGCATATGAGTACGTTTGTATAAGGATTCTTTTTTTGCCAACCCCTACCAGGTGCCCTCTTTAGAACCCTTTGTGCATGATAATGTTTATCTCAGGCCTAAACTTTCTAATGCGTAAGAGTAACTGGGACCTAATTTCTCCTTACAACATATCATTGCTGAATCAAACACAAAGGTCATTGGAGGAACGAAAATGATTGCAAACATTTAGAAGCCAGTAATTGTCAAACAAACTCTTGTTGGCAATACAGTAGCGAATGTATAAAGAGCAGTATAGAGAATGTACATATTCATGCCAGGGTGTCAACAGTTAATGTCCCTTCAAATGACATGCAAACTCTCATTGTAAGACTGCTAGATTTTGATAGCCAGAGATATTTTCACAACTTAACATCACCTCAAACCCCTAATTTGAATAATATACAGTTCTACTAGAAAACTTGCCAAGAACAGGAAAAATGAGTGCTCTTACTACATTTTTTGTAAGATAAAATTCAACGCACTTGGAGGAGAGAGTTTCACAAAGAAGTTATACTTTGTCTGGAGTTCAGTAGAATAATTCCACCACAAAAGCTTAACCCTTTACAGCCCAACATCAGTATGGATATTCTCCATATGGTAATCTGTTCATTTTGTAAGGTGCTGACAAGGAGAATTTGTGTAACAATCAAGAGCTTCTTTGGTTGGATGATCATTTTCTTTATTAGTGTGACATTTATGTGTGATATTGTAAGGAGAAATAAGATGCTGGTCACTCTTACAGGTCTCAAGGTTAAAAACCTTCCCAGGGAAGAGGGGTGGGATATGGACATGTTCTGAAACAGCAGTGGGGCAATTAAAGAGTTCTACATTGGGTAACAAGTTACAGATTTTATTGACTTAAAAAAAATCTACAAATGGTGATGAATCCAAGCTTAAGAAGGGCCTGGTTAGTCTGCCTTGCTCTTTACTTCATCTCGATGATGCAGGAATACCAAGCTAAAGATGAACAACCCTAAAATCATAGAAAAGGCACTGGCATAGTAAGGGTATGCAGATGGAATGAACCGCTCATACTGAGTGTGTTCTCTAGGACGCACAGAAACCTGAAAAAAACCCAGAGAAACTTGAAATTAGCCTTTCATCAAAGATAATGTTTGTCTTTTATGCTTAAGTGGGCATAAGTTAAATTTTCAAGTAACAGGTGTACAAAAAAATACTGAAGGCAGCCAGGAAACCCATTACAAACCAATAAAGGGGGTAAGTTTCTAAAGAAACTGTGGTGCTGCGTTAGTGGGAGGGTAGAACAGGTAATTTGGTGTTGACAACCGAGTTGAAAACATAAATTGACCACCATAAAGAGTTAAAAAGCTGATGTTTCCTTTGCCCTTCACCTATTGCTTTGATGAAGGACTAACACTCGAAACGTCAGCCTTTAACTCTACGGTGGCCAATTTATGTTTTCAACTCAAATTAACATCAAATTACCCATTACGAACCACACCGTTTCTACATGATGGGCTTTCTTGAGAAAACACTATAATGTTATCACAGTTCAGAGGTGGAATAGTGACAAATCAATGGCACAAGAGCAAGCATCACAAACAAGTCACTTATCACAGCAGGCATTTGAATAGCTGAGGTTAAATTGGTTCAATTTGGCCTTTGGAATGTGTAAGCCTCTTGGATGGCACACCTTCTAAATCCTGTAAGGCACTACTGGTGTAGATTAGATCTTTTTGAAGTGACAAAGGGTATTGCTATGACCCATATATGATAGTCAGTTAGTGGCAATTGTCTTGAATAGACAAGGGCTAGTGCTTGAAGGTGATGGAACTGGAATAACTCTGCAGTAATAAAAGTGCCAAGTTCTTCTGGAAATTAGCTTGTCTCTCTTAGAAAAAACAATTCAGTGCAGAAAAAGGAACATATGGTATGATCACCTCTTTCAGTATTGTTACAATCAGGTGGTCATAGTAACAAGGGAAGAAAATGGTAGTTGTTGAACTAATTCCAACTGTAAACTTGTAGTTGAAATAGGCACTTTCACTAAACAAAATGTGCCACAAAAAAAGCTTGACCATTTAACTCCTGTGAGTGACCAAGACAGAATTTCTCCTTACTATATCTATACAATATCATGCAGACAAGTGATAAGAATAAAGGAAAATATGAATTAATTTATCCGATACCAAATTCTCCAAACTAACATAATGTGAATCATTTGGCAGACAGTTAGGAGAATTATCAATGAGATCTTGGGAGTTTAAGGGTTAAGTGCCTGAAGAGTTATATGCCAAAATGGTACAAACTAACAATTCAAACAGCAATAAAACAAAAGAATACATGTCAATACCTGAGTTTTGCTGTGGAGGTAAGTGTAACCCACACGGTTATATTCCACCTTAAACTGGAACACCCCATACACATCAGGCAGTTTGAACTTTGCAACAAAGAGGCCATCTGTAACCATAAAAGAAACATCATGACTGAGGTTAAAAAAAAGCTGCATGTACATGTACTTTAATTAAATAGCTCATTGATACTAAAACAGTATTTAAATTGTTTACTTCCCCCATTTTAAACTGCTGTTTCACTTAAAAGAAAACATTAGGGGAAAAAAACAAGGCCTTCACTTTTTTTAACATACACCAGAGTGTTTGAAAGTTGTAATAAACTCTTCACAATACAAACAGGCCTTTGTTATTGATTATATTATATTATAAATAATATTTAAGATTGAGACTAGAATACCATTTGACTTGTTGAGTGTTGTCCTCACAAATGGATCAATCCTGAAGAACTCCAATTGCACATCAGTCCCTTGGAATGATTCCCACTTTCCATCAACCAGCTCCTCAATTCTGATGCTATAAACCTGGAAAGATGAAAAAGAAGAAAAACATGTAAGTAAAATATTTTTGGTTTGAACATTGATATCAAAAAAAAAAAAAAAAAAAAAAAAAAAAAAAAAGAAACACTAGAGCCGTAAGACTCTCTGAGTTTCCCTGTCAGAAGCACTAGCTCCTTTAGAGGAGCTCAAGAACCCCTGTCCAAACCACATCCATTGAACACAGTAACAGTGCTCTCCAGATAATTCTTAGTTGTCAGCCATAAAAAAGACTTAGCTGGCAAAGGCTACTCTTTTTTTTTCCCAGACCAGGACAAATACGTTCATACCCAAAATGCCAGCAGCCAGTGCCTCTAGGGAACCCTGTAGCACATTACTTGAGATGCAAAGAAAACTAATTACCACATCCTCTTCAATGGTGTAGGCAGCTGGTGGTGATGCTTCTCCTGCACGATAATGTTTCACTTCTCCCACACGAAGGACACCATTCTCCTTGAAAACCCATTCACTCAGAGCAATGGCCAGATCTTGGTTTCCAGATTTAGCATACCTGTGATCAAAAAAGTACAATCAGACAACACATGTAAATTATTGACTGCAGAGGGAAATAGAAGCATTTGTAGTAAAAGTGCATGTAGCAAAAAATGTGCACAACAAAGGCAAGCTCTAGTGGTGTTGGCCACTTGCTTTGTGCCTAGACTCAACAGTGTGAAACTCTTATAATTTGTTTATGTCAAATTTGGAATCCTTGCCATTGAAATAAATGATAGGGTTCCATACTGAATTTATAAAAAGAAAATTATTAAAATCACATACTGTTTGGAACCAGCTTTGGAACTCTGCACGGGCTTGTTGAAATATCTGTGGAAAAATTATGAATACATTGTCTAAATGTGCCTTCATTTTTTCATGTCCAGCTTGCAGTTGATGTACATGCTCATTATTTTGTATCCAACCCAAGTCTCATAATTCTTATGAAATTCAAATCAACTTGATCAATAATAATAATAATAATAATAATAATAAATGAAAGGCAAAACTTTATTCACAACTCAGTCAGAATATTTACAAATATTTTCTTGGTTTATGACAAAAAAATAAGAAGGGACTGTCTGTTTCTTGGCGGGTCAGTTGAGTATAGCAGTGTTATATCATAGCAGATTTATTTAATATTTACATTTGGCCACTGAAAGATGTGTACCTTAGGTCCTGAAGTCTTTCAAGTACAGTCATTGTGCAATATATAAAATTTTTCTTCTCTAATGCAAAATACACTTGCATGACATTTCACGAATTTCCTTCAGCAGAAGCTTTCTCAACCAAAGCTTTAATAACAAGTTTACAAACAGTAGGAAACGTTTACAAAATAATCAAGTGTAAACATGGTAACATACTCATCACTGAAGAAATCCAATGAACCTGAAAACACAACCCTGGCATTGTTCCTGGCTTGAAGACCAGCAATCAACAAAGTGCTCTTGCCAACAGCATGTGGATACTGAAAATACAAACATGTCTCTAATTAAGTTGATCAGTAAATGTTAGAAAGAAGGTTAAAACAACCCTACTCAATATGAAATGCTGAAGATGTCTGACCAAAAATAATTCTGACTCATCTCCTTTGTATGCCCTTTCTCCAAAATAACAAGATCTTTTAAGTGTGCTTTCCACATTTACTCTGGTTGTCCAATTCGACAAGTACCTTTATGGTCATTTTTTCTTATCCAAATGGAAAAGTTACATCTTCCAGACATTCTGGCCATCCAAGTCACAGAAAAGTGGGTAGAAGTTAACCCTTTAGACCCTGAGAGTGACTGGCATCTTATCTCTCCTTACCATATCACCCCTGAATCAAGCACGAAAGTCATGGGAATAGAGGAGATGATCACCAACTCTCGATTGTTAAACAAATTCTCCCTGTCAGCCTCTTTGGAAATGTATGGAGAACAGTATGGAGAATATGCATACTGATGTTAGGGTGTAAAGGGTTTAAGTACAAACCAAGTGGCCTGCACTAGGAAAGCTTATCTCAGCTTCTACAGCATGACTGGACCATGACTGATATTGATCCCCATAAATTGAGAGCAACTGCATCTCAGGCCACTCTCAAGTATTTCCTACAAATTTGTCAAAAGTTTTTTACCAGTACTCATTAACATTCCCACATGGAGTCTGTGAGGTATTGCATCACTTTCCCAAGAAAATAACACAGTGCCCCCAGTCAAGGTTAGAAGACTGTACCTCAGATATCTTGACATCAGGGTAGTATGAATAAGCAGTAGAAGATGCTGTCAAGACCTCCATTACAAGGGGATTGTCAGGATCAGCAGTCATTCTGTGAAAAGGAAAAACAAAATGAAGTTTGCGTACAGCACTTACTTCTCAAACAGAAATTATTACATGCACATTTCTCTTTCAGACAATAAAAAGATACAAAATGCTATGGTAGGAGTTACAAAAAGACTTCAACTCAGATGTCTGTTTTCTGTAAACTTTAACCCCTTAACTCCCAGAGGTGATTGACATGTAAATCCTCCCTAAGTTCTGCATATATATTCCAGTAAACAGGTAACAAGAATACTGAAACTCTCCAGGAAGAAGTAGATATCTTGATCCAACACTACATTCTTGTAACAAATTTGCAGGAAACTTTGTAGCAGCTAAATGGGAGAATCAAAATCAGATCTTGGCAGAGACAACTCTACTTACCCAACTCCTTTAAATAATGAGGGGTTTGTCACTGAGTGTCCTGTAACAGTGCTAGCCTTGATGACATTTGAAGGGTCGGCAACAATTAGAGTATGCTAGAAATATGATTACAAAGAGACAGTCACAAAGGTGTTGCACTTCATACAAGAGACTCAAACATTGATTTTTGGTTCCTGTAAGCTGAGGAACACTTTTCATGCTGGTTGCAGGCCAAACAGAAATGTATTCGTGATGGTAATAGGACCACGTGGATTCCAATTTGGTCTGTAATCTTACGAGTGACTGACAAAATTGGACAACTGCAAAGTGGGAGTCCAATTTGTTAACCATGAGTATGATTACAGAAAGAATTGGATAACACAAAGTCCTGTTACCTAATCACAACTATGACAAAATTTGAGAAAGAAACTAGATATGGGTTTTACGTATTCATAAGAAAACAACAGTTAACTTGGTGAAATGCCAGAAAACAGCCCACCCACATGACGCATTCTGTCCATTCACACAGGCATGACATGTTAACTTTCCCTTTAAATGTCCTATTACACAGCCCAGTTACAAGCATGATGCATATACTGTCCTATTAGTGCTCAAATCGGGCTGGTGATAACCAATCACATTCAAGAATTTTGTTATAGTTTTGATCAATAAGGTTATTTCTCCTTGCTTTCTGTTGATTGTCATCTGAAATTACTGAAATTACTGTCATCTGGAATTACTGATTTAAAATGGGAATGAAGGGAAGAAATAGAAAATATTATTGGAAGGAATGATTGTGAGAGAAGTACACCAAAGAGGTAGAGCAGATGAAAACAGGTGAAACTTAAGTTGCTCTTGGTTTTTTCCATCCACAAAAATAGTAATCTTCCTCTCTTCTAGATCTCCTCAGTTTATTTTGTGACTCCTTATTCACTATACTCTGTTGATTCTCCATGCAAGTCTACCCTGTGTTTAACCCTTTAACTCCCATGAGTGACCAAGAGAGAATTTCTCCTTACAATATCAATACAATATCAACAAGATAAGTAACAAGAATAAAGAAAACTATTTAATTAAGGACACAACAGCTACTTAAAATCCTACATTTCTTTGCCAGTCTCACCGATGAAAGATCACAAAATGCCTCTGAAAAAAGGAGGATGGCTGACCAATCTTTAATCTAATAGATTCCTCCTCACAGTGTTATCATTCAATTAAACATTAAGGTCGAGAGAATACAGGAAATAATTGTCAACTAGAGAACTTCTTGATGGTCAAACAAATTCTCCTTGTCAGTGACACTGAAAAGATAAATGTTTAGTATAGTGTAGAGAATATTCATACTGATCTTAGGGTGTAAAGGATTCAATATTTAAGTGCAGTTTAATGATCCTCATTATCCAGCAAAAATTGACAGTAACTACTTAAAAGGGCGAGAAAATACCTGATCCAAATCAGAAACATCATGGTTGATGTGATCAATAACAGAAGTTTTCTCTTCATCAAATTCCACTCCACATTCACTTCCAAGCTCACGGATGGGATCACCTGCAATAATTAATAAAAGGAGTGACATTAGTGTTCTCATGCTTGTATTGGTACTAGGTCAAATAAAAAACTTAAATAATTATTCAAACTTGAAACAAAGGGTGAACAGCTCACTTACCAATTGCAGAATTTGTTGCCACAAGAACATTTCCTCCTCCATCAATAAAGTCAGTGATTGCTCTGACATTCAGTGAACCACCAAATTCTGAATTGAGTGACAAGGCAAGATAGACATAAATCCAAAATGGAGCAAAATAATATTTATTACTCTATCTGTAAAAATTATTCTGGTAGTATAGTCCTAATGAACCAGTATCAAAGAAGCACAAAGGCATTTATGGAAGACTGTTATCCTAGATTTCTTTTCCTCAAAAGTTAACTCTAAAATTGGTTTATTTTCTATTGGTTTTTTTTAGCCATTATCATGGGGGGAAACATAGGAAAACATAAAAAGCTCAAGTGTTGTGAAACACTTGTCAAGTAAGTATTGTTGTATTCTGCAGTTGGAAGTAAACAAACCTTCAACAGATGGTGAAAATATCACAAGATGCTGATAAAGAAATTCTCCGTATTTTACAAGAGAGAGGCTTGAGTCATCGGCAGAGCGGAATACCAGATCAAATCCTCTTTCTAACAAAAAGATATAATACCAAAAGCAAGTTTAGGCCTTACATTGTGTTCTTGAGGAGACAGTCAAATTTCAAGAGGTTCCACATTTTCTACATATGATACAAGGTAATAGACCATTCATTGGCAAAATCAAGGAATATAATTGATGTTTATCAGCCATAGCCCTTTACACCCTAACATCAGTATGCTTGTTCTCCATACTGTTTTCTATACATTTTCTATGATGCTCACAAGGAGAATTTGTTTAACAATCAAGAGCTCCTTTAGTTTGTGATAATTTCCTGTATTCTCTTGCCCATAATTTGTAGAAGAGGGGAGATATTGAAAGGAAAAAACTAGATGCTGGTCACTTTTACATGTCAAAGAGTTTAAGTGCCCAAGTACTGCACTGTTAGTCAGTACCACAAAAAATGAATATAATAAAATCAAGGTTTTTGATTTTTTGTACAATATTGTTCAACCCTCTACACCTTAAAATAAGTGTGCACATTCTCCATACTATTCTCTATACATTTCCTAAGGTGCTAACAATTTGTCTAACAATTAAGAACTTCCATTATTCCCATAACTTTGATGTGTGATTCAAGAGTGATATGTTAGGAGAAATTAGGTGCTAATCAATGTTAGGAGTCAAAGGGTTAAACAAAATCTTTGGTTTATTGTTCTCAACTCAACACAACACAAAAAGGCCATATCCTGCAAATCAATGTTTTCCTTTCTTTAGATTCATTACAAATTAAGTACACTCCATACATCTTGCTAATAAAGGACTTAAATTAGATTTATGATGCAATTTTGTGCACAAATCAATGCAATCCTAGAGCTGAATCGATTCACAGGGCTCGGTGGATGGTTTAGCTGGCAAATTTTAGATTTATCGATCTAAATTACACACTAGAATTTCCCTAAAATATAAAACAATCCAGTGTCCCCATAGTATACACTTCATCTCTTTGTGCCCAAAACCCAACATTTTTAACACTTCCAAAGTAAGTCTTTGTTAAAAACCCCTGCTTGCAAATGAAGTTTGGTCTTACCTTTCAGAGAGTTAAAAAAGATGGAATGTGTCTCTTTTGTGTTGGCATTATCAAGAAGGACAAGGGTTTTCCCTCCTGCTTCGGTCAGATCAAAGCAGGCCAGCAAAACAACCAAAGTAGAAATGAAAAATCCTACAGAACGACACGTGTCCTTCAAGAAAGCCATGATGGAAGATGAGAAGGGAAGAATACTGTTAATAGCCTCGTTTTCATGAGTGCTGCGTCGATAGTTTCCAGTTTCCTTCGCTCCACACTAAATAAAAAATTCAAATGAAATAATGACAAAAACAAACAAAAAAAATTAATTAAGACCGTTCGAAGAGATACGACGTAAATTATCAAAGAAACAGATGGTACTCCTCTGAAATTTCGTGTAATGTGTTTTTTGGAAAATCGCATCGTCCACGATTAAAACGTTCAAGTTATAGGCGCTTGAATATCGCAGTCAAAAGGTCACCTCATAAGATCATTTGGGCTTTCACTGAAGTGAAGGCGGAAGAAGTACCTTGCGTTGCGCACGCTCGAAAGAAATGCAAGAAACACGCGCGAGCAGATCAGACCGCAGTTGTTCAAAGAGTACTTCTGTTTAGTAAGTTTTGTAAACACTTTTCCACTGGATAGCGATTTTATCCGCTGGATAGTGTTGTCACCCGTTTCAACAACTAGGCCTAGTACACACTTTTAGATGAAAATATTGCCGCATTTGTACTCTCAATAAATCTTGTTCGTTCTCATAAGCGTCAAAGCAATACTGCAAGAACTTGCTTGCATGTGCTGAAGCTTTGAAATATTGGCCTTGATACAGAAGACACTTTACTTTGTTGCGTCTGCGAAGTTACGTCGCACGAGTGAAACATGCTTGGTAGGGCAATGAATGAAAAGGGAAATACAAGGATTTTTCTTTTATTATCGTTACTGGTTATTTCTAAGCTATATTGCTGAACTTGCAAAAGAAATAATATTTCGGCATCGTTTGAATTTCCTCTAAAACTTGACTGCAGAATTTCAATCGGTCCTGAAATTCGGCATCCAAAGCACTATTTTACAACACCAGGAACTGAGAGAACGAGCCAGAACCTGACACTAATTATCAAACAATATGATGTTCATGAAAAACACCCAAGGCAATTTCATGTCCGCCATAAGAGAGACCCCTTACTTAGTTTGACCACATTGTACACAGAACACAAACTGTGATCGTAGCTTCCGCTCACAAATAGCCTAAGGAAATTCTCACAATTTCAGCTGATGAACTTCTTCCCAGGTATTTTAGTACATGTTATTATTTTTATTTTTTTTTCGGAAAAAAATATAGTCCTTTCGCATTAATTTACGCTTCCTGTGTTCGAGAAGATTATAGAAAGTTGGAGGTATAAAAATTTACTATTAAGCTCTCGTTGAGACCAGCTAAAGGTTGTTCTTTCAGCTTTAATCAACTCATCAAAAAGTTAGGATTCTCTCAACAGGGAGTTCGAAATAGACGACAATTTTAGGGGTTTTTACTCCCCAAGGTCAATTAGACGCTGATATTATTTTTCATGCCGGTTTGGCACAAAGGCAGAAAAAGCGAAAAAAAAAAGGAGATTCACCTCTCGAAGGGAAGCGCTGCAGATGTAAGCGCGGTAGGCCTTGTTGGCGGTATTGCTGTTTGGTTGTTGTTCGTTTAATGTACGGTTTGACAGAGCGGCTAGAATTTAGGCGGCACAAAACAGCTCATCTCCATTCCCCCCTCAACGAAAACGCCCGTTGGCAATTCGTCTGCCATCACGCAAATAAAAGCTTGGCAAGCAACGCAGGGTTTTGTAAACAAATCTAGGTAATACTTAAGGTAAAAGGCCAATATAGTCCCTGTCATAAGTTTTGCTGCTGCAGGGGACATTTTTTCCCCTTGTTTTGACGAGAATCCGTTCACTTCTTGAACAAGCCTATCTATCAGTTATTCTCTTTTGTATGCCGCGCTAACTGCATAATTCATCTAACTACAATATTGTTGATTCCTGCTGGTAAATTTCCTCACAAAATTGATTGCAGTTCATTGCATGAGTTACAATGCCGCTCAGACAAACAACCCTTAGTTGGCCGTGTGTTTGAAGTCGGTGATCGCCTGTAAATTACTGCTGCGTATGCTCCAAGTCGCACCACATGCCTTGAAACCTCAAGTGGAAAAAGTAACGGAGAGCCTTTAATTTGGTTCGCTTGAATCATCGTGGAAAATTTGTAGAGGGAGAAGTGAAAAAGAGTCGCGGCTTGACTTCAAAAGAGGGGAAAATACTCCTATTCAGTTCGATTTGAACGAGGAAATTTCACAGAACAACATGGAAAAGAAGGTTGGAAATCGACTGACAAAACCAAACGAAAGCTTGACATCTCCTTCGCTAACTTCTGGAGTGACAGAGAAAACTTCTGTTGACATATCGCAAGTTGCAAAAGCTCTCGCTAAAATTGGCGACGCCCTTACTACGAAATATTCGCAAAGGATGCCGGGTAAGAGTTGCAAGTCCAGTCTCTAGCCACGTGTTCAAGGTGTACGTCTGGAAAGATGATTTCCACTTTGAAAGATTACATCACAATTCTCTCCTGTTTAAGTGTAAACAGAGAGAAAATAAGTGATAACACATTGATTAAAAAATAAAACGAAGAGTAAGACAAGTGTACATAAAACAGTTGATTTTATGAACCTACTTTGATCTTCCTATCAAAGGTATCTACATACATTGAATTGCAATTTATATTCCATTCAGCCAGCGCTTTTTAAGTACTTCTGTAGTTTAAGATTGAAAATGGGAACACAGTTCTAGGTCTTGTAAGAAAAATGACATGATAAAAAATGCAAAAAAAACCCCTCGATTGATAGCGTTTTCTTAGGAAAAGATCGGATTTTGGTCTTTCGTAGAAGACGATAATAATAAAAAAAAGCAATGCAGTATTTCGGAATAATATAATAAAGGAAGTTTTCTTGCAGCATATCGCTTGATAAAATAAGCAAAAAATAAATTAGGGTAAATTGACTCAGGCACGTTTTCTTAATAAGATTCTCCGTAACAGGTTTTTCTAGACTTTAAACATGTAGACGAAAAAACTCATGACAAATAATTGCGTGACAAAACCACTTTTCCTAAAACTTACATGCTAGATTTTAACCGGGAGAGAAGTCAAGGAAAGAGCTACTGCAAAAAGCGGAATTATCTTAATTAGTGAGACAGCAAGACATTTTCTGGTGACTTTTCATTAGTTTGTGCTAAATACACTGATTAACAAGGGGAATAATACCACCAACCTTGCCAACTATGTCACTCAAATGCTAACCGTTGACAGTTTCCGACCAAAGTAAAACAAGTATTCTACGCTTTACTCCCAGCCCAACGACATTATCGCACCAATTTCCTAAAAATCCCTCCAAAAATGAGTTCACGTCATATACTATACACCTAAAAGCCATGCCCACATTTTTAACTTTCTGAATAACTCATTTACAATCCGAGTCAATCTGCTGCATCTTTATCCAAACTTGTTCCATTTACTCTTATTCCCTTGTAATTATTTTGTTCTAAACATTTGCTATTTAAAGGTTTTCTTCCCAGATTTACTTGAAACATACTGTGAACCAAACGCCTTCGACTGCTATCTCGTAGCATCTTTTAAGCAAAAAGTTTGAATTATTTAACTCCCATTAGAGACCAAGACAGAATTTCTCCTTACAATATCAATGTAAAATCAAGCAGACAAGTGATGAGAATAAAGAGAACAAATAGTAAAGGATCATCCGTTGATCCAGCACCAAATTCTCGGGGCTAATATCAAAAGTATTAGACGCCAGACAGTGAGGAGAATTACTTACTGATATCTTAGGAGTGAAGGGGTTAATTAAGGCTAGCGGTTTATTGAAACAGACAGAAACGATCGCCAGTGAATGGAATAATATCTAATATATTTAGATCTACGTGTTTAGGTTCAGCATCTAGTCTCGTACAGCCCTGATCTTGAGATGTATCGAACCCACTTGATAGTGTCATGGTCACTGTAGTTCAGTTTGGGTTCAAACACCTTCAGATAACGAACCTTTAATCCAGAACAAGCAAATGGAACCTAAAGTAAATTATAATCAAACAATTAAAAAGTTATAAATAAAAAAGGTACTTTAAAATAATCTGTGGTCGACTTTGCAGCTTTTCTTTAGTTAGACCACGCAGTGCTCCTCAAAGCTGATATTTTGACACAGTTTGAGGGAGTGTTGCGTGACATCCCAAAGAAGGAAACTACGCCAGTCGCTCTACGTTGGATGAATGATATGCGTTTGGCGACTGGTCTTTACCAGGGATTTTTCACGATTTCTTGTGAATTTCCCTTTTTGGCCTTTCAAAATTTTGGCGTAATCTATAGTTGAACAGGACAGAATCGCAATAGAAGCAGTGATCCTCGCAGTCAGCGGCAATCTTAGCAATTGCAGAAAGAAGCTTGGAAAGATTCACAGTTCGACACGATTCCGACCCACGCCTCCCAAATACTTCTCGGTCGCTTTTACCGAGCCATCCTCTAAAAATTTCTCCCGCTTTCAGATGCAAAGTAACAACCACTGGCAACTAGATCACTCGCGTTTTCTCGCGCTTCAGGCAGTTCGCTTTTTTTTAACTATAATTTCTTATTACCTCCTAGTGATATTCTCCTTTGCCCTCATTAGTTGATGGGTTTAACTGGTTTTGCTTTCACAACACTTTATCAAAATACGCCCTAAAGGAGCTAAATCAAGCAGGTTTCCGCAAGCCAAAAATTTTAGCCATGGACTACTAGTTGAAAGTAACATTACCATGGTAAGCACCCGGGTAAAAAGATAAGGTAACACAAGTATCATTAAAGGTAAACTATTGTAATGGGTTTGACACCTCACAGGTGCTGTTCACAGTACCTCAAAGTTGAGAGATATTGGGGGTCTGGCCCATTTCTTGTTCTCCTTGGTGGCCATAAGGTCAATTTCAGCACTAATCTGAGATTCCTTCATACCACCCATTCGTTTTATCCTGCGACGAAAAGACATCAAAGAGTGCAAACATTATAACGAGCAAAGATGAGTGCAACATCAAATCTTCTTTTGCAGTGGTCAGCTAGGGAACCCCGTAAGAATCTTTACATATGGATACATAGAAGAAAGCACTGTCTAATTCCTGGTAAAGGCATTAGGCTTACATTATATTGTTCAAATTCTTAAGTGGGGAAGTGGGGGGGGGGGGAAGGGGGGTAGTATTTTACCTTTTGAACGAGTCTATGCAAGAGCTTTCATAAGTAATTTATGCTGATTCCTGCAGCTGCTTAATGCTGAGACTGAGATATAAACTGGTCTAAAGTCTATAAATCAATGACAGTAACATTCCATGAATAACACCTGCAACTTACTTCCACAAAATTGCGTTTTCACTGGCCTTGTACTTGGCTTTCCCCTTCATACAAACAACTTGAACTCCTGCTGTAGTTGGTGGGGTGGGTATTTTCACCTGTTGAAAAACGACCCCTTAAAGTATTAAATACATAAAGAAAGCCAATAAAATGAAATTAGTTAACCTCATTCAATATGGTAGCTGCAAATAGGGGCACTGTGAGTAGCAATTTGCAGCTTTTTTTAACCCTTTAACTCCCATGAGTGACCAAGACAGAATTTCTCCTTACAATATCAATACAATATCAAGCAAATAACTAATGAGAATAAAGAAAAATATCAATTTGGAATAATTAAATGATCCAATGCTAAATTCTCTGAACTAACATTCTAAGAATTGTATAGTTAACAGTAAGAAGAATTACAAATTTGATCTGGGAGTTAAAGGGTTAAGAGATAGTAAGGGTTTTTGAGCCATACAGTTCACTTGAAAGCATTTTGTGTCATTCTGAGCAGTGCTTCAAGATGCCACTTTTATGGTCACCATGGCAAGTGGTAGACAATTTTGGCTACTAAATTAGAAGATGAGGTCTTCAGTTCAGTGAAAGATCTCACTAGTAATTCTCCCTACTGTCTGCCATACACTTCTCATGATGTTACTTCTGAGAATTTGGATCAACCAATAATCCTGTAATGTTTAATTTTTCTTTATTCTCAACACTTGTCTGCACAATATTGTGTTGATGTTTAAGAGAGAAATTCTCTCTTGTCACTCACAGGAGTTCAAGGGTTAACTCTACAGTTTCTTGTTTTAAACACAATTAAGCAAGCTTTTTTTTTTTTTTTTTTAAAAGAAAATTAACCCTATAATTTTTGTGACCAGTTTATGATTTCAGGTTACCAAATGGTACTTTTGAGAAAAAGATGTGCTTGGAGCCCAAATAAGTTGTCTGACTTTTCCTTTTGATCCCTACTTAGCTGAGTGGAGTGATGAACAAGACAACAGAAAACTGGAATGAAAACATTATTCACACCACAACTAGAAAAAAAAGTAACAATTACCTCTATTTTCTGCCCCAATATTGACTGTTTAAAATTAGACTTGATTACTACTTTCACTTCCATCCTGGACCTTCCAACTTCCCTCACCAAGGGAATGACTCTGAATGGCAAGCTGATGTCTTTAGTGGTGCGATACCTAATGGTGGAATAAGCCAAAAATAATCACTTATTTATCTTCAATTATAGACTCACAATAATAACTGGCACATTTAAATTTTATACCTTTCAATTCAGAAAAAGAGGTCATATACCAAGAACACTGTGTTCATTGTGTGATGTTTTTCAAAACCCTTAACTTCAGCTGTGTGGAAAATACTGGTGGTTCACCACAGCTTCTAAGACCTCTTACTGTCAACAGGTTTGCCTGCAAGCAGGCTTGTGTTAGGTTTCCTCCTTACAACCCCTTTTCCACATACAGTCCTCTACTGCACCATTGGCAGCTTTGTGGGTGGGTGGGTGAGTGAGTGAGTGAGTGAGGAAGGGAGGAGGGAGTTAGTGAGTGAGTGCAAGTTTTCTTTAGGGCAAGATGCTCTTTTCTTGATAGACCTTAGGCTTCAAAAAAGGTTTCTTGATCAAATTATTCTTAAATATGGGATTTGGGGTCATGATTTATTGTTGGTCCAATTTTTTTTTTCCAATTAAACTTTCCAAGGTTGTAGCATCCCATTCAGGTGGCACAGCGGTGCTATGACTTACTTCAGAAACTAGGATACCTCTAGCAGCGCAACACAGTTAACACAAGAGCATACTAAACATACTTTAGCTACTTCAGTGGTAAGAATCAAAATACATGTAATTGTCACACAAAGGATGTATCATACCAAAATTAGAAGTAGAAGATATTGAAAAAACACTGTCTTACCTCATGAGCTCAAATTCTCCATCAGGTGGTATAAAACTAATTGCCCTTTCTGTTTCAAACTTACTGAGCTTTACACACTGCAATAAAAAAATACAAAATAGATAAAATACAAAAATTATGGGGAATCAAGAAATTTCATACAGAAATTTGTGGGATATTTTCAAAACATATTCAAGAATCAACCTGGTGGAATGTGCAGTCATCAATTGCAATTCCTGACTTGCTTGTGGTGTTTCTAAAAGGAAAACGGATCTTAGAGAACTGGAGAAAACAAACCAGGCTTAACATTTTGCCATTGTTAGCCCAAACATTTTTGGGCATATTACAGGTAAAATTTTTAATTATTGAAGCTTTGTATAACAAGCACACTGATATGTAAACCACCAAATTTCATAATTTGGTTTTATCAACTCAGTTGATTATATAAATTGGCCACCCTAAATAGTTTATAAAGCAGACGTTCCAAGCATCAGCCCTTCATCAGGGAAACATTTTGAGTTTGGATTCCACATTTAAAAACAGGTCATTACCAGTATCAAATAATTATAAACGATAACAAACAAAAGAATAGAGATATTCTGTTGAGAGAAGAAAGTACTAGAACTTCAAAGAGATCTTCATAATTAACCCTGTAAATCCCAAAAGTGATTAACATGTTACTTCTCCCCAAAATATCCCTACATTATCCAGCAAAAACATAACGAGAATACTCAAACTTATTAGGTAAAAGTTGTTATTTTGATCTAACATCAAATTCTCCTGGCTACTTTACAAGGAAATGTGTAGCAGCTAGAGTTAGAGGGGAGAGTTAACAATCAGATCATGGGAGTTAAAGGGTTAATCTGTTGCACTAACTTCTTTTGTGGATCAAGCGATGGCTCAGAAGCTCCACTCTTCTGTTTCTCCACCACTAGTTTGTCATTCATTCCAAATTTACATTCTGGCATTCCTGACAAGAAACTCTTCATGACAACTCGTCCAGAGACATGAGCACTTAGAACTTGACCTTCAAAAAGGAAAAAAACAAACACAATTTTTTAGTTTCTGCAACATAATCCTACTTGGAGAGCAGGTTAGATTTTAGTGTTCACAGTCACCTTAACCACAAGTAATTATTTAAAATGATCATTAACAATTCCCTTAAAAGATCTGCTGTCAAGATGGATGACATATTTCAGCAACCGTAGTAAGGACATTCATACCAACATATGGTCCTTGAAAAAAAGTTGTCATCATAAAATGCCATCCCAATGGTTTACATTCCACTTGCAAAGATATTAAGAACTCTGGAGATCATGACAGAAATTAACCTTTTTAAACAAACCTTGTGGTGACATGAGCAGATTAACAGATTCCAACACATCAAGAAACAATTCATTTCTTCTGTACTTGATTCCTTCCCTTCTCCAACCAATCTGTCCTGTAACCTGGCTTGTGATCTGGGCTTGCTCTTCCCGTGTCTGCACCAGAGAACAAACAAACAAAATTTTCAAAACCTAGTGTTTATCTTCCAGGCTTATCTTGTGTCCTGTACCTGAAAACCTCCCCCTGAAGTTTCAACTATTAATGCCTGAAGGAGTCCTCTCTACTCCATAAGTATTTTGATGCCAAAAGAAAAATTTTGGAACAGAGAGAAAGAAAGGACAAAAACAGAATTGATGTCTCCAGGTAAGGACTACCAAAACAGAATATTGGTCCTTTTGTTTCAGCTGACAACATGAAACTTGTTATCCAAAACTCAAAACAGAAGTAACTTTCAACCAATTGAGAATCTTTACCAGCAGCAACATCAAACAAAACATATCCACTATATCAACAATGATGCACAAGAGGGTGCACATGTAAGTTGTTGCAAGGTCATTCTATTAGCATGCACACTTAAATTAAAGGGAGCCTTTTTCTCACCAGGTACTCCAATTTTATAATATTCCTGAAAGTAAAAATTTAGTCAGAACTTTTGACAAAAGATAACTGACCTGTGTCTTGATTCCTTGTTGAGTGATGAATGTTTTCAAAATAGCTGTATCAGTCTTCTGAGGATATCCATAATCAGCTATTTCTATTTTCAAAGAAAAAGAAAGAAGAACTGGGGTGTTACTCAACATCTTCCGGAGCTGAAAGGTGAAACTATTTTGGTTGCCATGAAAAGAAAGGAAAAATGATGGTGAATGAGTCTGCAGAGAAAGTCACTGATTTGGTGACCAATATTCAGTAGTCATATACAAACTGTGTCAAGTGAAGACAACTCCTGTAGGTCATTAAGAAAAAAGATGTATAATCTTATATAAAACATTGTTTGCTGTTTATTTTTCTGGCTAATAAAGTTGATCTCTGGTGACCATCCTATGATTTTAGCAATTAAATGACAACTTGCAATAAGTTCAAGCTTGGACCCCATCTCCCTCCCCCCCCAACCTTATTAGGTTTGCTTTTGTTTGTTTTTTAAACAAAAGGTTACACTTCCATTTTTCAGGAAGGCTGTGCAACAAAAGCCCATTCTACGAGCAAATGATTTAGCTAAATGAACTAACCATCAAGAAGCTCATAAATGAGGACAAAGTTGTTTTTAATTCCCTCCTCAGTGACTTTTCCAAAGTAGGAAATCATAATCTCCACAGTACGATTCAGAAACTCAAACACCATAGCAGCATTTACATTCTGCCTTGTCACAGCAGCCAGCCAAACATTTCCTTGCCGTATGTGGAAGAAACTTGTCCTGGCGATGTTAGTAACTGGTGAACGCACCTGGCCTCTGGCATGAATAACATTCACACGAAAAGCATCCACAGCATTTCGACTAAACAATGAAAATTAATGCAAGTTATTTAGAATGAATAAGAGGGAACTTAATCATTCAGCTAGCAAACATCTTAACTGTACATGCATACAGGATGTCTTTAAGATCATGATACATTAAGTAACAAGTCCATATCATGGGTCTGAGCATCAAAATGCTCCTTGTGTGCATACAAAGTAGAACACTGGAAACATGTCAGTGTCAAAAACCTAACTGATAAAAGGCAAACCAGCTGGTTATTTACATGCAAAGCCCAGAACTTGTACTGCTTACACAGAAACTCATCAAAGAATTTTGTGGCTTCTTGGAGACTGTCCTCTCTTTTTCAGTGAGAGCTTAACCACTCTAAAGCCCTTTAACCCTTCATGTGACTAGAATCTAATTTCTCCTTACAATATCATCCCTTAATCATACATTAAAGAAGTTTGTGATTGTTAAAAGATTCTACTTGTCAGCACCTTAGGGAATGTATAGGGAACAGTGTGAAGAATATGCATGCTGTTGTAAAGAGTTGACAGAGCCCTTAAACTTACGATAGGAATCACATAAATCAAAGTTTCACTCTCAGCATGTCACAAGCTTACTTAATTAAGGTATCTAATGATTCGATTACTAGCAAAACCTCTTACACTATTCAAAATGTCGTAACATGCCTTCATATCAATTGTGCTCACGCAGCAAATGGATAAAGATCTGATTGAGCGAAATCGTACATCAAACGTTGCTACAACTTACCCAATATCGTCCCGATACACCCTCGAAATTAACACCTCTCCTTTATGATTGTAGATGAACAAGCCACCGATCATGTTGAATAGCACAGTTTAGCAACAAAACCAATTTTTTTACGACGAACAGTTAGCTTTCCAGTAGTTAAAGGTAAGTTTTAAAGGGGGCAAAGTTGGAAATGACGAGGTTATTCGACTAAAGTTTCGGTATCTGTACCCTAGATCAAGCCGCCATTTTCGACTAGAAGACACCCCACTCTCGCCGCTGAAGTTACTATATAAGGAAAAATCTACCATACTTGGATGAAATAGTTCGAGCCTAGTCTTTTCAATTTTTCCCTCTTCGCACGCGCTAAGTTTTTGGCGAGGTTACATAATAATAATTTCAAATTGGCGCCATGGTTTGTTATGGCGGAGGAAGAACAGGAAGAAAATTGGCCAGAATTTTTCGAAAACAACCGTCTCATTCCAGTTCATCCGAATCGACGGAAATCAGGGTCTCACTCCAAGGCCAGTGTTCCATTTTGTCTCGTTCTCAAGTCCGTGATTGGTATATCTCCACCTCAAGTTTATGTAAGTTTGTTGCCGTGGCAGTAACGCAAGCAAATTTTAGTTGAGGTCATAATATGAAGCTCGTTAAGGTTATTGTGACCTTTACTTTAGAATTGATTTATTTTTTTGCACAGAGCAACAGAAAACCTTCGCATCAGTATTATTTGCCCTCTTGCGTGCTTCTTGGCCGTCATATTTTGGAAAAAAATGTAGTGTCTAGATTATCACTGTTTCCTGTTCGTTCTTGTTACTTTCTTCGTTTTGCTTTTTAAAAAAATGTTCCATGCAATGATTATATTTTTATCCTTTACTATTCAATTTCTGACCACCAGCTGATCCCAATAATTTTTTTAGAATAAATAAAGCCTTGTTTTCAGATCAGTGTCTAGGTTGATTTCATGACAAAAGCTTGCGTTATTACTACTAGTATTATCAATGATACTTTTTTTTAATAATCATTGCCTTGGGAAGTGCATGTAGTTACTGTAAAATCCTTTTTCTATTTCGTAAGTTTTCCATGTAACCCAATACTTCACTATACAGTGCTTGGATAAAAACAAACAAAAAAACAATGGCAAAAAATTGATTACTTTGAGACTTTGGCTTTGTTTTAGAATATTATAGGGTTATGGGGAAATATTTCCTTTATTTTATCTCTATTTTTATAGGATGTTGTTTCCCAAGACATAGAATTCCAGTTGCGATTGACACTGTATGATGCAGCTTATGAATGTTTCTTTGGGAGCACATGGCTTGGACCCTTTTTTCCAAGTAGTGGAAAGGAGAATGGCAGGCACAAAATTGTCTTTGAGGAGGTATAATGTCATTTTCTTCCAAAGGAAAGGAGAAGAAAATGCACCTAGAAAGACCCTATTAACTGTGTTTGAGGTCTATACTGTATGCTAGCAAGGGACTGAGTTTTTCTGCTTGGATTTATAGCCCAAGCGTAAGGTTCTGTAACCTACAGTACAGTCCAAGAAAACAAGGGTACTAAGATATTTATCTTATTTTTGAGCTCAAAAAAGAGGAGGAGGCTTTTAATTCAAACAAACTTTTGAATTTAGCAGGCCATACAGTGAAATGCCACCTGCAAATTTGACCAATCATGGTGCAGATATGAACTGAGAGAATTGCACAATCATGTAATGACTGGTTCACTATTTTGGGGAAATTAAAGTTTTTGTGTTATAATAACTCACCACATATTGCTCCATTGTCATGGTGATTAGTTTTAATTTGTGTTCAGCATAATTAACTGTAAAGCAAAAGATCACAGTGAACTCTTTTAAGTTATCCATTTAAATTATTATGTATTGACATTTTATGAACAGAAAATCTATTTTTGTTTTACAGACAGTATATCTTTACTCCTCTCTACATGATATCACATGTGTTGGGGTGGTTGAAGTCATTGGGGAAGGTAATGTAACCTTGAAACCTCAAATTGTAAAATTAAATGCAGAAATAAAGCAATTAACCCTTTAACTCCAAAGATCTCATTAATAATTCTCCTTACTATCTGTCGGACAGTTCTTGTGATGTTTGTTTGGAGAGTTTGGTTTTGAATCAAGTTATAATCCTCTAATTTATATTTTTCTTTTTTCTCACCACTTGTTTGCTTGATATTGTATTGATAATGTAAGGAGAAATTCTGTCTTGGTCACTCAGGAGTTAAAGGGTTAAGTAGCTAAATAGTAAAACATTGGACAAGGATTTTGTATCATTTAACGTAACAGGCTATGCCACTGATGACACAATTTGCCTTTGAAGCATATACACCAATATAATAATGATTCATTCAATTTTTGTACTAGTGTAGTACTATAACCTTCAAACTCAAATTTTGTCTAGAAAGACATTTTTTTGATTGTTTTATGATTATCAAATGAACTTTATTTTCAAATTCACAGTGAATGGTCAAAGTTTTGGTTGTGGATGGACACTAATACGAATTTTTGACAGACTCTCTGAATTATCAGAAACAACTTCAGGCCAATCCACTCCAAAAAGGTTAGTTAGATGCAGTGGTTGACTAGTTAAAACAGCTTGGATCAAACTTGACTAAGAATGGAAAACTTAACAAATGTGCAAAATGGAATTCTTAACCCTTTAATTTTTTTATTTTGCTTGCAAACTAATGTAATTTATTGTTGTTTGACCTTCTATTTTTGTATTTCAGTGTTGAATGTTAAGAAAGGTCTCGAGTGTATATTTTAATTTCTGCTTGCTGTTTTATTTTTCCTCATAAAATAGCATTCCTTTGTACCATGGGTCACCTGCTGGTCTGTTATGTATCTCTGAAACAATTGAAGGTAGGTACATGCAATTGCATTGTCCAAACTTACAGTTCAAAAAGTGGGTAGACAAAAAGTGGGTAACAACATGAACTAATGTATTAATGATGAAATTATGGAAGACTTCTTGAAACCAGGTATACACTTGCAATTAGTAAACTTTTGCAAAATTCCAATATATGTATAAAATATATTTTTATAGCCTTAAAATTTATTATGAGGTGGTCATGGCCCTAATTGGTTAAATTACTTCTCATTGTTCTACAAAATCAGGGCGTGAAATTAATTTTTTCTTTCTGATAGCCACTTGGCTCCTTAATTCTTCAAAGTTGTAGCCAATTCAAAAAAAGTTGGTCGCCATTTTCAAAGACAAACAAAACCTTTTTTTACGCTGTTAGCGTTCTAGATAAACCTTCCAAAATTAAGTTACTAGGGAAAAGATCTTTAACGTGCTACAAAGTGGACACTAGGATGGATGATATGCAATGTTCAAGTGCACCTAAATTCAAGTTGGCATCTAGTTAATGATCAAGATGCATGTGCTGCATTTTGGAAACAAGCTTAGCAAGGAAGTTTGCTATGGATTTATCTTTGCAAATCTTTTTAACTCACTATATCTCTTGGTAATGTTATGATGAAACATTCTAGTCGCCAGTTTGGTAACTAATTTTCAGGATTTGGTCACCAAAGTGAAAAATTTAGTCGCATTGGTGCCTGTATTGGGCGCAATTTCATGCCCTGAAAATTTATGACACTAATCCTTTTTAGTGTTGTGTTTTACATATTGCTGTTTATCAAAATAACATTGGAAGTTAAGCCCTGTTCAAATGGTCATGATAGTTGATGATAGTCAATTGTAGTTTCAACTTTTGGTCACTATTATTGACTATCATGTTTGCATTCAAATGGTTCATGATAGACCATGATAGTTGACAAAATCATGCAAAGAGGTTGGGTAATTTTTAGCAAGTATGGGATGTGCTTAGGTCAGCAATTTCAGTTGCATTTGAAATTTTAGTCAAGAAGTTGTGAGCTGAAGATAGTGAAACCTACTAGGAGATGATCAGAATGAATTGCAAGACATTCTGCGGAATTGTGGGGGCTACTTTAGTCATTTTACCATTTGCCATTTCTGTTTGAGCCTATTTTTTGGCAAAACTACTGACCATGTAGTTCATGTTCAAACATGCTTGATTGTTGAAACTGTCACGAACTATCCTGACCATTTGAAGGGGCCTTTATTCATTTTATGAAGTAGTTGTGTTATTTTTCTTTTTCTTTAAAGAATCATCCAGTCTACTCCCAATAGAGGCATGCACCCTGAGTTTTGTTCTTCAAATCCATCCACCCTTGGAAAAGGTTTTTCACCTGATTCCTGAAAATGCCATCATGAGTGGTGATGACTTTGTGCCAGGAATTTTGGAGCCACAACCAGATGGTAAAGCCTTCTTTAAAACTTTTCTCAATTAAATATCATGCTGTATGAAAATGCAATTTTCTATTTGCAACAATAATGTACTTTGTTACATGGCTAATGCAGATTTCAATTTACTATTTGTTAGGGTCTGGAATTGTAGATATTTTGAAGAAACCCAGGCTGGCGAAAACTACACCAAGTTTTGTTAATAAGGTATCAGCTCAAAATAAAACATTATTTCGCATTGTATTTAGTCTTGACACCAGGGCATCCAACAAGGGCCAGTAGGCAGTTAAATTTTTTGTTCACTTCACACAATTTCCCTGACCCTCTCTTTAGCACTTAGTAACTTAAGTTTTTTGCTAAGCTTAAGAGAAATTTTGTACAGAACATGAGCTTCAAACTTATGCCTTATTCTAGTTCAAGAGTACAGGAAATGCCCTCTAAGAGACCCAAATTTTAAAACATGCTCAGGATAGCATGCTCCTGGGCTGCACCTAGAAGTCACAGTACTAGCACTATTGATCAATTCCCACCCACTTCCCCTTGCATTTTCCATCTGCTCTGATTCTTATTTAAAAGCCCAGGGCATGAATTGTTTTCCACTTTCTAGAGTGGAAATCATCCCTGTTTTCTGTAGTTTAAAGTGTCTAGAAGTATTACTATAATTGTGCCCTGCTTGTAATGCTTTAGAGTTTGTTATTTTGTGGAAATTATCCAGTTACATACAGTCCTCATTAACATTTAATGTCAGTGACAGAGGTCTCATAGACTTGACTTATTACATTGTGGTTCCCTTTTGAGTGGTAGAAATTTTACTTTGAGCCTTGTGGATAAATAAGGCAAGAGTGCCATTACATCATTTTTTAATTGTATGCTGTTAGCCCTTACTCGGACAGACCTACATGTAAGCCATGAAATGAAGATCCCTAAGCACACCAGGACACTGTTGTTTGTTAATGATATTACTGATCACTTTGCAGCTGAGTATTATGCTGTATCCATCAGTTGAAGAGTTTGAAGATGAACTTCAGCAAACGTTCAATCAGGATAGGCTACACAGGGTACTGCTCTGGTTTTTATAATCTGGCGTTTTTGCTCTTCCATAGATCACCACTTACTTACAGGGCCATATAGTACAAAGACTTTCTACCAACTCCATTAAACATAATTGCACCCCGAAATTCAAACAGTTACTAATAAATTGTGATTATAGTTAATTCTGATTAATGTATGACTGACTAGAGATGTTTTGTGCAGTACATTGAAAGTGATAATTATCTGGGAATGATAGAGAGAAGTGAAGGAGTTTATTGCTCACACATTCACTTTCACTATAAGGAGAATTTATTCATTTCATGAAATTCCTTTTAGAACAATATTATACCTGATGATGGACTGCAGATTTCAATTGTGGAGAGAAGACTAAAGGTTTGTCAACTTTGTATGTGTGATCATGATTTTGTTTTTTGATAATTTTAAGGTGCATTGTCAAATATGAATGAGTTACTCTGACTCGTTTGTTTGTAATGATTTTGTCTACTCCAATTAAACTGCATGAAGGAGTTGCTATTTTCTTTGCCTAAACCACACCATGACAAAGCATATAACTAGAGGCATTTGTACAAACTTCATGTATTTAACCTTCCCTGTGTTTGTTGTTTTCATGTGATACAAATTTTTCTGCATGTTCAAAGGTCTCAGTACACAATGGATGGAAATATGTAAGTGAACCTCACATAGTGTACCTTGAACCAGAGTATGAAGGTGGTAAATCTGGAAGAAAATCACCTGCTTCACAGTCATCTTTAAGAGGTAAATAATTGTCTTCATCCAAATATCAGTACTGCATATATATGTAGCACTTAGTTATTTGGCAAACACATAGTCATGTACATGCTGTATACTTGTGAGGCATTGATATTTGCCCTGTATTTAATTGTTCAGCTTTCTACATTTTCCTGAATTTGCCAATTATTTTGTACTGATGAGGAATGAATGTATTTTGTCTTTTTCCCCTCTAATTTACTTCTCTTTTGTAGGAAAAATCCTCTCCTTGGCCCTTCGCAGTCGACTGGAACTGAAGGAGCTTGTTCATCATCCATTGTTTGCTATTATCTTTGAACTAGAATATGTTCTGTCTGAACCATTTGCTCAGCCACTAATTGAGACCAAACGTAAAAAGGTTTGTTAATACACTTGGTTTTTTGGTTCAGTAGAGAGGAAGACTGAGCTTTATGTGGTCCTAAGTTGGAGAGTTTTGGTTTGTTTGATATTTATTTTGTTGTTGCTGTTATTTTCTTGCGGTTTTTTACTGAGATCATTTAGCCTCCATCCAGCTAGTATCTGGAGTACCATTCCTAGAAACCAAGGGCTGCTTACTTACAATTGTCACAAATTTTATTGCTTGCTTTTCAATCTGCATTCTTAACCATTATCAATTTAGCTAAATATTTCATCCTAATATTGATGTTTGTGAAGAGTGTGACAAAGGCATATAATTAACACTGGAGAAGGATTTATTAGAATCATGTTGGAACCAAAATACAAATAAATTGTGGGAAACTAATTGTCTAAAACCAGGACATTGGTTAAACTTTGTTAAAATGATGGTGTGGCTTACTTTTTCTGTCCACTCTCATGTCAATCTTTTAGCCCTCTCTGTCTGGCAGCCTGATGCGGTCCCAGAACCAGACTGTAACACTTAAGTGGGCTTTATGGCTTCCATTTGAGAGTGGAAGCCCAGAGGAGAGGGAGACCTCATTGGAACTTACTGGAGGTTGTGAAGGTTTCCCAGGTGATAAGCTGGTGTTTGCTAAAAAACTACCGCAACCACCTGGGAAGAAGGTATGCATAATTAATGTATCTTCTCTGTTGTGCCTTTTGGAATAAAGACATGTACATGTGATTAGACATTTTAGTGTGTAGTATTGCTGAGTATTTTTTTTTGAGTTGTACTGTATTTTGACAAGCCCTCTGGGTGAGTCAAAATACAATGAATGAGTATGCAAAGCATCTAATAAATTCTTTATCATCCAATTGCTTTTTGATTATTTTTGTGCATTCATTACTAAAATGTCATCCATTTTTTTCCCCTTTGAAGCAAATCACCTATTAGTGTAATCAACCTGTCAAACAGTTTGTTTTTTTACAATAGAAAAACACCAACTGTCCAAATCACTGCACAGTATTGCAGTTGGACAAGATAGAAGGGTATTTGAAGTAAACTCTGCTAATCAATATTCAGTCCTTAAAAATAAACTAAAAAGTTTTTCAAAGGAACTGGTTTGCAGGCACTTTGCCAAATGATCAAAGGCAAATACACAAGTGAAAACCAACTGTCCATTTACATATGCATGCCCAGGGCATTGAACTGGGAAATTACCCCTCCCCCCCCCAAAAAAAAACAAAACAAAACAAAACAAAACCCTGTACGTGGTCAGAAAAAAATGAGTCTTGAAACTAGATTTTGCAACACGTTCACCACTCTGCCATACTCCCATCCTGAAGTTCCTTCCTAAAATATCTATTTTTTTTTGGTCATTTCCTTGGTATGATTTGAAGGAAGAACATCACATATGTTGTGTTAGAATTTTATTTTTTTGTTCAAATTTTACTTTTAGAACTATTCTAAAACCTATGTTTTTATTCAATCTACAGTTCATTTCTTTTACCATAATCAGTCTCATCTCTATCCAAAATTGATAAATACATGTTGATCTCTAGCTAAATTTTTATTTTAGTAAATAATGCTAAAGACTTTGATTTGTAAAAAGATGGAAACTATGTAAAAAATGCATTGTGCATCTGTAAAACAACCAAGGTCAGTTATGAAAAATGGATACCAGTGAACTATCAGGATGACTTAAAAAAAAAAAAAAATAAAAACCTGGCTGACTACATGGTATAGACTAACAACCTGTGTAGGAGTAATAACAATTACTTCTAGTTTCTGAATGCTACGGAAGCCAATATATTCCAAATGGTTGGAGACTACAAAACTTGAATATGAAAGCGATCTTCGTAGTAACTGACTACTGACTGACTACAAAACTTGTTGAACTGACCACAACACTTGTTGGTAACCTATAGTATATGATACCTCAACTTTGTCTTTTTCAGGCACCCAAGTCTGGTGGAGTAGTAAAGTTTCTGTTCACCCAGCAGCGCAGGAGAGGAAGCAGTTTACGCTCCTCAACTCAAGGATCTCAGATGCTTGGGGTGCCTACCTCCCCTGGCCTTCCCTCCCCAAGCCCCTTTGATAATGCTGGAAGAATGTTTGGTTCTGTCGGTAATACCCCAGGGGTTGGACATCAAGGAATGTCACTCATGCCTGGTGTGGCATCAAGACCTCCACTTCCACCAGCAAACAGGTAAAGGTATTGGAATTTTTAATGATAGTGATCAAAAACAGACCCTGTTCCAAAATGGCCTTAAAAAGTTAAGGTCTCTAGCTAGTATGTAACTAAAAAGGAGATTGAACCTAGGTGCTGAGATAGATGCCTCTCACAAGGTTTTATTTAATCAATTGTGCTGTTTCTGAAAAGAAAATGTAATTTCAAATTGGAAAAAATTACAACCATTTATGGGGTTGGTTCTACATGCTATACTCCCTCTCATACAGACTTCTGCAAATATGTGTATCAACAATATCTTTTAGATGGTCTACATCAAGGTGCTCAATTCAGACACTTGATTGTAAAGGATTGGTCTGACACAACATATAATTTTGAAGTGATCATCAGCAACCCATTACAGTGTAGACAATGACCCTAAAACTAAAATTTTAAGGACATACTAATGCTAGGTATTGGAAAATTGTTAGGATTTGTACACCAGCATGGCTGAGTACACTAACAAAGACTTACACAAAAAAAATCAGTTGAAGTCAAATCAGTTTGTTGAACGAGGAAGAAGAAATTTAACATTGGAGGGTTGCTAGTTTTTGCCAACATAGGACTTGCACAGACAATCAGCATGAATTCAAATGTTTCCCTGAATTGCTATTCTTCAATTACTTCCCATGCATTTTAGGGAGACTGAAGTTGTATGGTCAAACCCAGCTTTAAGTGACTAACTATTGTGAGATCTTGAATTCTTGACAGATTAACTACTTTGGGCTGTTTGTTTGTTGGCAGATGAACTACTTTGGGCTGTTTGTTTGTTGACAGATGAACTTCTTTGGGTTTGTTTGTTGACAGATGGACTTCTTTCTGGTGTTTGTTTGTTGGCAGATGAACTTCTTTGGGCTGTTTGTTTGTTGACAGATGAACTTCTTTGGGTTTGTTTGTTGACAGATGGACTTCTTTCTGGTGTTTGTTTGTTGACAGATGAACTTCTTTCTGGTGTTTGTTTGTTGGCAGATGAACTTCTTTGGGCTGTTTGTTTGTTGATAGATGAACTTCTTTGGGTTGTTTGTTTGTTGACAGATGGACTTCTTTCTGGTGTTTGTTTGTTAGCAGATGAACTTCTTTGGGTTGTTTGTTTGTTGACAGATGAACTTCTTTCTGGTGTTTGTTTGTTGACAGATTAACTTCTTTCTGGGTTTGTTTGTTGGCAGATGAACTTCTTTGGGCTGTTTGTTTGTTGACAGATGAACTTCTTTGGGTTTTTTGTTTGTTGACAGATGAACTTCTTTCTGGTATTTGTTTGTCGACAGATGAACTTCTTTCTGGTGTTTGTCTGTTGGCAGATGAACTTCTTTGGGGTGTTTGTTTGTTGACAGATGAACTTCTTTCTGATGTTTGTTTGTTGACAGATTAACTACTTTGGGTGTTTGTCTTGACAGATGGGCTACTTGCACCTGTATCGTTCCACGGCTGGTCAAACACCTGAATGCGGTTGTCCATGAAAACTTTCAAATTGCGCTGCTCGCACTCATATCCAAATATCATGTCCTCAAGTGTTTTAAGTTCCGGTCTATAGTATACATGCTTTTCCTGTAATTTCCTTAAGTTAAGGTACACTGCAACTTGTGGCGGTTTACAGACGAATGGTTCCAGCAATGGTTTACGAACGCAGAATCTCCTTGGGCTCATAGCTACAATGGGAACCTTTTCGTCGGCTGTTTCCTTGACAAACTTCTCAATTCGCTCGAAAACAAGCCCAAATTTACGCTTTCTGAATTCTTTGTATGAACCTCGAGGCGGTTTCTTGTTTGGATCATATTCGACAAAGTATTTTATACTGTCGTCAATCATCCAAATAAATTGCAACTCTAAGCGCAGTGCGATTTTCTGGATCCAGTAGCGGGCATATCCTACTCCGATCTCATCCTGTGGGAGTCTGATCACAGGAAAGTGAGGCCCACAGTATCTCACATACGCATCAAACTCCGAAGGCCGTACTACGAGAATCCTAATGGTGGAGTCATCATTCATAACCTCATCATGGGGCCATTGTAACAACGCAATCTGCGCCCGGCGGAAAGATGGTATAAACACCCATCGTTTCCCAATGTAGTCGTTACTTATTATTTTTTTAATCCATCTCGTGTACCTATTAGTCTGAGTCTGGAACCATGATAAATTGCTACTAGGCACATACATTTTAAGCACATGCTCACAATCGAAGTAGTAGAAATTTTTGACCGCTGAATCTTCAGGTGGCGAGGGTAACGACGACGCCGTATACTTTTCGTCTATTTTCGTTAAAACTTTTCGGTCTTTTGGGGAGAGGGACTCGTTTCTAATTTCTAAGATGTGGGGAGTATTGACGGTAAGCTTTTCGGAATCTGGTGTTTTAAGTACCCTCTCGAGTTCTTGTCGACAACTGTTGATACTTCCTTTCATTACGTCTTCTATGTAGGAGGGGAGATTCGAATATATCTCAGCCAGATCCACAGACGCATTAGCTTCATTCTTTGTCCACTTGCTAGATGTAGGGTAGGACTGTGAAATGGAAACAGTTGCTTTCATTTCTAGCGTAGAATCGGGTTTTTCCGTTTCCCATGTGTGGTTTTTTAGCCATTCGCCATCTTGTTTCTCTTCATCTTCCCCTATTTGAAAGTTTTTGAGCCTTTGCGTGATACCACTTGCAGTAGACTCTTCAATCTCACTGCTGCTATCTGCCTCACTACATTTTTCTGTCGTAGAATCGAGTTCTTCCGTTTCCCCTGTAGGGTTTTCCGGCCATTCGCCATCTTGTTTCTCTTCATCTTCCCTTATTTGAACGGCTTCGGGCTTTTGTGTGATACCATCTACAGCAGACTCTTTCGTTTGGGGTCCTTTGCAGACAGCAGCAGCTTCAATCTCACTGCTGCTGTCTCTCGTCGTGGGAAATAGTTCCCTTTTCGTTTGTTTTGATTTTGTCGACATTAGCTAAGCTCGATCGCTAACTGTTGTCAATACTTCATACAGTCGAACCTCGATTATGCGGACTCGTCGGGACCTCGGTAAATAGTCCGGGTAATCGAAAATATGAATATTAATGATTCGTTTTAATCCTTCGCTTGTCTCGATGCTGTCAGTAAATTTTAGGATCTTGTCTTTGTTCTTCCGTATGTCTGAGATCTGCTGCTTGCTGATGCCAAATTCTTGAGCTAAATTTGTTCCTTTCTCTCCTTTATCCAAACGTGAAATAACTATCTGGTTATCTTTCATCGATAGAACAGCTCGCTTTCGCTTCGTAGACGTGTTTTTGATTTGAGTTTACGATCGATCGCATGTGTGTTTACATAACAAATGAATAAAGGGGTAAGTTTCTAAAGAAACTGTGGTGCTGCGTCGGTGGGAGAGTATAGTGGGTAATTAAGTGTTAACAACTGGGTTGAAAACGTAAATTAGCCACCGTAAAGAGTAAAAAAGCTGACGTTTCGAGCGTTAGCCCTTCGTCAGAGCGATTGGAGGAATTGTGGGTTGTGTGTGGGTTTATATGCAGATAGTGGAGCTACGCCATTGGTGGGAATATGGTGACGAGAAAACAGGAATAAATTAGTTGAATGAAAAGCGCTCATTGATTCCGTGGGGATTAAGGGTGCCAATTTGGAAGATAAATTTTTGCTCTAGTGTTGTACGGCTTTCCGAACTGCCTAGATGTAAGGAAAGGCCGCAAACTGCCATATGCTGTTTAGAATGATTAGGAAGATTAAAGTGTTTAGCGACTGGTTTGGATGCGTCCTTGTCATTTCTTTCCACGTCGCGAAGGTGTTCTCGGAATCGGTCACAATCGCTCTGACGAAGGGCTAACGCTCGAAACGTCAGCTTTTTTACTCTTTACGGTGGCTAATTTACGTTTTCAACCCAGTTGTTAACACTAAATTACCTGTTTACAAAACAAACGCGGAAGGAACTAATCAAGCATGAAATTCACTTGGCAACAAAACAATTGAGTCTATCAGATATCAGCTGAATGCATCAGAATATTTCTGTCTCCTCGCACTTTCGAATTTTGAAAAGCGCACAGGATAATATGCTGTTTCAACCATCTTTTGAAAGGATTATTGGGCTTTTTGAGACTTTGAGTTTTCAAGATCACAACTAATTAATTTTCATGAAAAAATTTGGACCAGAGAAAAAAGTCCGGATAATCGAGGTTCGACTGTAGTGAGTTATCGGCAAGTAACGAGGGCTCCTAACCACGCAACGTGACGCCTGCCGTCTGCAAGTGTTCAGTTTCTAAACAGTTAAAAGAAATACATTTTTGCTTGTATTGTGGTCTCAGTGTAACCCGAAAATGCGGTTGTTCCTCGTTCGATTCCTGAATAGTCAGTTTTAAGTATTCTTAAGGCAAAGTATTCGGAAATGATTTTTTTTTTTGCTTTTACAGAAAACGAAATACAAAACCCGCCCAATTATTTAATCTTGCTGAAGGAAAAGTGCGCCAAAATGAATAGATGAACTGAATCAACGTGATATTTTGAGTTTTCTGCGTCTGTTCTGGTTATGCGTGCATTTCCTGAGGGTACAATAGGCCACTTTGCAAAATTTAACCACCTACAGAAGTTTAGAATTTTTCGCGCTTCTCGAATAATATCTTCATGGTCACGGCTGCTGAATCAAGCATCAAGATTCGCGTAATTAAGAAAGAAGACGTTCTACAATGTAACTACTCTAGTGTAAGTGTAATGCTAACCAAATTTCATCTATAGTAAAATAATACTCTACCTAAATAGTGGGAGAATATGATTTAACGTTACTTTACCTTTATTTAGGGGAAGAGAAGAATACCCTGTCGTGCCACCTCGAGATCCTCTCTTTCAGGTATTGTTGTGTAGGTAAAATTACGATTGCTATTTTAAGGTTCTTGGGAATCCGTTCCCGATTTGTTAATGTTTCTAGTGTTTCTAGTTATTGTTTTATTTTTTTTCATCTGTTTCGATTGTTTATTTTCTCGAAACTTTCGGCCCTTTTATCGGCTTGAGGCTCACATCTGTGAGTATTTCCCTCTTACGGAGGTTCTCTCTGATTTGAAGCTATTGGTTCTTCAGATTTTTTGTCACACGGTCGTAGGTGCCGCTATCTCGCATAAGGATAGGTGTGGCGTCAAGCTCAGTCTAAGGTGAAAAAAAACACAAGCAAGAACAATGCAAGCACGAGGTTTTTGGTAGTTGTAAAGAGAAAGAGAGAGAAGGAGGGATAATTTGTAGGAGATGTAGCTGCAAAGCAACGGCACATTGAAGAAGAAGCTTTTAAGATTGGAGACGCTTGGAGCCTCACGCTCGGCGAGTTTGCTCCAGTTATTTCCCGATAGCATCCCAGCCGCGTGTTCAAACTAAGGGATAAAGTTGCTAGAACAAAATCAACTCGACACTTAATTGTACCTATAAAAAGTTTCCAGTGAGGCGTTAAACTAATGTAAAAATTAAAAACGAGTTAGAAACAAGTTTATCTGAGCTTTCGCCAATCCACGACATCATTAAGGACGGAAAATATTCAGTCATACAATTTTTTTTAAAGATTTACGACTACTAGATTTGAGAGAAGTAGCGAAAAGTTGGTATCTACCGGCAGTCATCTCATTATTGTTAAAAAAAACTAAATCTGGTTAAAGTTATTTGCTCGTAGACGGTAAGCTTCCTCTCAGCCGTTTTTTGGTCTCGTCACGAAACACACTCTCTGCCCAAGCTTGAACAGTTCGATTAAAAATATCTCTTGCAAAAATATTTCTCCAAGAGTTACTCTTGATTGGTGTTTTGAAAATGTTTAGAAGGCCCCATTTCAAGTGCTTTTTTCAAGTTTGGGCTGTTTTCTTTTTCAAATCACTTGTTTATGTGGTGGTTCTAATTATTCCGATGATAAAGGCAAGCCTCAACCAAGTAGGATCCCACTGCAGGGAAAATCGCAGTTCACAGGACAAATTTGAGTTATCTCACCTTGATACAGTATCCTAAACGCCAAGGAAGTCGTAATCACCGTTTTACAAAAATACTCCTCCTTCTTGTGTAACGCCTTTGCGTATTTCCCTTATGAGTAACGCCCTTATGTTTTATTCGCTATCAGTTCATCTCGTCTGGTATACGTCCCAGTGTACCTGACCCAGTGATCCACCTGTCTGAGTTACCACAGAGCACTGTACACTCTCCACTTATCCTCACTGAACCAGGGACAAGTCCTGCCAGGTAAGTTGATCGTAACTGTGCATCAATCTTGAAGTACAGAAATTTACTTTATGCTTGATTACTAAAGAGAGTGTACAATGATTAGTATGGGTTTATGACTGTTTCCTTACTCAGAACTGGTTAGATCAAATGACCACCACAAACCGTATAATATCAAGCCAAGTTTTAATAATTATTCGATCTAAAAGAAATACATTTGTAATTCGCAATCAGAACAAACGTAAATCAAGTCTTAATCTCGTATCTAAATTAAAAAACTTCAATGTAAACTTACTTCTGTGACGGGTCGTTACAACAGTCTCACTTTACAGGTTAGCAGATTATCCACGTGAGCGGATTTAGAGACAGAAAAAATGATAACAAAATAACTTCGATTCCGGTGAAAAACGGACTTGAAACATAATAATCTAACGCTTTTAAATCAATCTTTAGAATTAATGTCAATCACGATTCTTGTCTTTAAGTAAATCTATCAACTAGAGGCAACGCCTATTTGATAAACGAAACAATGACCAAGTGTAAGGTCAGTACGGTAGGACGCTGACCCATTTCATTTGCAGTTTCCGAAAAAAAAATTAGACTAACATCTATCCATCTTGAAAGAACACGCTTAGTTGACAGTAAGGGATTTATTGTTTGATCAAAAGATTTATATGAAAAGTGCGCTTTTGTGGCATCGAATCCGGTGGTATAGAGTATGAAAAATCGTCCATTTATGAAGACAGTCAGAACCAACTGGATAACAAATTGAAAGGAATAAGCCTTTACGTCTGTATGCATACATACACATATGTTAACAATACATGATACTGTAACATTCATACAAAGTTTTTTTTTTCTTTCTAATCGTACAGTGCACCATCAACAATGACCCGTGCCGCTTATACACGGCTTTCTAGTGCTGGATTTCCGTCCATTACTGACCGCCGTGGTAACTCTCCACAAGTGATTGATCATAGAGAAGAATTACCAATACATTTAGATACTGAAACAGTCGATCAACTTCTGAGCAATGAGATTGTCATTCAGTTTCTTGCTCTGTCCAGGTATGGAAGAGACTACAAGCAGACCTTATTTCATGCACTTATTCCATTCAGATAACAAAATGAAACCAAAACAAAACAAAATTGTCCCGAGTGACCTATTTTGGACGCAAGCCAGGAAAAGTCTGTAAGTATGTGAAGTCGAGTCCAGCAAGTTGATTACCCGGGTAAAATGTTGTAAAATGTCAGACTCGTGTTTATAACTACGTTTGTAGTCTAATCGCACAGCTGAAGAAACTCGTTATACGGAATTTACCTTTTCAAAGGTTATTTCTCTCGCTGCTTTAGAAATTATTGTATATTTATTTTACTGATTGGGAGTCAGGCAATCCTCAGTTGATGATTTGGGTCACGATGTTCCGTTTTAAGACGATGTACTCCCCTGACAAGACATACAATCGTGCGCCTGAAAGGAGTGTGAAGAAATTCAACATAGACTTAAACAAATAAATCTGTTTTTTTCCCAACAGATGCTATAACAGAAGCGCTTTCTTCTCCTTTCAATTTTACCGATTTCCTCAAGTTACCACTGAAAGGTCTGTAATTAAACTGTCATTCGGTTGAAAATGTATTTTTTTATTACACTTCGTACAAATTTGTCGTTTTTGATTTGTGCTAGAATACGTATTTTCAATTAAATTCGTTTTTAGAGTCTACCTCAAAGACACTGATGGTCAATTTCATGGGATTCCTTGTGTGCTTCAAAAATTCAACAAAGATGGCTTGCCCTCCAACGAATCTCCAGGCCTGATGGTGAGAGATGACTAATGTGCGCTTAACAGGCTTTAGGTGCACGAAATTAAATAGCAGCAACTAAGGAAGGCTTGACTTCACGCAAGTAGTTAAAGCAATTTTTTTTCTCACACGCAAGCCGCCACATCCGCGTCTCGATTGTATTATAATGCACATTATGTGTATCCATATACATGTACATGGACGAGGCTGACCCTCAAGGATATCGCAGCTTGTATCGGTTTCTGCAACAACTATAATTATCTCTCTCCCCCACCCCTCTCTAGACGGGATGCTAGTCCTTCCTAGGATACCACCCCCCTTCAGTTGCAATTCGTCCAGTTTCCCGCCTTGTTTTTTTTTTTCATCTCCTTATACTCTTAGACGAAGAGAGGCACCTTGCAGTGATTGCTCGTTCGATTACTTTGGTTTGAGTTTTAAAACCAGTGATTGCTCGTTAGATTACTTTGGCCTGAGTTTTAAAACGATTAGTAGAGAAGCATTCTCATACAAATTCTGCTTTCAGTTGCGTTATTTGTTGGACCCTTCATATATGCAGCCAGGAGAAGGCCGTGTGTTCAGTCATTACCTGTTGAGCCAATCATTGCACATTGATGTGTGGGATGGTGACTCACTTCTCCTTATAGGCTCGACTAGTTTGAAACTCAAGGTATGATTGATGGACTTTAGTTTGGCTCATAATCTCATTCCAACAACAATTTTTGTCAAAAGTTGCTGGGACGCTTTGCGTAGTATTCGTAAACAATCATATGAAATATGTGTTTTACCAATTGTGAATATCATGCTAATAAGTATTCCAAGCTCTAACCCTCTCCCCCTAAGCAACGTTGTTTTGAATTCTTCCGAGGCTCTTATCAACGCTGAAAAGAGGAAGGGGAGGTAGGGGGGTACTTTTGGCTACATAGTTTTAAAATTTTTTAATTTTAAACCGCTTAGTCCTAAATGTTCCAATACTACCAACGAAGCGAGCAGTCGGACCAGTGTGTGAATCTGTATTGGCCAAGCACGGAAAATTACCAGTGTAATCTAGTGGACTAGCGTTTGCATTAAGTGCTATAGTTGGTAACATTTTCTTTACGTTTTATTTTAGCATTTACTACGTCAAGGTCGTGAAGCTGTAATCGTGGCGCATGAATTGGATGTAGTTTCCACCGAATTTTCGGAGGAGGCAGCCATGCAAAGTGGCGACATGGTAAGGATAATTGTTTTAAATTCCACTGGTAACATCCAGTCACATTTCCAACCGCTTCATTTTATTGCTTTAAAAGTAGATTGCTCGAGACTGTCTGATCTTTTCTTGGTACGGGACAAGGGTTAAAGAAGAGAAGTGAAGAGAAGAGATTGGAACGAGTTTCAGCACTACCTCGCCCCAACCCATTCTTGTCAAGTTCACTACTTTTCGCTCGCGTTCAAGTTGATTAATGTTTATAGGTACCTAACAATAATAACTTTCTGAAAATAGTTCACTTGTCTTCCTCAGACTCGAACTGGTATCAAGTCTGCGCTAGAAGCCAAGCTGCATCTCAGAGTTGCAAACATCGGTCATACCAGTGAAGGACCGAAAGGAAAGCTGGGTAAGCGATGAAAAATTTCCAAAGATTTCTTATTATCTCAGCCCCACAGAGAGCAGCGAAAAAAAAAAATGGTGTTACATACCGGAGGCTAATAATATGGAAGGTTCCTCGTCTAGGAAATGAGTCTAAATTCAAGATATCGGGGTTTGGAGATGATCTTCACGTTGAAATTACGAATACACATTGACATATCTCCAGTCCGTTGACGTTGCTCAAGTTCGAGATAACGATTTACCGGAACTAAATTGTACGTCTTCCCCTCAGCTAAACATATTCGTCCTTGATTTGATTGGATACTTTTACGAAAGAACAATTTGACTGTCGCTATTTTAGGCAATGGACAACGTGTAACCAATCAAGTTTTTTTTAAATTCATAGACGTGTACAAATTCATGTTTTTAAAAGAAGTTTTCCATAAGTTCTTGTTAATTTTCTCTCGTGATCGCTTCTGTATTATTCATGACAGCACTCTGAAAAAAGAGCTTTACATTCGTCTTATATTTTGTGTCAGGAACTGTCCCCAAGAAGCTCTCTACTGTTGTAATATCAGAAACTGTAAGAGAAACAGGAGCAGCTAACACACTGACTGGTGAGTAGTGAGTGCGGCTATTCCAAGAACACAGATGGGTGTTCTACTGTTAAACACTTACCAGAGCGTGTTGTTGGTAAATGTAAAAAGTATATGAAACAAAAGCTTATCTTTGCAGATTCTACCAAAAACCATTCAATTTAAATGACTTAGCAAGAGTTTCTCCATGGAATTTCCGCCATATATACTTTGAGATTCAGATGCTTCAGGTCTTACAATACCACCCAATTTAATTTTATACAGATCTCTCTAGCCAGGGTTAATCGCTTCAGCGTGTTATGGTGTAGCAAGCGGGTAATTTTTATAAGCTATTACAATTTGGGGGCGTTTAAAATCCGGAAAATGCAGCGGTTTTATACGCTTGTTTCTAAGGGGCTTAAGGGAGGATTTCAGGGCCGCTTCCTTATGCTTTCGCTCGATTTGCCTTACTGCTCTATTGCTTTGGAATGACTCTTTCTTGATACCATTTACAGGAAACAAAAGTACCAAAATAAAGGCCAAGCAAATGGCAGAATGTGACGCAGAACTTTCAGCTGTGTTGTTCAGCAGGCAGGAAAAGATAGCCAAAGATGATCAGCCAGTCAGAGAAACTGATGCCATTAGGAAAAGGTTAGTTGAGATTTAGTTTGGGAAGTATTTTGGTGAAGTATTTTGGTGAAGTATTTTGGTGTGTCTTATATAATTTGAATGGGTGGTTTATAAAGTGGATGTAAGACTTAATTTAGTCTGATCATCTCCCTTTCTTTCTATAATCTAGATCAATTTTATATTGGGTGTTGATGGCAACCCGGAGTTGTTTTGGTCTGGTTTTGCTAAGCTGGTTTTTGCTCGTTCCAAAAGAAACACCGCCACCCTCTTAACCCTTTCACTCCCAGTAATGACCACGACATGATTTCTCCTTACAATGTCAGTACAATATCAAGTAGACAAGTAATGAGAAAAGCAGAACGTTAACAAAGGATTATCATTTGATCCAACATCAATTCTTAGAACAAAATTTATAAGGAATGTATGGTGAACAGTAAGGAGAATTTTCATAGAGATATTCGGAGTGAAGAAGAAAAACTGATAGCAGTTGCGACTCGGTCACTCTATGTTCCTGCGATTGACCTCGATTATGTTCGCAGGGTAGCGATCTTTCCCACAAACTTCGTAATCCCCTGGAAATTTTAGGACCATTCGCTTTAATTTTTGACACAGGAAACTTGAAAGAATGCAGGCAGTTCGGCAGATCCAAGGAGCTGATACCTCTACGGGCAATTTGATAGTAAGTCGATTTTTGCCTCATGCGTTTGTGGAATTCAGATTTTTTTTTGTCTTACGCACTTTTCAAGACGAATAACGTTTTCCTTTAGTCTTGTCCCACCGTCTTAAAGCCTCTCCGCATTTAGCGTTTACTTTCAAAATGTTCGTTTACAATTATATTCGTGCAATACTTTACTTGTTGTCAGATTCAAAAAGAGGAGAAATTACAAAGAACTCGAGATCTTAAAACCATTCAGCTTTACAGGTCAGTTATACTCGGTAAAGGTTAGTATTTGAGTCAAGAACTTTACCTGTTTTTAAAGTCATTTTATCCCAACAGATATCACAATGCAGTTCTTTAAAATGTTTCCTGCCGGTTGTTTACTTTGAGGTAGCTTGAAAGGAAAGTTGGGGGGGAAGGGATGGTTCATAGGCTGGAGGACTTGACATAGACCCTTTTGCACCGATATTTCTAGTTTACAACCAGGAAATTATCTACTAGCTCTCTTCCCAAACGTTGTTACTGCGTGATCGCACCCCCTCCCCGAAGCAACATAGGGAATATAAGAATTATTTATCTGCCTTCGATATTTCTTCAAAAATCAGAAACTCTCAATCAAACAGTGGCGGGGCTGGGGGGTGTCACCCACCCTATTCTTACAATGGTCTTAGTTTGAAAATTTGTATTTTTTTTTTAACAGAGAGAAGCTCAGACATGAGAGGATTCTCTCTTCGTTAGCAGGGAACATCACGACCAGCCACACAATCTACCCGTCATTCGGTAGAGTAGAGTTTTTCGAGTTTGTGCTGAGAAATCCTTACTCCACCGACCAGACTGTTACCATTTACTGCGATGACAACGAGCTCAAGTATGTTAACAAAAGGCTTGTCTTTAACAGCTATTCTCTGAGCCAGTGGATTTACACGTGTGTATCGCTTTGCAAGTAGCATATTTTAATGATCTGTTACTTACATGTTGATTGTTCACAAGCTCGATACACTAAAGGCAAATCTTCATATAGTACTGGCAAGTCAAGTCGCTTTGCTCACCATAAGTCGGAACGGACAGACCCAACCGGGTTCAGATTCAGTTGCTGTTTTTGGGACAGCGTAATTCCGCCCTTCCCTTACATCAGTAGTACAGCTACGTACGCAGCAGGTTGCTTTGTCCGTGCCCAGTTTTTCTCATCGTCTGAAAAATAAATTTGATTAAATATAATATCAGAACTTCAAGAAAGGATGGGGCCTTCAGTTATTTTGAGAACAAAGTTCCTGGATTGTACTCAAAACTTTGCTGAGAGGATTTAGTTTTAGTCCGTGCTGGCCAGCCGCTTCTAAATAATAATAAAAGCCTAAAGCCCTTTGCTCGATGCGAAATTAAACTTGATCTCCTTCCATTTCTCGTTTAAAGAAATATTTCGTAATATTTCGTTTATTATTCTTGTAGAGTGGTAACAGACACAAGAGAGTGGAGACACTTTAAGAGAAAAACAGAGACGCGTTCAGGTGAGGGACGTTTTTATCATTGAGCCCTGTAAATCTGTTTGGGGATTTACTTTGGTTCGTTCTTCACACTTTAAGTTTTATGTTTAAAGATGAGGAAAGAGGAATTCTTGTTCTTGAGCTCGGTTTTTGTTTAAAGAGAGATTTCAAACACGCTCTCTTGAGGTATTGCTTATCCCAAAAGTATGCAGCGTATGGATCACAGATTAACCCTGTACCAGACTTTCTCGCCTTTCCACCCAATTGATCATGTATTAAAGCATCTAACTGTTAATGGTTTGATTTCCTTTGTGGACTCAGATTTTTCTGTGCCCTATGCTCGTGGCAACTTAGTTAAAAGTTTGAATATTTTGATTCACGTTTGTTTCACAGCTTTGGAGGAGAACATGTTTGACACCGCCTCCACCAGCCCCTACCCACAAGTGTTCCTCAGACCCAGGGAAACTGTACATATTCCGTTTAAGTTCCAGACCTTCAGAGCAGATCAAAGTGTTCCTGAACAGGTATGTACATGTCTTACGTATCTTTATCTTTTTCCCCTCAAATGTTTTCTGCGGGCCAGATGAAGCCAATCACCTGTTGGAGTAAAGATGACTTAAGAAATTTTATGCCTCAGAATACAAATGAGATTTTCATTCTTCGTAGGGCCCATCACACCCGCTAAAACAGCAGGCTCAAACCTATCTAAAGACCAGCATATCGGAGGAAAATAGTCTAAAACCACGTCAGATTAAGGTAACAAAAACTCATATTTATTCAATTACTATCAAGGTTAATCCTCTCCAGCTTTCTTTATATCTGTCGGTTTTCCTTAGTTCTTTGGCATTGGTCTTCACTAATAGATTATCATGTTGAAGTGACTTTTGCCGTGTCGTATATAAAGCGGTATTGCTTACGGAGCCTGTTATGAAGGTATAATTTGGTGTTATCATCTGAGTTGATAATGTGAATTGGCTTCCGTGAAGAGATTCTAAAGCTGACGTTTCAAAACGTTAGCCCATCGTTAGAGCGAGTGCTTGCGGTGACAAGGGTGAAAAATATCCCATATGACAAGGGCGAAAATACCTGTAGATAACGTTGGAAAATGTATCATGTGCCTACAAAGGAAAATGCATGATGGTGAGGACTTCCGCTCTAAAATCAATTTTGCTTTAAGTGGGGAAAACATGCGACCGATACTTAAAGCTTTCACTTTAGTCCTCAGCATTAGCAATAAATTGTAATTCAGCTTTGCGTCTCTCCTTAAGGTGGCATTCAGAAACACGGATGAGCGTCCAATAGCTATTCTTAATCTTCAAGTTGAACCTCGACCCCATGTGATAGACAGAACGTTCAGGTTCTACCACGCAGAGCAGTCGTTCTTGAAAAAGACCATCAGACTACCTCCCTGGCGATCATTACCAGGTAAAAAAACACACGACGAAACTTTCCCCAACTCACCCTATTCGTCTCACTTAAAATCTGTAGGTTTTTTAGCCTACCCAGCTAGACGAAATTGCTTCTACGCAACTGAAGAGTAAACATTACTTTAAAGTTAAAAATATTTGGTGATGCTATTGGATGCACAAGTAGCGTTTAAGAATTTCATCTTCCACCTTGATTGAATAGTGTTGATTTGTTTTTCCTAGGCGCGCCAGTAATGGACGACAACACGCAACCTCAAGTACATGTACGCTGCAGTGATGTGAATGCTGTTTGTGAAGCTAGAAAGATGGTACGATCTTACTTATCACGAGTGAAATTACACTGGGTTTTAGCTTTTTCTTAGAACGGCTGATAAAATAGACTCTTCACTCGAAAAAATTATAATGGCTGCCGCGTTAAATTAGCTATACAAGTTACGGCTCAGCTCACAGTGACAAAGTAGTGAGACATACTTCATGCGAGACTACAAACCCAGGAAAGTTTGTTTGCTGCTGAGAATTTGCCAAAGATGACGTCTACTGAAGGCTTACTGAGGTAGTTCATAACGGTACCTCAGCATAAATCTTCACCCGTTTCATCTGAGCGTTTTATAACATCATTCTGATATGAAAATAATGTGTGGATTTTATGATTAACTCTTAAGCCGTCAGGTGAACCTCAGGATGTTTTCCTCAAGATCGCATGTGGACCCTCTCCTTCTCTAAAGAGGTTTTTCGTCCTCCTGTACATGTAAGTTCTTATGAATATTGGACAATTGTACTCAACTTCCCTTATCAGAGATAACGCATGCAAAGCGCTTGTCGATTGAAGTTCGTAAACCAAAACCGAGATGAGAACAGAGATAAATCTGTGTCGTAAGGAACCAATGATGAATCAGAGTAAATTTACGTCAATAGCTTTGAGTTTGGAAAAATAGAATGGGCAAGTCACTGTTGGTATAACTGTTGTCTCTGATTGGTTACAAAGGTGGCGCGAGTGTTTTTAGTGAATCTCAAAGCGTACTTCGGGGTAGAAAGGCCAAAACAATACACATCTTTCGACACTCCATTGCGCTTTGATGCTCTTTAATCTTCAGTCCGTGTATTTTGATTTTAGAGATCCTTTCCTCGCCGAACCTTGTCAAACATGGCAGTTCTATGTTCATTCATTACAAAGGTAGGAAATACTTTACTTGTACTCCGAAAAGTTTACATTCAAGGCCCACCACAAAGAAAGAAAAGAAAAATCCAAACTTAGTCAAATGTAAAATTACCTTAACTTTGAAAAAAAAAAAAGAAAAAAAAAGGGTACTGGAAATTCACGTTTTAATTTGGTTCACCTGAATCGCTGCAGGACGTTTGCTCGTCTCTGTAACTGGTCTTTCAAAGTCTCAGCTTTTACAATGGACGTCAAAAAATTGCGAGACTCGAACTAGTTTTATTGAAGAACTACTCATCTTAAATGCTGTTTTTCGTGCAAACTGTCGTAGAATCGACTTGACTGCTGTCCAAGGTCAGAGCAGTCGCCTGTCTGTGATTTTACGTGGAACTCAGTCCAGTCGTCTTGTTCAGTGTTTTTCATCTCACCCCGAAGAATTACAGGTAAGTTCCAAGATCTGATTCCTTATTCACCCCTCTACTTGCTATACGCTCTCTTGTAAATGAGTCAAGTGAATCTAACTGTACATCATGAAGAAACCTTTTATTGCTGACAGTTTTGTCTATTCCTATGACCTGTTTTCTGGATATTGCATTGGTATTTTTAAGTAGTGAAAGCTGAAATACTTGTGGAAGGTAATAGTGGAAATCATCCATATGAATAATTTGAACCTTTCTGTACCTCTCTAGACGCATCCTAACACTTCTAGCTGGTGACTTTTTCTTTGTGATGAAATACAGAGTACATCTTCTTTAATAAAAACGTGCAAGCGCCAAGCCTCGCGTTTCTCAGGCTCGCCGTCCTAGTGTGTATGCATTTGCTCATACTGACAGACTTGCTTCACTTCAGGTCAAGCCCACCGACCCAATCATGTTAATGGCGAATGCTGTTCATGAAGTCCATCTAACACTACGACCCCACACATCCGGGACCATGCGCTATATGTACGTTAACGTGGTTGGTATCCTTTGCTACAACAACAACAACAACTTATTAGCTGAAAGCTAACTTATTTTAGGGTACAATGAAAGCTTTAATAGCGTCATAGATCACTCAGATTTTATCTTCCTCACCATAAATATATGGCAATCAAGAAGTACGTGTGAGTATGTGAAGAAGACTGCAAATCGAATGTTATGTGGCAAATGCTGAAGAGCGAGAATTTTTCGTGCGCAAATGGCAGTCAACATGGGCTTGAAGTTACAGGTTGTTTTCACGAGTCTCACTGAAATAGGGACAGAAGTTATGGTTTGTTAGCAAAATGAAAGGAGATCAGCTTTCCAAAGCCGAACAAGCTTGAGATAACAGGCATATGTTTTGAGTGTAAAATCGTTTTCCTTTACTACACGTATCAGATGTGGAATTTCATCAACTTGTGAGAACATGGCTTGTGTGTGCCTCTTGTCAAATGCCCGTCATTTCTAAATCGTTTGAACTCCAGATACAAGTTGGCGGTGGAAAGGGTTCGAACAAGGTGGGTTTTTACATTGTTTTCTCGTTTAAGCGTCGATTTTTTTCATCGTGGCCGATCGGAAGGTTTACGTAGACATAAAACGGTCGGCCTTTGACAGCAGTCGCTAAAACGGACGGCGCGTTGGCAATTCCCGACAAACCGAACGAATGCAAAATGTTTCCCGGTTTATTTGACGGTAGACTGTTTCTCTGCGGGAAATCGTCGGTCACGGAGATTATTATATTTAGTATTATCCTATACTTGAATATAAAAGGGGGTTTTCTATAGAAACTGTGGTGCTATTACATGATAATCAAATTGGTTTTATCAACTGAGTTGTAAATGTAAATCGGCCACCGTTAAAGAGTTTCAAAAGGTTACGTTTCGAGCGTTAGCCCTTCGCCAGAGTGAACATATCTGTATAATTTAGTGGTATGTTTGTAGTCTTCCCTGGAAAATCTTGTAAAATCGATATTTAACAAAATGATTCGTTTGTTTTTCTAAAGTTTTACCACTGATTATTCACACAGCTAAGCTGGAATAAAAACGTGGAAAGGTGCTGTTACATAACACTGAAAACCAATCACAGTCATTTAAAGAGTCTTCGATAGGCTTGTTACAGGAAGGGCTAAGAAAGTTTCGCGTTCCGACTATTTTGTGAAGAACGGATATAAATACACAAAAGTGTCTCTGTTTTTTAAGGGGGGAGGGGTATAACTGGATTTTAGCCGGGGGATGAGAGGGCTGGCACGCGGGAACAGCATAACCAGGTACTTGACTGAATGATGTTTTGTTTTTTCCTATCAGCGCGTATCATTCACTAATCCTTATCCTACCAAGAAGACGTTTCCATCTGAAGACTAACAGGCCTGACATGCTACAGTTTAAGGAGAGCATCATTCAGGTAAAATTACAACAAGTGCAGGTGTACAGGGTTCCTAACTAACCTGACGTAAGGAAAATCACTGTTTACACTCTGTCAAATGCTATTTTGCTGTTTGCTTAGTGAAGAAAAAAGCAAGTTGTCTCACAAAATTGACAAGAAGCATAAAAAAAAAAACAAAAAAGCGAGCAGGCACTTCGAGTTTAAGCCCAGGAACTTTCAAGAAAGGGGTGGAGCTAAAACAGTAATGAAAATCTGTTTGCATGTTTTCAAATTCGCAGAGCTTATTTTGTCATATATTTTTTTTTCAATTGTGATAGGACATTTCATTTTTTTTTTTTTTTTTTTTTTTTGGGGGGGGGGGTATCGTCTGATTATTTTATAATTTTCTTACTGAATAATTTGCTTCGTGTAACCAATTTCGCCATTCGTTGTGTGTTTGAATCTGCCAGGTTGGTATCGGAGAATCGCACAGTATCGGTCTTCGCTTCACACCACAACAGTTCCCAGGAAAATCTGAAATTCTCATCTTCATTAACGACTCAGAAGACAAAAATGAAGAAACTTTTAGCATCAATGCCGTCTATACGTAACACTTCTCATGTTCGAGGTATGATTTGCTTCATTTCACTCTGTTTTCAAACCAGTTTCTTTCCCTGGGTTTTTTTTTGCTATGAAAAAGGAAGACTTGAGACTGGCATAATTCTACAGTTTCCGGTTTTTGATTCACTACGATATCGTCCATTTGTTCAGTGTTTTCCAGAAATACTAGCGGATGGTGTTCTCGCCGGCTAATTTCCGTAGACAAAGCATGCTTTTTTTTCTAGGCTGGCTGGTAAGAAAGCTTTTGAGACCACTGCCTGTTCTCCTTACTTTATCAATTGGTTTCTTACAGGTCCCCCAAGAAACGTCTATTTGGTTATGAAATCCTCCCAGATGAAGATAGAAGACGCGTAAATTTTAGAAGTCATAAGATGTGTATTTAACTTTGAATTTTATGATCTCTTAGAGTGCTAAAATATTAATTTAATAAAGTTTACTTAAGTGCAGAAGCCTCCTATTCTTTCTGTAAAACTGAAACTCGAAAAGGTGACAGTACTCAAACGATCGGCCTGAAAATACTAATAAACAAAGTTGCACCTGTTGAGTATCATGTATAACAATTATTACACAGTAGAACAATAACAGTTGACTGTGCGCCCTTCGTTAATGAAACGTCATGAGCCTGTCAGGTGTCACTTTGCCGCTTTTCAGACGTACCAAATTATGCTCAATGGAAATTATGTTCAAAATTTATAAAAAAGAAAAAAAAGGTTGGGCTTCGATTCAAGATATGCTGGTTGGAAAAGGGGGCCGAAAGCTCTTGTGTTCGTGATGTGCTTCCTTCAATCTTACTGATCCCGGTTGTTTAAGGATGGATAATGCTATCCGTTAGATAGTGCAGTTGTTACGGTATAATCTAACCGACAAAAACACTAGAATCCCACAAACTCGACTACTTTTATAAACGACAAATGAGTAAAGGATGTAAGTTTCTAGAGAAACTGTGGTGCTGCGTCGGTGGGAGAGTATAGCAGGTAATTTAGTGTTAACAACTGAGCTGAACACGTAAATTGGCCACCGCAAAGAGTAAAAAAGGTGACGTTCCGAGCGTAAGCCCTTCGTCAGAATATCGCTCTGAAGAAGAAGACATAGCAATAAATATCTTGAAATGTGTGGACGGTGGAAGGGAGAGTTGAAGTCAAATATTAAGAGTTAAACCCATGACACCCTAACATCAGTATGCATATTCTCCATACTGTTCTCTACAAGTTTCCTATGCCGCTGACAAGGAGAACAAAGGGATACCTCAATGTACGCGTTGAAAGGTTCCTCAGGAACTTTAGAAGTTAAAATAACGTAAACTGGGCGAGGCCTCAAGAAATTAGTCAGAGCAAATGTCATGAAAATTTACAGATTTGCGATATCAGAGAAATTTCCATTTCTCGATCGTTGGTAAACTCAGTCCTGAAGACTCGTGTTGCAGTTGCAGCAGCAGTAGTAGTGGTCAACCTCGTGCCCTATCCAGTTTTTCGTTCCCTGCTGAGTGACAGTGACGTCACCATTATTTTGAACATCCTTGGGGTCAGAATATGAAAAGTTGTTGTTAGTCTGGATATACTGAAGGCTGAAATTGTCCGATATGCTATCATAAAGATATCCCGACCCATCTACGTTGAAAGATTAGGGACTCAAAAGGACCCAACTGACAGAGGTTCCGGTGTGTTTTGAGTGTGCTACGGGTCGACAAATCCGAGTGACGGATCAGCACGCATATTAATCTCAGCGAGGGCAAAACAGTTTCTCCCATTTGTTTGGAACTTCAATCGCGGCCTCTGGCATGACATGACATCTAAATGGGCGTTGCTAAGGGGTTTGGGAGACACTTTAATTCGTCGTCTTCTTTTTTGTTATGTGCCCTTGAGCTCAACAAGAGTAGAATTTCCTATCAGGTTACTGGTGGTAAAAGCGGTTAACGTTCCGACTAAATGTTTTGCAGGATTCTTAAAATGCAGTAAATTTTTGTTCCTTGTGATGCTCAATACCATAGGTAAATTGCATCAGCATATACTCAATGAAAAGATGAAAAAACGCAAAAAAAGGACAATTTGATACAACTCAATGTAGCGTAATGCAAGGCGATGCGATGCACTATCACTCGATAAATATAATACTGTACAAAAGAACGTGGTGGGATCTTAAGGCAGGTTTCATTAGTCCTTGTGGCTACATGAAAATCCAAGGGAATTGCAGATTAATGGTAACTTTGCCCAGCAATTGATCTCGGTTTTTGAAAAAAGAGCTCCTTGTTTCCTCGACCGGAAGTCAAAGGGGTCTGAAAAGGGCTGGCGCCTAAATAATATTTGAAAGAATTTTTACCAAAGTGACAACCTATGACGTTAGATGGCTGACACAAAATAAGCCAATCAGCGACGAGTGTTAGAACACGTGGGCTTGAAACAAGACAAGGCGCGCTTTTCAAACTTTTCCATTCCGACAACATCACGTGGAAGACGGAAGACTGTTTTAATCTTCCGAAAGAAGAAGCTATATAGTATTCTTTAAGGCTAATACGGTGGTAAAACCCCACAAAAAATTACGAACTGGAAAGAAGGATTAGGAAAACTGGTGAGTTAATATTTTTAAATACGGTTTTATTTCTAATTTCAAACATGCACGTGTTCCACGGAGAAAATCGTAGCTCTGTTCGCTCTAAAAAAAATCCACGTTTTTCGCTAGTTAAAGTTTGGTCAAGACATTCTGTGAAACAAAAGTAAGCTCATATTTAGTGACGACTGATTATAATTTCGTTTTTCGTTACAGAACTTACCCAAAAGAATTCCTAACTTCTTGGCTTCCTTGCACTCGTCAAATGTGAATGTTGCGGCCGCGGAAGATGACAAACACGCTACAATGGAAATAGAAAGAGGTAAATAATTATCCTTTGTTACACGTTTCACATATCACAGTGGAATTGTCGGCTATGTAAGGTGAATGCTTCAGACTTGAGAATAATTTACAAAATAATTCACTCAAAAGGGAAAGCTTCTCCAGAACACCTCCGGTCGTGAAAGGCGATAGGCGCGAAAAACACGAGCTCTAGGTTTGCGAAGTGTCATCTGTTTTAATTCACTTGGTAAATTGAATTATTTCATTGTAAAAAAAAATTCGTTGTGTCAAACTAGGTAAATTAACGACAAAATAGTCGTTTTTGCGTTCTTTTTCCGTTCATGCTAAAGTGAAAGTTATGTATTCGGCTTCAACTTCAGGTTTTTAAGCAACAAAGCACACTTGGTGGGCAACAATTTGAAACGTGCACTGGCCACTTATAAATTTGTTTTTCATGCTATTGCTTCTTAATTTTTTTTGAGTGCCTCGTTGTCACTAAAAACTGATAATTCAGTCGATTTTTGCTGCCTCTAAATGAAATCACAACTGTTTGAAAGTACTCCTACAGTTTAACTACAAAAAATTCTTTGAAAAGAATGAGAATAATCTTTTTTGAAATTAACCATCAAACTGTAAAGGCGTACAAATCGGCGGACCGCTCACTCAGAATATTCATTCCTGTCGTTCCTTTCGACTACCGGTTTACGATAAAATTTCCGCACAGCCCTATCCTATATTATGCATTCAGTTCTTGAATAGAGAAAACAGCGACAAAAACAATACATTGCCATTGGGAAAACAGATTTGTTTCTCAATAGTATGGGGCTGTGCGGAAACTCTACCCGGTTTTCTCCATTCTTTTGGTTTACATATTTGGGAGATGAAAGCATTCACGGTGGATCAATTCCTCGTTAATCAACTTGCGCAGGTTAAAATTACCATCAAAAAACTCATTAAAAGACCTGCGTTACACAGTTAAGATATCTATTGTTCTAGTTGAGGTTGTGCTCTGGTCTCGTGTGTACTCTACGTATAGCTGTAATCTTACTTTTTACTATTTTCAACAGATGGTACTTGCTTAGGAACGGAATTCTGTAACAAAGATGCTTTTTCACACGTTTTTTTTCATTTATTATCCATTAAATGATATTTCCATCCATTCAGACCAAATAAAATTCATTCATTCATCAATTCCTTTATTTCTCCTTCCTTCCCGCCATCTTTCATTCATGCTTGCATTAATTCATGTTATATCTACACATTAACTCTATCAAAAATCAATAAATCATTCATTCAGTTTTGTTTTCGTTTCAGTGTTACCCTCTCCCTGTGGAATGCTACCTGATCCAGCCACCCCACCACTCAAGCAAAAGTGTACCAGTTTGACTCTGATGGGGACATTTTAAGATGTTAAAAAATTGGATTGTTGGAAGATGAGACCTAAGGTTTCTCTTCACTTCTCTTCAATTTACGTCACATCTTAGGATTTACTCACAGATGTTCAACTGGGAAAGAAGATACTGATGGAAGACAAACACAAACTGGTTAGCTCATTCATTTTGGGTTGGAACGGAGGGTTTATTAGTTAAAGCTCTGGATGAACCTTATATCAAATTTCGGCCTGAAGTCCATGGACTTCGCATTCGGCTTAATCTAATGTAGTTAGGTTAGTTAGTTGGGTCCCCTTGGGTTGGATGGGTCCTCCCTTTAGGTTTCTCCTTTGGGTTCCTTTTCAGGTATTTTCGGCTTAAGTTCGGCATAGGTTCTCGGTCTAGGTTCGGATAGGTTTCGGCTTAGGTTTTCGGCCCTCACATCCGCATCAATTTCGAGACTAAAGATCTTCATTTACCTCGAACATGGAACTACAATGGCTCTGCTGTGGACAGCACAAGCTTCTTCAGTGCAAAATCTCCTGCGTAATTGCGCTCTAAAAAACCTATTTTTCATGTAAAGTTTCACTGGATAGCAGCCATACAAACGACTGGCATCCAGTGAGACTCTTTCGTCCAAATTATGCCATAAAATTCATTACGGCAAAACCATTTTGGCCTAAAGGTTCAACCAGACATTTACTTGCTGTAAGTAACTGGAGATTTTAAGCCAATCGGTAGGGGAAGTATGCCCATTTGCTACTTCTATCCTGTTTAATGGTTTAGCTCCAGTTGAAGCCGCCAGTCGAGGCTTCATTTAGTGGAATATAGGGGATACACACACCACAGTTTAGGTCACAAAAAAATTAAGCCAATTGTAAAGAACATTGTGATAGCTTGAAAGCTGTCTGACAAATTTTTGGGCTATTGTTTTGCTTCAAGTTTACAACACAAAACAATTATCATGTCAGCCAAAATTTGTAGAGAAATCAACTCATCACCAAGCATCACAAATCAATCATGAGGATGGATCAGTGGAGAGGACAGCTTTGAAGTTAAAAAAAAAAAGTGGCCAATATTGAACTTTCAGCTTTTAACACATACTTTAGGCCAATTTTCTTGACATAACAGCAAACTTGCTGTCAACCAAATTGTTGTAAATAATATTCAGTCTCCACTGAACACAAAGATCACTAAGGCAGCTATCACGGAGAAGGTAAGGTCAGCAGGTACGTAGACACTTTAATTATATTCCTCCGGCTATTCAGCCCTTTCGAAACTCACTGCCATCATCATTTCGGCTTTCGGTATTAAATATGATTGGCATCCAATTTCAGTTACAATTTCAGTTACAATTGCATTACAGAAGCCTGGTAGCGACAGTAATTATTGTTAGCAGGCTGCTCGTGATCCACTCTGGGACACCCTGAGTGTTCCTTCGGGGTGTCGACATTTACTGACACAAGAACACTTGAGGTTTCTTCAGGTGAAAATTTTTTCGCTTAGGAATGCGCATCCCAACCAGACACTAACTTAATATAGAAATGATGTAACATTATTAAAATAATAAAAGAAACAAAAGCCTGTGTCTGTGTCCATTTTTGTACAGATACACTAAAAACTACTAACACCATTCTATTTTCAGCACAAATTTTACCTTTCAGCTAATTATGCAAACCATGCAAAACAAATCTACTAACAATCTATTTTTTTCAGGATAAGATAAATATAGGTCCTACAATGTAAAAGAATTTGGAAACAATAAAAACCATAAACAGCGGTGTCTGAGCAATTTTTAAAACTAAACTACTAACAGCTTTCTTTTTCAGGACTTTTT